TACCTTAAGAAAAAAATTTGTAATGCATGATTGCGGTTACTACGGGTACGATACTTTTGCACAGGATAACTCCTGCCGCGCTCGACAATTGTCCTCCTACCTCACTGTTCGGCGACGCGGAGGCGCTAGATGAGGAGGAAGAAAACGACTCCAGCATGTGCTGATTGAACCGCATTTTTTCCTCTGTCAACTCGCGTGGTTTATTTCTGCGCTTTATGAAATGCAAAAATGTCTGGGTCTGGAAACTTGTAATGCTAAAACGTGCATGATGAAAACACTTCCGAATGCAGTCCGGCATGACAACTTCCCAAAACGCTTTCTCATAGGCAATCCGCATGAGAAGCTGCGTTTTTGCATGACAAAAGAGGCTGCGACTTTTGTTGGTTATGCAATACAGATTTTCTAGGTATGGACAGCTAGCATTACAAGTTCCAACCTTCCAGACCCAGACACTTTTACAATCCATACGCTTGTTGCTATTTCCACCAACTGTGTTGTCGTCCTCATTCCCCGCGGTGTTGACCAACAGTCGAACTTCCGTACAGGGCCCAATTCTGTCCGCGTACTCGTTCACTGTCGCCACCGTGTTTTTCCTGCCACAGCTCGTCTCTGCAAATAATTTCTGTAGGAAGTGAATCTTTTCCGGGAAATGCAGCCGGCCCTGTAGCAGCGTGTCGCCCACACTGCCCAGGGATTCCACCTGTTTTTGTCCGCCTCGTCCTGGCGCGCTTGTACTATTTGTCTCCTCGTCGCCGCCTGTGGTAGAAGTCGCTGGGGCGTTCATCATCGAACTACTCACGCCAGAATACAAAACCCCTTGCATCCTAAGGAAAAACGTCCCCGCGCCAGCGGTGGTTGTCTTGCAGCTTTGCAAATACCGGAAAAATGGTTGTATTTGTAATGCGCATCCCCATGAGAGGTGCTCTCCATCGTGTACTAGTTTTGGCACTTTATATATGCATCATGCTGGAATAAACAGGATAATAAAGAGAAGGACTCGTGATGCGGGTGCCTTTGCTATTGCTATTAGGCTGCACTACAATACTGAGCGAAACTTGTCATGTGTGACTCCCAAAACTTCTGGATTTGTGTTGCAGACTTCCAAGAACTTGATTCTGGGGTGTCGTGGGCAACGTTTTTCCGCAGGATACACTGAAAGGCGTAGATTTCCGAGCAGAAGACATTACTGGAGGTATTATTAGTACTGGGACTACCACCACCGAATTCCGCCTTGGCGAGCGGCGATATCAAACTCCACTGGTGCGCTTTCGCGAAGGGTAGCGGGACAGCCCCTTGGTCGCCTTGTAGGTGGTCCACCCCGCTCGCTGCTGTGCCCACACTACTACCGTCAGTGTCCTTTACCGTGCGCATGTGCAACACAAAGTCTTTGGCCCGACTGATCGCCGGCCGACTGGCGATGATCCAGCCACGGTACATGTTGCCCGAAGCCGGGTTTAACAGTTCGGCGTAAAAGAGAAACAGCGAATTGTAGCGGCAGAAATAGATCGGGCGCTGCTGGGACGCGCCGGCAGAGGAAGCGGAGCTCCAGGTGTTAAATGGCGTCACTTCGTACACTCCGGATATGGTGGCTTTCGCTTTCCTATTTGTTGTTCCCTCGACGTCGCCGTCTACGGGATAATTGGGATTTACTTTATTGAAGCTGTTGTCATTATCCTCCACACTGCTCGCGGCGGATGCAAAACTTCTTGTTCCTCCTGTCGCCGAGGACGCGCTCCTACTACTTGCTGCTGCACTTAGCGCGCCCCCCGCGCCCGAAGATTTATTTTCGGCTCCAGCCACCACTTCCGGGAACATTCGGTACCCGACGTGCTGCTGCTCTTGTTCGGCAATAGTAGTTCCAGCACGGCTAGTTGCTGTAGATGTCGTAGTTCTTCCACTCGTAGTTGTACTACGACCCCCAGGACAGATCAAAATATCCAGAGTGTGATTTTTGTCGGCCGACGCGGTGTTGCCGAAGATCGCGCTGCTCGTGCCCGAACTCACGCTCTCCTCTCCGAACAACCGCTGCACGCTATGCATTGCAAACATGAATGGGTCTGGGAGGATGCTGCAAACTTGTGTTGCTGTCTTTGGATTCGGACAGAATCTGCATGGCATGACCAGCAACAGGAGTCCAGTTTGTGCTACGCGGAGAGGGCATTTCTCATGCAGGATAAGCATCACGAAGCTCTCGAAAAGTCAGTCTCAGTGGTGCGAGGTCATGCATTACAGCCATCATGTTCATGGGTCATGCCGAATGTGCATGACAATAAACCTTGCATCTTTCGTCCAGACCCAGACATCTTTGCATTTGATATACGCGCATGCGGCGCAACTCCGCGGGGGTCAGGTAGGAGGACCCGAACTTCTGCGAGAAAATCCTCTGCGCCAAACACTGCGCTTTAAAAAACTCGATTACGTCGGCGTACTGTCTCTCGGCATGGGAAAGCAAAAATCCACCTTCTGCTTGGTCCGGCGACAGCAACGAGGACATCTGTCCTGCGACACGTTGCCCCGAAGTGGAAGTCGAACTTGTTGTTCTCATCAGTTCCGTACTACGAACTTTCACGTGCTGAGACGCGTACGAGGCGGCGAAAAGCAGATCCGAATCGGGTGGTACATTGATGTCGCTGTTTAGTATTTTATTTCCCCCCGTCGCTTGTAGTTGTGGCACATCGCTCGTTCCGAGAAAAGCTGCAACCGCACCGCCTCCCGCCAACCCATCCTCTAACCTATCAGGTGCAAAAGTGTCTGGGTCTGGAAAGTTGGAACTTGTGATGCTCACTTTGGACTCTAAAAAAATCTGTATTGCATGACCAGCAAGAGGAGTCACATTTGTGCTACGCGAGGAGGGCATTTGTCATGCAGAAATGGCATCAGGAAGCCTTCCAAAAATCTGTGATGCTGGGCCATTCATTACATTACAAGCATCATGGGTCATGCCAAACAAGCATGACAAGCCTTGCATTCTTCCAGACCCAGACATATTTGCATTTGATATAACCCGGCCTGAGACAGGCACGTTTCGTTCTTTTCGCAGAGCAGCTATTGTGAGGAATAATCCCCCCTCCCCATACCAAACCGGGACACTTCTGAAAATTTGTGATGCAGATTTGAGACCACAAATCGTCGCTGTATTGCACCATGAAGGCAAGTCTACAGGCTCCGCCACATTCTACAGGCGGTTTGTCATGCTGTTGCTCCTACAGCGTAGACGTCTGCCATGCGAAGCGCCTAGGCCAAAACTTGTCTACTCAGGCCTGATATGGGCCTGCAGTCCTCGCCAGCAAGACAAATCTGATCTGTGACCTCAAATACAGCATCACAAATTTCGTTTTCGATATGGGGAGGGGGGATTTTTCCTTTCGATAGCAGCCGCGCGCTGTTTTGCACGACCAACTTCCCGCAGTCGAAAAGCCAGCCGGGGTAGTATCAAGTGTAAAAGTGTCTGGGTCTGGAAGGATGCAACTTGGGATGCTGCATTTGGATTCCAAAAAAATCTGTATTGCATGAGTACCAAAGGCAATGCAATTTTTGCTACGCTGAGAAGGCATTTGTCATGCGGAATACGCATTAAGAAGCCCGCAAAAAATCTGTATTGCTAGGGTATGCATCACAGACATCATGGCTCATGCAAAACGTGCACGACAAGTGTCAGAATCTTCCAGACCCAGACATTTTTACAGTTGATAGGTAGGCATTTGTGACTTCCGTGGGTTTTAGTGTGCCTAGCTGCTGCAGCTCCTCCCGAAAACTGCTCGACAAAGTGGCGTGTTGTGTTCCTGGTGCACCGCTTGTAACTGTTCCTAGCTCCGCTAAGAAGTCGGGAGCAGCTGTTGAAGAAGGATTTTGTGCGTCAAAATTCTGGTTGTCCTCAGAATAAGTTTTGTACATGACAAACACATCTTTCCCATACACCTCCCGGTGGGCGCAATTTTGGTACTTCTTTGGGAGAAAAGCCGAAGACGAGGAGGAGGATATTCCCCTCGTGGTCGTGGGGGGAACAAAAAGTTCTTCTTGCAGCCACCGGTCGGCGTCTTCCTTGTTCTGAAACAACTTCAATTCGCCCGCGAAGGCAGCGTGACCGGAAATAGAGTTGTCGGCTTTGTGACCTTCGTACGCCACGCAAATGTCCAGCAGCCGGTCCCACCGTGTCGCCAGTCGGGCGGTTTGGTATTGTGAGGAAAAATCCCCCCTCCCCATACCAAAGCGGGATACTGTGACGCTGATTTGCGATTTGCGACCACAAATCGTCTCTGTCTTGCAAGAAGGCAAATCCAAAAACCTGGCCGCGTTCCGCAGGCCGTTTGTAATGCTGTATGGCCTACGGAGGATATGCCTGTCTTGGTAGGCGCCTACACCAAAACGCCCCTACTCCCGATTTGTATCTGCCTGCAGTCCCCTACTGCAAGACAAAGCCGACTTGTGTACACAAATCCCGCATCACAGATTTCCATTTTGATACGGGGAGGGGGGATTTTTCCTTTTGATATTTGGTCCTCTTGGAGCACCGGGATTATCTGCTCCGCGAGGAGCTTCTGCCGAAAGCGGAGAATCTTGTCGGCGCGCGTCAAGTCGCTCATAATTTCGAGAGGACTTCGTGTATGCTTATATGATGATGCTGTGTCGTCTTTGGTACAATTATATGGGAATAAAAATCCAAATCCTAAATCGAGAAAATAAGAGAAGAAGAAACAAGTATTTAAAGAGTGTAGTATCGCTTGAAGGTCGTGGATGAAAAGAGGTGACAAGCTGTAGAAGTAGTACAGGCGACAGTGGTGTAAAAATTATTTGCTGTCTAGCTTAAAAACTTAAGGTACTAGTTCTCAATAACCGTATCAAATCTTGAAAGTCCTGAAGGTACCACGTGGTCGAAGAAGTGTTGAGAGCCTACAAGATAAAATCGCAAGCCGAGAGCAACATCTGGGGAGAGAACGAGAAGCATCTTCACAGCATCGGATGGTGGTGGAAAATAAGTCTTGGATAGTAGATCCAAACAAACCAGTCTTGCTGTTGCAGAATCACGACCTTTAGATCGTACAATCTGGCCACGAAAGCGATCTCGATCCTCTGGCTCTGTCTGTCGCAAATGCGCCTTTCTTGGTGGATATGCATATGCTAGTAAAACAACCAGCTTTATTTCACTGTAGTCAACTTGAGTCCAAGACGGTATAATAACAGAATTGACGAGCTGCAGCATTTTTGCGCCGATGAAAAATTCTCCACTTGCATCAAGGGATGAACAAGTAGAAATAAAACAGTATTGTGCCAATAAATGCAGCACCACTGCCGGAGGAGGTTTTTTCCTCGACGTCTTCTACCCTGCGTGTTTTTGCCCCTTGATGGTAAAGCTTTGTCACAGCATGACCACGGTCCTCCTCCTCCGAGGATCAAGAAACGACAAAACTATCACATCACCGCATTCTGAGCCTGTTTCCTCGCCAGGTCATACATGAAAAAAGGATGCGCCGGTGAATATCCTTTGTAAAAACGTCCCCACATCACCCCTGTCAAGTTGAGATCTCTACTGCAACACAGATCCAGGAGTTTTGGGAGCCACGCCTGACAAGTTCCAGCCCGTAGCGTAGCGCAGGTTCCTAAGGACCGCAGCATCGCAAATCCATCTGCTCATCCTATCTCCAGCATTCCAAATTCCAAAACACGATTGGAAATACCTACTTATAGTGGGGATGCGCATCACAAATGTTCCGCTCATGGCAGATCTGCATGGCAACTCTGAGGTGGGGAAGTTTTTACAAAGGATAGTGAATTCCTGGACGGCCGGGCGTAGAAGGCGAGCAGAAGAAACACGACCGCGAAATGGATTGCAAATAAGTATCCCTGGATGTCTGGAAGATTGAAGCTTATGATGCGAAATCTGAATCAGGCAACAAACTGTGTTGCATGACTGCCAAAGGTAACTTTTGGCAATCATGCCTCGCAAGTAGTTGGTCGAAAGTGGACAACGAGGATGCTTCTCTTCATGCAAGATAGGCATAAGAAAGATCTCACAGAATCTGTCATGCTCTGTCCTACATACCAGACCTTATGGGTCATGGAACAAGACCTGCATGACAAGCCTAAGCATTCTTCCAGACCCGACATATTTGCATTTGATACGCGAAAAGGAGAAACCAAATCCAGAAGAAGAGCAGCGCGCCTGTCCGGAAATCGGTCTTGTCCTGAAACGGATCCTTGGACCAATTCAGCATGAATATTGCGTCCTTCCCAGCTGGCCACTGCGGCAGCGCGAACCTTGCCCGAGCCATGCGGATGGCGTTGAGGTACAGGAGCTTCTCCTCGTCTATCCCCTGCTCGGAGAAACTGTATGCATTGCAAATATGTCCGGGTCTGGAAGGGTGGAACTTGTCATGCTGTCTGCGGAACCTAAAACTATCTGTGTTGCATGAGCAGCAAAAGGGGTCCAGTTCTTTGCACGCAGAGAAGGAATTTCTCATGCCTGATAAACATCAAGAGGCCCTCAAAAAATCTGTGATGCGAGGACCTGCATCACAGACCTCACGAGTCATGCAAAATGTGCATAGCAAGCCTGGCAATCTTCCGGACCCAGAGAGACATATTTGCATTTGATAGACTGCTGTAGGTTGCCAAAATCCCCGTCTTCGTCGCGGCCAGCTCCTCCACGCTGCCGAAGACCTTCCCAAGCCCGGTGCTGCCGCAGGTGAATTCCCGGAGTTTTTCGTCGCAGCAGTTCAACCCGACCGCCCAAAAGGAGTAGGGCTTGTCATCCTCCACCCGCAGGGAATCGGACATCACGGGGGCGACGCAGTAGGTACTGCCGTCCTTTTTCAAGCCGAGCGTCTATCCAAGAAAACAACTGTGTTAGTGTAACTTTCTTTGGCTGACAGCATCACAGACTTCCTCTACATGATAGAGAAAACCTGTCATGCGTGGCTTGTAAGGGAAAACACACATTGAAAAAAAACTTCATGGCTGTCTGGCATGACAGGCGTAACTGTCTTGCATGTTCTGCATTACAGTAGAGTTACACTTACACAGTTTTTTTCTTGCATAGCGTCCGCGTGTAGTCGAGTCTGCTGTCAGTATGAAATGTAAAAATGTCTGGGTCTGGAACATTGCGAGATTTGTCTTGCAGATTTTCCATGACCCACGAGGTCTGGAATGCGGCGCCGAGCATGACAGAGTCTGTGAGGTCTCTGCCATGCCTATCCCGCATGAGAAACTACCTCCCAACCTGGTCGAAAGTGGACAGCTTTTGGCACTCATGCAACACAGATTTTTCCATTATTCGGATTTAGCATGACAAGTTTTAATCTTCCAGACCCAGACATTTTTGCAATGCATAGTCAGCGGAGAAACGCAATACCGCAGCGTCCTTGTACATAAGTGCTGCGTTGGTGGCGGCGACGCCGGTGTTATGGATGTGTCAGGTTCGATGAAATCGACAAAGTTGAAAAAATGATTTGTCACGCATAGAATGCAACACAGAGACTCCCTCTATTGCAGAGGACGCAAGGGAGGCAGATTATACAAGGGTCAAGAATTGGGTTGCTGACTAGCATGACAGGGAGGAGCCCTCTTGCCCTAAACAGCATGACAGACCTGCTTCAGGGGCCAGGAAAATTTGTCATGCGCCGAATGGAAACTGTGGGCGGTTTCTAACTGGTATAGATTTTACGCATTACAAATTATTTCAACTTTGTTAATTTCAATATTGACAGTTCCATAGGTGTGCAGGTGGCCATACTCCAGGTCGAAGAAATGGCGTTGGTACCTGTGTAGTTTGGTGTCGGTACTATTTGTAGTACAACATGCATCTTACGGCTTTTCCAGAAAATTACGAGAGTAAATCTTGTCCTGCTCGGAAGACGAAGATTTCATTGATTTATGCAATATGAAATGCACAAAAGCGCCGAAGCCGATAAGCAAATTAACAACCCGTACCAATGATAGTTCGTTTCGCCAAGCCAGACCGCGAGCAACACTTTTTTATGCAGCGCAAACAGAGATCAAGCATGGCAGAGAACAACTCTTGGAAGTTCTTTGAGATCGGGTTTCACTTTCAGTCCATTCACACCAGCTGCGAAAATGAATCAGCTCAGGCTTAGTAGAAACAATCAACTGCTGCTTGTGATCAAGATCATGCCTCCACTGCTTTGTCGTTCAGATTCAGCGCAAGACAAAATCTTATAATGTCTCATCTCAAAATCTTTTCAGCGCAAGCCAAAATCTTTTTGTCCCGAACATGATCTTCTCTCCCATGCCAAACCCAATGTTTGCCTTTGTCGTAAGCTCTATCAAATGTAAAAATGTCTGGGTCTGGAAGAATGCAACCTGTCATGCTAAATCTGAAGCATGCAAAAATCTGTGTTGCATGCGTACCAAAAGCTGTCCAGTTTTGACCAAGTCGGGAGGAAGTTTCTCATGCAGGATAGGCATGAGAGAGATCGCACAGAATATGTCATGCTAGGTCCTGCATTCCAGACCTCATGGGTCCTGGAAAAGCTGCATCACAAATCGCGCATTCTTCCAGATCCAGACCCAGACACTTTTTACATTTGATAAGCTCCGCTACACGCCAACAGGGGCATCCACCGCCATACCGTTTGCCTCACTCGCACCTCCCCTATCAAATGTAAAAATGTCTGGGTCTGGGAGATTGCGAGATTTGTCATGCTTGTCTGGCATGACCAAAAAGTTTGTGATGCGTGTCCAAGAAGAGACCCTGTTACCTGTCATGCAAAAACGCAGGCTGTCATGCGAAAAACGCAACACAAAGAAGCGCAGATATTTCTCATGCTTGGCTGTGCATTACAGAGCATTCACTAGTTTCCAGCGCAGCATTACAAGTTTCCAGACCCAGACATATTTGCATTTGATATCCCCGCCGGGAAATCCATAGAGCGCGGCGAAGAACAGCCCAATTAGCGCGACTGTGAAGGTGTCAAACTTGTTGTTATCAAATGCAAATATGTCTGGGTCTGGGACGAGAATCTGAGACTTGTCACGCACGTTTTGCATGAGTCCTGATGTCTGTGAAGCATGCCCTGGCATCACACATTTTTTGAGGGCTTCTTGATGCCTAATCCGCATGACGAATGCCCTTTCCGCGTAGCAAAAATTGCATTCCCTTTGCTACTCATGCAATACAGATTTTCTTGGAGTCCAAAGGTAGCATCACAAGTTGCATTTCTCCAGACCCAGACATATTTGCAATGGATAGTTGTGGTAGGAAAACGACAACACGGAAAACACCACGGTGAAGAGCACAAAAGCAGTAGCCCACGCGGCGGACACGGCAAACTTCTGGCCAATTTGCAGCCCCGGTTTCGGCCCGTCGGGGAACTGGCGGTCGAAATTGTTGAAACCTTGCTGCGCGGCTCCGGGCCCGGGGCGGAACCCCTGTTGTGTCCCGGTAGTTGTGCGACGCATAGTTTTTTAGCTTTTCATGCAGTGGCCTTACTTATTATTCGGGGATTTTATTGCAGTGAAGTACTTCTTAGGTTGAAAACCGGATAATTGAAAATAACAATAACCACGCACGAAAGTTTTAGAACGGACTACAGCGTGGGAAAAACTTGCTCCCTCGGCATCACTCTGCAGAAATTCTTTTGAATGCTGTTTCACTCCAGCAGAAGCCCAATGCACATCACATCTCGAGGAAGGAGCTCCTTAGGGAAACAATTAACAACATCAAGAAGAGAACAAGAAGAGAGCAGTTTGAAATAAATCTTGAGGCAGACAAAACGACCCTGTTCTTCTATCAGGCCAAATAAAACGAAGATCTGGCAACTGCACCATTGCCAAAACTCGCGCGTCGTTTAGAAGTTCTTGGGACGAACAGTATTCTCTTGACTTTCTGTCTGTATTCTCAAGGACTCTGTTCTGCTGGCGCTTGCGGAAGATGGTGCACCCGCAGCCACACTTGTTCCACCTTCGGAAGTAGTAGTAGAGAAAAATGATTGCTCCTCCTCTTGTTCCGACGAATCATCATGATTTGAGAAAATGACTCCGCCGCTCGAAGCAGAAGTGCTAGTGCTCTATCAAATGCAAAAGTGTCTGGGTCTGGAAGATTCCCAGGCTTGTCATGCAGATTCTCCATGATCCATCTCGTCTGGAATGCAGGACCTAGCATGACAGATTCTGCGAGATCCGTATCATGCCTATCCTGCATGAGAAACTTCCTCTCAACTTGGTCAAAAGTGAACAGCTTTTGGCATTCATGCAACACAGATTTTTGCACGATCCGGAATTAGCATCACAAGTCGCATTCTTCCAGGAGACCCAGACACTTTTACAATCCATATGCTCCCACGAGCAGCTATAGTACCCAGGAGCTCCGCATCGATTTCGTCCAGGATTCTTCTCCCGAAACTTATGCAAGACAAAAACTGTGTAAGTGTAAATCTGTGATGCAGAAAATGCCAAACAGTTACACTTGTCATGCTCGACACGCATGATCGGCTCGCTTCCTATGTGTTTTCCCTTTGTATCTGCGCATAACAAGTTTGTCCTGTCATGGCAGACAAACTTGTGATGCTGTTTTCCCAAAAGACTTACACTAACACAGATTTTTTCTTGGATAAAACTGACCGCCTTTTCAAAATCGCGGACCAGTACTTCTGGCTCCGCATTTTCTTTCAGCACAACTTTCTTCAGCAGTCTATCCACCTCCAGCTCCTGCATGATTTTCTGTTTCGCCTCACCATCCCGCATATCAAATGCAAATAGGTCTGGGTCTGGAATAAACTTGTGATGCAGGGAAGGGAATTATAGCGAGCACACTCTAATGCGCTGCCAAGCATGACAAAAGTTTTATTTTCGTGGTTCTGAATTGCGTACTCCGCATGAGAAACTGCGCTTTTCCGCAACAGGCAAGAGGAGCACCTTGCGGCCACGCAACACAGAGTCCAGAGTGATGCCAGACTAGCATGACAAACCTTGTAATCTCCCAGGGAGCCCAGACATATTTGCACTTGATACCGCATCTGCAACTCGCTGAAGAAGCGTCTTCTCTCCTCCGTGGGCAGCTCCGTCTGTTTGAATTTTTCCCAGTACTCGTAAATCAGTTCCCGCGATTGCTCGAAGTGCCGCGATATCAAATGCAAAAATGTCTGGTGTTTTGTCTGGAAACAAGACCTTGGTACAGCACGGGGAAGAGAACGACTTGAACTTTTTGAAGAAAGAAAAGAAAAGAGAACTACGTGGATGCACTATCTAGAGAGAGATGAAACATGCTATTATGTCCACCGGTGGAACTAACTACTGCTACTTATACTATCACTTGCGCAACATACAAATTGGGTGCAATGAACTTCTGCCCACGGGGTCCCGCAGGCTCTACCAAGGTGCTACGCTGGCCAAAGCGCTAGGCACCTGGGAGCCTGTGGGTGCTCGCGCAGTAGTGTCATGGCCGTGCGAATAGCACACCGTGGGTGCATGCTCACTACTATTCGCTGACACTACTGCCGTTCATGACCCTATCCCCAAATGCGCATTCGAAATAATTAAACTAAGAACTATCACAGCTGGGTCTGGGTCTGAGCAAAAATGTCTGGGTCTGGAAGAATGCAAGTTTGTCGTGCTTGTCTGGCATGATTCGAGAATCTGTGTTGCATAGGCACGAAGTGGCCCTCTTGCCTGTCATGCAAAAACGCAGTTTGCCATGCGGAATACGTAAGACACACATGGAAGCCAAAAAATTTGTCATGCATAGCTGCGTATTGCAGTACGTCTATCATTCTCATTCACTTTCAGCATTACAAGTTTCCAGACCCAGACATATTTGCAGTTGATACGCGAGCCGGTGGAAAAACAAAGTAGATGGTCCCAGGTAATGTACAAGAGCCCGTAGTCCTGGTGCCAGATGTGATTCGTGTAGCCGTCGATCGTCATGACCAAATTTCCCTCGTAGTCCAGCTCCGTGCTCTGGGGGGATAGGAGAAAGTAGAGATGTAACAGGAACGCGGAAGATTTGCTCGCTTTTGAAGCGGCGGGGTTGGAGGTCGTGGTGGACTCCTGATGTTCATCGCTGTTGGTCATTCTCATTTCATCATCGTGGTTCAACAGTGCTTCATCATTTTCGCTAGTAGTTGTACTTCTCGCTATCCCCCCGTATTATAATGAAAAATGCCCCCCTCCCAGAACTTGGCAGCGTTTGTATTGCAAACCTTTCCAAGGGAAACATTCCCCGTCTTGCATATCTCAGCATCACAAATAATTTTCCATGGTGAATAGTTCAAATTTGTGTTGCAAAGGAGCCCTACAGCAGCCGGATCTGTTATGCACAAGACACCTTGCGCAGTCTAGGTTCTGCACCAGAAAGACTCGTAGTCCTTTCATGCATAGATAAAAAGCTCTTCATTTGAAAACCTTAAAAAATATGCATGACAAACTTTTGCAAATTAGGGGGTGGGGGCATTTTTCATTGTAATACCCCGCCACTGCAGTTCACCACATCCAACGCCTTCCGCTGCACGGGCAAGACAAACGCGTTGTCGTATCGTAAGGAAAAATCCCCCCTCCCCATATCGAAAAGCAGCTTTGTCTTGCAATAGAGCAATGCAGGCATATACGAAGCCCGAGCAGAGCAGTTTTGTTGTAGGCGCCCAGCATTGCAAACGTCTACGCTGTAGGACCAACAGCATCACAAACCGCCTGCAAAATGCAGCGGAGCCTGTGGAGTTGCCTACTTGCAAGACGATTTGTGGTCACAAATCAGCATTACAAATTTTCTGAGGCGAGGACATTTTCCCTCACGATATGTCGTGCTTCGTGACGGGCAGGAAGCCCTCGCGGTTTTTCAAAAGATTTTGAACGCTGTCAAATGCAAAAATGTCTGGGTCTGGAAGAATGTAAACTTGTCATACTTGTCATGCAGATTTTCCATGACCCATGAGGTGTGGAATGCGGGGCCTAGCATGACAGACTCTGTGAGGTCTCTGCCATGCCTATCCTGCATGAGAAACTCCCTCCCAACTTGGTCGAAAGTGGACAGCTTTTGGCACTCATGCAACACAGATTTTTGCATGCCTCAGATTTACCATGACAAGTTGCAGCCACCTTCCAGACCCAGACATATTTGCAATCCATAAACGCCTTCGTTCTGCGCGAACTCGGGGTCCACGGGAACGAGGTTCCAGGTGGTGCAATCGATACCAGTATCGGCGGCAGCAGCAGTGCTTTTCTTCCCTTCGCCAGCATGACTTTGAAATTTTTCCAAAAACCGCAACAACCGCGTCACCTGCTGCAACTTTCCAAACAGGAACCCCTCCTGCGGCATGTTGTAGTGGGTCGAAAACTGCGGCACGCGGATGTCTTGCCGCCCGTCTTGGTAGGCAGCGAACTTCTCTCGCCGGAAATAGTTAGCGCAGAAAGAACTTCTTTTCCTCGTTGCATGATCAGCAGCTTCTACTTCTGACGACGGTATTAAAATTTTTAAAGTGCTGGACAGTTCTTGCTCATGTTTTGCTTTTTCGGTAGGAGGTTCTACTTCTGACGTGTGATCTGCAGTTTCAACGTCTGGAACTACGGCCTTTTCATCCTCTAGTTGCTGCTCCACCAGCTTTAGATCTTGATTCCCCTCTCCCCCATTCGGATAGTCGATTTGCTCGAACCTTTCGTTCAATTCCCCCCTCCCCTCCTTCGCTCGGTCATTGTCCCCGAACGCCGTCTATCAAATGCAAATATGTCATCTGCGGATGGAAGATTCGAGGAGTTCTTTGTCAATCATGCACAATTGTACATGACCCGAGCTGCCTGTGATGCATGCCGCAGCATCACAACTTTCGGAGAGTGCCCAGAGGACATATTTGCATCGCATATCGTCCCCTCCGGCCACTGGAAGTATTGGGAGGAAAAATCTCCCCTCCCCATATCGAAAAGGTATGTTTCCGAAATTTTGTCTTGCTGATTCGAGACCACAAATCACGTCTGTTTTGCAAGAAGACAACTCCGCTGGCTCTGCCGCACTATGCAGGCGGTTTGTCATGCTGTTGGGCCTACAGCATAGACGTTTCTCATGCTAAGCGCCTAGGCCAAAAGCTCTCTACTCAGGCTCGGCAGGAGCCTGCAGTCCTCGCCAGCAAGACACATCTGATTTGAGTACGCAAATCCAGCATCAGAAACTTCGTTTTGATATGGGGAGGGGGGATTTTTCCTTTTGATAGGAAGTCCCGACAAACATCGAGCACCTCCACCGGCTCCACGGGCAACCCGGCGGGCAGCACTAACTTCTCGCCCAAACCCAGATTGAGAAAAGAATTCACGAGATTCCTCCTCGCCCCGCAGCCGTGGTGGTGAAACCCGATTTTTTCCGCGTCGAGAACGAGCAGCAGGGTGCTTTTCTCCTGTAACTCGAAGAGGAGAGAGATAAAAATGAGAAATCCCCCCTCCCCATATCAAAGCGGAAATCTGTAATGCGGGACTTGTGTACACAAATCGCGCTTGTCTTGCAGGAAAGCACTGCACGCAGATCGCAAGCCTAAGCAGGGGCCTTTTGGTGTAGGGGCCTAGCATGGCAGACGTCTGCCCTGTAGGCCTTGCAGCATTACAAACGGCCTGCATATCGTGGCGGAGTCTCTGGATTTGCCTTCTGGCAAGACGGACAGGATTCGTGGTCACAAATCTGCATCACAAATTTTCGGAAGGACGTGTTTTCAATATGGGGAGGGGGGATTTTTCCTTGCAATAAGAGAGAATTCGGCGAAGAGCTGAAAAAACTGCTGGAAGTACTCCAGAACGCGATTGGAACTACTGGTTGCTGCAGCTGCATCTATGCAAGAAAAAAACTGTGTAATTGTAAATCTGTGAAACAGAAAATGCAAAACAGTTACACGTGTCATGCTGGACATGCATCAGAGGCTCTCTTCGTACCTGTTTTCACGTACTAGCCGCGCATGACAGACTCTCTCTGTCATGCAGAGCAAACTTGTGATGCTATTCCTCCAAAAAAGTTACACTAACACAGTTTTTTTCCTGGATAGCAGCCTTGTCGTCACCACTACTACCATGTTGACCATCCTCCTCCTCCTCGTCCTCCTGTACCTGGATGACATTCAGCTGGATCCGTGTTTTCAAGCCCGGAAACAAGTTTTCTTTCACCTCCGCGATCTTTGTGCTGAAAAACACCGCGAGTGTGTCGAAGTAGACCTGGTAATTGAACTCGGAATTGTGTTCTTCGTCCTCTGAGTCAACTGACCGCCCTTGTGCTTGTCTTTCTTCCTCGTCTTATGGATGTGTCAGGATCGAAATCGACAAAATCGAAAAATTTGCAATGCATGAAATGTAGGGCAAGTAGGGCCTGTATTGGGGAGCAAGCAAATGAGACCGATTGCCAGCCTGTTTAGGAGGAGGCGATGTGCTACCAGAGTAGCACGACAGGAGCAGTCTTCTTTGCCCAAACAGCATGACAGACTGGATTTTGGTGCTCACAAAATTTGTCATGCGCCAGTTGGAAACTGAGGCTCCAACTGGTATCGATTTTATGCATCACGCATTATTTCGATTTTGTTGATTTCAATCCTGACAGTTCCATACGTCTTCGGCTGCCTTTCGTACTTGTTCCGCCAAAAGCTGCTCGTATATCAAAAGGAAAAAACCCCCAGCCCATATCGAAAAGGGGATTTGTGATGCTGGATTTGCGTACACAAATCCGAGGCGTCTTGCTGGAGAGCACTGAAGGCACATACTAAGCGTGAGTAGCGGGGTTGTGGCTTAGGCGCTTAGCATGAAAAACATCCGCGCTGTAGGTCGAACAGCATGACAAACCGCCTGCACAATGCGGCGGAACCTGCGGAGTTGCCTTCTTGCAAGACAGACGCGATTTGTGACCACAAATCAGCATCACAAATTTCCAAAAATATACCTTTTCAGTATGGGGAGGGGGAATTTTTCCTTGCAATATCGTATTCCTTCCAACCTGACTGCGCAGTTTTCAGAAACTCGTCGAGTAGAAGGTAGAAGTTGGTAGTTCTACTTTTATTTTCTCGGTGTTCTATACTATTTCTTGGCACGACGACTGTGTGCGGTCGGAGCGCGGCGGGTAAATTCTCGATCAACCGGGTGGCTTTGTCGATGTTCATATTTTGTTCCTCCTCGTGTCGTTGGAGTTCATCATCATCATCATCCTTCGTCGCTGCAACTTGTGGACGTGCTGGTGGCTCCTTCTCGGTTACTTCCTCGTTCACAATGACGACCTTCAGATTCTCATTCAGCTCCTTCTTCACATGCAACGCGGTCTCCTGCTCTTGCATCACGGCGCCCAAATGCGTCTTCAGCAAAACCACGACTTTTTGTGGCAAGAGCCTGTTTGCAACTGTTGAACTGGTGCTCGAGAACCTTCTTGCTGCTTCCGGAACGAGAAGTGGTGGAGAACTTGCTGCGAGAAACTTCTTCACCCAGAATCCCATGGACTGAAAGAAATTCTCCCCCGGTTCCTTGTGAATCACTGGATCGACGAAAATGCGGCTGTCGACATCCTCTTGGACCACGTCGATGTCTGCTGAGCCTCCTGCAGCTCCTTCACTGTTCTTGGACTTGATAGAACTTTCGTCTTCCTCCGCGCTTTCGACCGCTTCTAGCACGTCTACTCTTTTCGCTGCTGAGTCAGAAGTTGTGGGGAGGTTCTTTAATGTTGCTCCTGCTTTTAATATATGCACTGCAAAAATGTCTGGGTCTGGAGAAAACTTGTAATGCTAGCTCTACATTCCTGGGAAATCTGTATTGCATAACCAACAAAAGTCGCAGCCTCTTTTGTCATGCAAAAACGCAGTTTGTCATGCGGATTGCCTATGAGAAAGCGTTTTGGGAAGTTGTCATGCTGGGCTGCATTCGGAAGCGTTTTCATCATGGACATTATAGCATCACAAGTTTCCAGACCGAGACATTAACATTTTTGCATTTGATACAATATCGATGCTCCTGCAGTATCATCTTCTCTGCCAGTTGTACCCCCCACCTTGCCGAACCCAGAGACCAAGTTTTCGTTTCCAGCGGCCGTGGTGTAGTTACTCAAGAAACCGGCGAGGACCAAGGGCGCCGCAGCAGAATTCGCAAGATGAACTTCGCTAGAAGTAGTACTGGAGGAAGATGAAACAGCACCACTGTGGTGTATCCCACGAAAAAAGTGTTACAGTTACACATTTGTAGTAAATTCAGCAACACAAACTTCTCTGCATGAGAGACAAAAATTGTAATGCAGAAATCCTACGGGAAAATACCTATGAAAGGAGGATCCTATGCATATCCGGCATGACAGAGCTCGTCTATCTTGCTTGGCCTGCAGCACAATGTGTAACTGTAACACTTTTCTCTTGCGATATGGTGATCCTTGTCCCCGCTACTGTAGTTTTTGCTCATTTCCGTATGCATTGCAAATATGTCTGGGTCTGGAAGAGCGTGTACTTGACTTGTGATGCTAAATCTGGATCGTGAAAAAATTTGTGTTGCACGATGAACAAAAGTGTTCACTTTCAAACAAGTCTAGAGGCAGTTTCTCACTCAGGAAAGGCATGATAGAGATCTCGCCTCCGACTCTGTCACGTTAGGCCGTGCATGCCAGACCTCGTGGGTCATGGAAAACCTGCATGACAAACCTAGCAATCTTCCAGACCCAGACATACGTGCATTTGATACTCCGCCTGCTCCGCCAACTCGGTGAGAAACCTTTTGGACAAAAACTCGTTATCAAAAGAAAAAAACCCCCCGCCCCATATCAAAGTCGAAATCTGTGATGCGGGACTTGTGTACACAAATCAGCTGTGTCTTGCAGTAAAGGAATGCAGGCAGATACAAAACCCGGGCGGGGATGTTCTGCAGTAGGCCTGTAGCATGACAGAGATCCCCCCTGGAGGCCTAGCAGCATCACAAACCGCCTGCAAAATGCAGCGGAATCTCTGGATTTGCCTTCTTGCAATAGAGAGACGATCTGTGGCCACAAATCCGCATCACAAATTTTCACAAGTATCCCCTTTTGGTATGGGGAGGGTGGATTTTTCCTCACGATACTCGTTGTCCATTTGCACAATGGAATACCCGCTGCTGTCCTTCCAACACACATTTTCCTGTGTAAAAACGCCCCCACCCCAGAGTTGTCATGCAAATGCGCAATGACAGGAACATTTGCAATGCGCATCTCCATGACAGGCATTTTCAGTCGTGTTTTGGCATTTGTAATGTTGTAAACAGGATGATTAAATGGCTTTGTCGTGCGGCTTTTCTTGCTAGCCAGCACTACACCGCAGATGGAAACTTGTCATGCAGAACTCCCAAAACTTCGAGATTTGTGTTGCAGACTTCCCATCTTGACTATGGTGTGGGGACGTTCTTCCATATGATACACATCGCTGCTGTCCCGCTCGATCTGCATCAACGGCGTGTATGAAAGTGCACAACTCCAACTCCCCCTCATTTGTCATGCAAAACTCCAAAAGTCCACCCTTTGCCTGTTAATAGCACTGTTTGCAAGACGGACTCCGGATAATTCAAAACAGCATCTTTGCAATAATCCTCTAGGAATCTGTCATGCAAAGGCTGCATCTTTGCCAGCGCGGCTTGTGTTGCTGTTCAGGCAACACAAATGAGATGGAGGGGGAGTTGTGCACTCGGATAGCGTGAAAAACTGCACGAAAAGGTCCTTGGAGAAATCTCTTTCCGTCAGTTCCCGCATGTTCCAGTACTTTTTCGCGTACTTCGACTGCTCGGAAAGCATGCGCTCCTTCTGCCGGGCCTGGAACCCCTGCTTGTGGTTTTTCAACAGCTGCTATCAAATGCAAAAATGTCTGGGTCTGGAAGCTTGTGATGCTGGGTGGCGTCTCATGATGAGGCCACAAGTGCTGGCTCAGCATGACAAGTTTCTGAGCTTCTAGGTGTTGCCTATTCTGCATGACAAACTGCGTCTTTGCATCACAGAAGGGTGGGGCATTTGGGTAACGTGCATGACAGATTTAAGAGTCACGCCAGACAAGCATGACAAACCCTGCATTCTTCCAGACCCAGACATTTTTGCAGTTGATAGCTGCACACGGGAAGAGGGGATGACAGAATCCTGGTCCACATGATCCTCTTCTGGTGCAACAGAAGTGCTGGCATCCTCGTTTATCCTGAGCAAAAATGTCCCCACACCAGAGTCAAGATGGGAAATCCGCTAGACAAATCCATAAGCTTTGGCTGTTTCGCATGACAAATTTGGACGCGTAGTGTAGTGCTGTTTGAGCTAGCTAAGCAGCATTACAGATCTAGTATCTCATGCTGATTGGCGCATTACAGATTTCCAAACCGCATTAGAAAATGCTTCTCATGGGGCTCCGCATGAGAAACATTTTAAGCATGCAGAATTGCATGACAACTATGGTGTGGGGACGTTTTTACTCAGGATATCGTTTGTTCCAAACGTACGACGTCCCGAGAGGTTTCTACTCCTGCTCGTCCCAACATTCAAATCTACGTTCTATGAATTGCAAAAGTATCGTACTCGTAGAAATGCATTACAAATTGACTTAGCATTACAAATTAAATTTGTAATGCGGATTTGCCTCAAGAAAAAGATTTGTAATGCATAGCTGCGAAGATTACTACGAGTACGATACTTTTGCACAGGATACGTTCAACGGGTCAACAATTTTCGCTCCGCCGTTCTCCTCCCCGTCGCCCCCGTTTTCGAAGTAGTCGGCCATTTCGTACACCAACGACTGCGGGCTCAAAATGCGGTTCTCCGCGGAAGAAAATCCGGTTTTGTCGCGGTGCTTGAATGGGTAACTGTTCTGCTCGAAGTAGGTGTGGAGCACGTTTTTGTACTCGGAGTTTTTCACTTTCTTCTCCAGCCACAGAATCTCCTGCACGAACTCCTTGTCCAAAAAGGGATACCTCGCTTCGATCCCGAACTACGAATTGCAAATATGTCTGGGTCTGGAAGAATGCAACTTGTGATGCTGAATTTGGATTGCAAAAAAATTTGTATTGCACGAGCAGCGAAAGGAGTCTAATTTTTTCTACACGTAAAGGGGATTTGCCATGCGGAATAGGCATCAAGAAGCCCTCAACAACTCTGTCACGCTAGGGCATGCATCACAGACATCATGGCGCCCGCAAAACGTGCATGACAAGTCTCAGAATCTACTTCCAGACCCAGACACTTTTGCATTTGATACGAACGCGCCGCCGACTAATTCCTCCTTCATAATGTAGTCGCGCATGGTCCCGTATGGATTGTAAAAGTGTCTGGGTCTGGAAGGTTGGAACTTGTAATGCTAGCTTTCCATACCTAGAAAATCTGTATTGCATAAACAACAAAAGTCGCAGCCTCTTTTGTAATGCAAAAACGCAGTTTCTCATGCGGATTGCCTATGAGAAAGCGTTTTGGGAAGTTGTCATGCCGAACTGCATTCGAAAGCGTTTTCACCATGCACATTTTAGCATCACAAGATTCCAGACCCAGACATTTTTGCATTTGATATCCCGAGGAAAAAAATCGCCCACGGGAAAATCTCCGCGAGGTTGTCGGGGAAATACCCTGCGATCGTTGACTATCACAGGGAAAAAGTGTTACAGTAACAGTTACACATTTGTTCTTGGAGTTTCTGCATCACAAAGTTGCTCGCCATGGCAGAGAAAACCTGTCATGCGCAGACCACTGTAAGCGAAAACACGAATGAAATGAGGCTGGCAAGCATTTCCTGCATGACAGAGGTTGTCTGTCTTGCTTGTCTTCCATCACAGTGTGTAACTACTGTAACACTTTTCTCTTAGAATATTGACTGCGGGAAAATCTTTGTCTTGTTGAAGCCATAGTCTGACAAAATCTCGTCCGCGCCGGAGCCGGTCAGGTAAACCAGCGTGCCCATCTGCCGCGCCACGCCCATGATCTGCGCCAGCCCCATGGACGCGTCGTCATCCACGACGGTGGTGCGGCCGACGAACTTCCGGGAAAACGCGGAAAACTCGTACGGCTCCGAGCAGGCCATTAGGTAGGTGCGGATCTGCTGAAACATGTTGTAGCTATAGTCGATAATCGTGGCGTAAGCGACGTCCTTGGAAAAAATGTTCCGCTTGCGAATCACTTCCATGTCCTCTTTCCCCATGATCGTGTAGTAGTAGTGCGGAATGCTGTTCTTCGTCAGGGCCAGGTGAATCGCGCCCGCGTCGTAGCCGGAGGAGAGTCCGAGGAAGGGGGGATGGTATCCTGTGTAAAAACGTCCCCACCCCAGAGTTTGAGTTGTCATGCAGAATTACAATCACAGGAAAACTTGTAATGCGCATCCCCACGAGGGGCATTTTCAATGGTGTTATGCAATTTGTGATGCTGTAAACAGGATACTACCAAGGCTTTGTGATGCAGTTGACCTTGCTAACCCGCATTACAGTAATGAAAAAAAACTTGTCATGCGTGACTCCCAAAACTTCTGGATCTGTGTTGCAGAATTCCCTTCTTGACTCTGGGGTGGGCACGTAGTTTTTACACAGGATAGATGGAGGGAGGTTTTCACCCGTTTGTGGATCGCCTTTTCAAACGCGGCGATCGCGTCTCGGGTGTCCGTTTTGAACTGCCGGAGGTCGATATGCGAGCGCAAAACCCCCCTGCTCCCCCTCATTTGTAATGCAAAAAGCTCAAAGCCACCTCGTGCCCCCGAGCACTGTCTGCATGACAAGTTTCCGAAGCTTAAACAGTGTACACTCTGCACGTAAAGTTGTCTTGCGGAAGCTATATTTCATCATCTGCCGCTGCTTGTATTGCTCTGCATGACCTTACAAATCACGAGAAGAGGGACGTCGAGTTGTGCCCTCTCATAGTCGAATTCGAACAGCGGAAAGTGGTCCAGCAAACGGAGGTTAGGCAGGCCTTGATGCTGAGATTCTACTTCGTGTCGTCCTTTGTCAACATTATCTGCTTGTGTGTCCTCTATCGCAAGAAAAAACTGTTTCACTGTGAACTTGTCATGCATAGAATGGAACACAGAACTATTTGTGTTGCTACACCTGCAAGGCAGTCAATTTTTAAGCGTGTTTCACCTTGGAAAGCGCGCATGGCAAATTTTCTGTGTCATGTGTAGCAATCTTGTGATGCGGATCTTGCAAAACCATCACAGTGAAACAGTTTTTTCGTGGGATATCCTCGTCGACGAGATGAATGGTTTCGTCCTCGTCTCTATCAAATGCAAATGTGTCTGGGTCTGGAAGGACGCAAGGTTTGTCATGCACAGTTTGCATGACTCCTGACGTCTGTTATGCATGCCGTAGCATCGCAGATTCTGTGAGGGTTTCCTCATGCCTATACCGCATGAGAAATGCCCTCTCGCCGTGGCATAAACTCGAGCTCTTTTGCTGTTCATGCAATACAGAATTTTGTAGTATCCAAATGCAGCATCACAAGTTGCAACCTTCCAGACCCAGACAAATTTGCGATCCATAGTCTCGAAGGGTCTTCGTGTGAGGACCAGCAGCAGCTGCAGTTTCTGTGCCAGGTTCTTGTAGTCCCCCACCCAGATCATGAAGATGATGTTCTTGCTGATCAAAAACTTTTGCACTCCTGCTAAACTGTGCGTTTGTGTATGGATTGCAAAAATGTCTGGGTCTGGAAGATTGCAACTTGTCATGCTAACTCCGAATCATGCAGAAATCTGTGTTGCATGAGTGCCAAAAGCTGTCCACTTTCGACCAAGTTTGGAGGGAGTTTCTCATGCAGGATAGGCATGGCAGAGACCTCACAGACTCTGTCATGTTAGGTCCCGCATTCCAGACCTCATGGGTCATGAAAAACCTGCATGACAAGTTTGCACTCTTCCAGACCCAGACATTTTTGCATTTGATATTGTGTAGGTACTCCCAACGTCGCCCGACTTCCCCGTCCTCGACGTTTTCAGAATTCGGTTCAAATCGTATTACAGTGAAAAATGCCCCCACCCCGAAATTGGCAGAAGTTTGTCATGCAAAGTTTCCAAATGAACGCTTTTTGTCTTGCATAAAAGGATTGCGAGCGTTTCTGATGCAGAATCAGGGCGCGCAAGGTGCTTTGTGCATAACAGATCCGGCTGCTGTTGGGCTACTTCGCAACACAGATTTGACCTATTCAGCATGGAAAATTTGTGATGCTGAGATATGCAAGATGGGGAATGTTTCTGTTGGAAAGGTTTGCAATACAGAGGCTACCAAGCTGGGGGTGGGGGCATTTTTCATTGTAATAAATCGCGCTCGAGGTTCAAAGAAAGTTCTTCATCTGCACTATCGTACCCAAACACCAAGGCCTGGTTTGGTGGGATCATGCGCAGTATCAAGTGTAAAAATGTCTGGGTCTGGAAGATTGCAACTTGTCATGCTAAATCTGCAGCATGCAAAAATCTGTGTTGCATGATTACCAAAAGTCGTCCAGTTTTCACCAAGTCGGGAGGTAGTTTCTCATGCAGGATAGGCATTAGAAAGGTCGCGCAGAATCTGTCATGCTAGGTCCTGCATTCCAGACCTCATGGGTCATGGAAAACCAGCATGACAAATCGCGCATTCTTCTAGACATCCAGGGATTTTTGCATTTGATACGCAGACTGCCCGCCGGCGCCCCCGCCCGCGCTAACCCCGACCGATACACACTGACGCCAAAGTGCCAGTAGTTTGTTCTTCTACTTCTCCGATGAGTTCTTTTGTCGGCAGATGAGGTAGATGAAGTAGATGAAGCTTTTATCCTGAGTAAAAACGTACCCACACCAGAGTCAGGATGGGGATTTTGCATCACAAACCTAGGAGTTTTGTGAGTCACGCAGGCATGACAAGTTGCACTCTGCAGTGTAGTGCAGGTTAGCAAGTGCAGCCGCGTCACAGATTCATCTGCTCATGCTGTTCACAGCATCACAAATTCCAAAACACGATCGGAAATGGCTCTCATGCGGATGCGCATTACAAGTCTCCCTGTCTTTGCAAATCTGCATTACAACTCTGGTATGGGTACGTTTTTACTCAGGATAGCTTTACTTGACGCTGACGCGAGGACGACCCCTGCATCGTTTCCAACGGCTCTGTATCAAATGCAAAAATGTCTGGGTCTGGAAACTTGTGATGCTAAAATGTGCATGATGAAAACACTTCCGAATGCAGTCCGGCATGACAACTTTCCAAAACGCTTTCTCATAGGCAATCCGCATGAGAAACTGCGTTTTTGCATGACAAAAGAGGCTGCGGCTTTTGTCGGTTATGCAATACGGATTTTCTAGGTATGGAAAGTTAGCATTACAAGTTCCAAGCTTCCAGACCCAGACATTTTTACAATCCATACTCTCGTTCGTGCAGCTGGGACGAGTTGTTCCTTGCTTCCACCTCCAAACACGCTCAGCCAGAGTGGCTTGGTTCCAAACACGTCCGTGCTGATCACGATTTTTCGCGTCCGTTCGTCGACAACAATGATGGTGAATTCCCCATCGAGAAACTGGAGAAATCTCGGGCCGTAGTGCAGATACAGTGGCAGGATCACATCCCCGTCCGATTTCACGGGAAGGAAGGTCGTCGTCGTCGTCCCGGGGGTTTTTGCAGCTGATTTCGTAGTTACCCTGAAAGCGTCGGCATGCTGCTCGCGGAGCTCCACCCAGTTGTATATCTCTCCGTTGAAAACGGCGAATAGGGTGGATTTGGACTTGGCAGAGGAGGATGATGGCGATTTTGCTGCCGATGTAGTTGATGCGTGATTTTCTATTTCTGTGGATTTCGCCCCCGCCGCTAGCTGTGGTTCATCTTCGGAAGCTGTTCTTGGTTCGGTGGACCCCGTGCTAGAAATTCTGTCCTGCTTCGCGAAGTGGCTCGTGTCCAGGAAAAGGGGTTGCAACCGCTCGGCGCCGGTCATGTGCAGGTGGTTGAAGAGCATGGAAAAGTCGCCATTCCGGTACAGGCTGGTCGCGTCGGGCCCGCGGCTTTTCAAGTAGGTGTTGATCACCGCGAGGTTGCGCAGCACCCAGGAGACCAGCAGAAAAGAGCACATGGCTGCTGGTATATCCGATCCTGGAGCAGACGAGACGAGTGCTGACAAAAACAGAATAAACTAGCAGCACTTAGGAACGGAGGACATAACGGGCGCTAGTACGCCGGGCGCACTCCCTGCCGCGCGAGCGGCATCCGGGTAGTGCTTCCGCTGGTGTTCATGAGCATGTGATAAATTTGCTGGTCGAAACAGAAGCAGACAGAGAGCGCATGACTACGCGTAGTGAAAGGCGTGTTTCCCAACTCCAAGGGGAAGAAGAGGCTCGGTGATCGTCCACACAGGAAAGATCATTCTTGTTGACCGAGAATCAAGAGAACACAAAACAGCAACGCCACTCGATTATCTCTGTCGACCCGGCAAAAGCGCAGCATGATAAGCGCTGCGGAATGCTATAGGTAGAGCGGCACCACAGCGGTAGATACCACGCGGGCGCGAAATGGTACTGCAGCAGCCGGAGGACGCAATTACAGCGAAGCCGCAGGCGCGGGCGCCCGCGCAATCAATGGGCGGAACACGCGGAGCGTCCGCGGGGGGGCTTAATGAATCGCGGCGCAAGGGACAACAGCGCCGGCGGCCGAATCTAACCAATGGGGGCGCACCGGCTGCCCCCGGAAACCGTGCGAATGGCCGGCGCGGCCAACCCAGACAGGCCGCAAAGTCCTGGGCGCGCGACGCGGGCGGCGCCGGCTGGCAGGACAAACACAGAAGGCACAAGGCGGGGCCCGCGCGCTTAGATAGTACGCGCGCAGCAAGCGCGCGGCGGCGCGGGGCTCGGGGGCGGGGCAAAGGGCGCGGCGCAAAGGGCGCGGCGCAAAGGGCGCGGCGCTTTTCCTCTCGCCAATGAGGAGGGGGATTCGGGGCCCGCCGGCGAAGACTTCGGGGCACTACCGCGGACGGGCCTGGCTGGATCGCCGTCCGGGTTCCTGTACGAAACTGCCCGCCTCTACACCGCCGAAGTAAAACCGGCGCGCGCCCGCGGCAAAAGAATCCGCGCCGGGGCCGACCCGGGGCGGCGCCCGCTGTTCGGCCGTGCGGCACCCGGCCCGCTCTTCGGGCCGGTGGCGCTGCAAGGGTGCGGAGACGTGCCCGCTTCGCCGGGCCCCAAGCGCCCCAGAAGGGTGCGGCCGAATCGGCGGCGCCGCCTTCACTCGCGCAGCCTTTCGGGACAGCGTCACCCGGGCGGCAGCCCATCCCCGCGCATGTGTCCCCGGGGAATCCTGCAGGAGCTGCATACATTTCAGGAGTGTATGCCGACCCCAGAGGCGGCGGAGCCGAAGAGCTTCGCGCCCGGCCGCGCCTGTCAGCTAATCAAATCCGCGAGGGATATGGGGCGCGGGCCGCCGCGCCTGCACTGCGTGCTGCAAGGTGCGCGCGGCCGGACTATAAAACCCGGGCCGCTGTATCTATGTGCGGCGCCCCGAGAGACGAGCGCGAAGCCGGACGCGCAGGGCCATTCGAGCGGCAGCAGCGCCCGCGCCCCCGCTACCTCCGGGCGGCCTTTTGCATCCGCGATCTGCCACAACTTCCACAGTTCCCGAAGTATGGCCACCGGGGTGAAGCTTCCCCGCGGCTGCTCGCCACGGCGGTGGGGCAGCCGGCCCGCGCCTCCTAAGCGCATGCCGAAGTCATATACTCTGTTCATTCGCAAGCAAAGCAATCAAGCCGCAACCACACGACCCGAAGGTAAGGCCGTGCCACCTGTCCCATTCGCTCTCCCTTGGCGAAGATGAACACACTTAGACGACTAGCTTGAGCGCGTCGCTTAAGAAGCAGCACGGCGCCAGCATGATCGAACAAAGACAAACTTCTATTTCCCTTACTCAATATATAATATCTTCAGAGGACTTTTCCTGTTCATCACGTCGCTCAGAAATATGAAGAATCAGCCCGAGGGAAAACTCGGGAAAGATCGGCCTCACAGTCGTCTTCTGTTCTTTCAGTGAAAGATCGGAGGTTACAAAGCTTCTAGGAAGGTTCGCTGACTCGATTGATGCTAAAAGCCAACCAAAAGATGCGCTACGAATACAACATCTAATTCTAAATATAAAGCTGACCACGTCGATAGTAGATATAATCCAAATGGCGACGATCATAGGCCAAGTAGTAGTACATCTAAAACTTTATCAAATCTTCATCCTTCTTTCGTCTCCCCCACCACCTCCTCTCCCCTTTTCTCCTCCCGGTTCCTCCCACGTTCCTTCCGTCGTCGCTTCCGGTCTTCCCGAGAGGAACCTCCAGCAGCGCCGTCTTCAACATGCTCTCCTCGCCCCTCATCGACCGGTACCTTCACCCCGTACCAGGCCGCAACTTCCTTCTTCAAGACCAGCGGCAGGGGGCACTTTGCGAAGAACGGCACTGCAGTCGAGTCTGCATCTCCTTCCTGCCTCCCCTTCTCCATTTCCAACAGCGCGATCACTGTCGACAGCGGGTGAAACCGGTCGAACATGCTCAAAGCCAGGTTTACGTGTTCGGAGGCGTTCGTAAATTGCGGATTCTTCACCGTCATGATGTGCACGTGGAAGTACCAAAACGTCGGGTGGTAGTGGATGTACGCAACAAAGTCGTCCTTCGGAATGTTGTAGGTCCTCGCCAACTGCTCCGGAATAATTTTGCTCTCTATCTGCTTCAACAAGGCTAGATGTTTCCCGCTCTGTAAGTCCCGGAGGGACCGGATCGCCGGGTCCTTCAGCAGAAACAAACAGTGCAACTGCTCCGCGACGGTGGTTGGTGTTGTTGACGCAGAAGTAGTTGCAGTAGCAGAACTTATCCAACGAAAAAACTGTTTCACTGTGATGGTTTTGCAAGATCCGCATCACAAGTTTGCTACACATGACACAGAAAACTTGCCATGCGCGCTTCCCAAGGGAAAACACGCTTAAAAATCCAATGCGTTGGGGGTGTAGCAAGACAAATCGTTCTGTGTTCCATTCCATGCATCACAAGTTCACAGTGAAACAGTTTTTTCTTGCGATAGAACTTGCAGTTGCTGTACTATTCAACATCTCGCCCGTACTGACACTGTCGCTTTCCACCCACTTTGAGTCCCGCACGACCAGAAATTCCTCTTCGTCTATCCTGAGTAAAAACGTCCGCACACCAGAGTCAAGATGGTCAATCTGCAAGACAAATCAACCAGCTTTGGTTGTTTGGCATGACAAGTTTGTCCTCGTAGTGTATTCCTGTTTTAGGTAGGTCAGCAGCATCACAGACCTAGCATAGCATGCTGATTCTAGCATCACAAATTCCAAAACACGACTAGAAAATGCATCTCATGGGGCTCCGCATGAGAAACTTTTTTGGCGTGCAGAATTGCATGACAACTCTGGGGTGGGGATGTTTTTACACGAGATATCGTCCACGAGCAAACGGTCCTGTTCCGCTTTACCTTCGATGATATCAAATGTAAAAATGTCTGGGTCTGGAAGAGCCAAACTTGTGATGCTGCATTTGGATGCTAAAAAAACTTGTATTGCATGACCAGCAAGAGGATTCAAATTTGGCTACGCGGAGAGGGCATTTGTCATGCTGGATGCGCATAGATAAGCGCTCAAGAAATCTGTGATGCTATGGCATACATCACAGACGTCACGGATCATGGAAAATGTGCATAACAAAGTTGTGCTCTTCCAGACCCAGACATTTTTACAGTTGATAGATGATGTTCCGCACCCACTGGTCTCTCGCTGCGGTTTTCGGGTTGTTCACAAACTTCTTTTTCGTGACAGAATTATACAAGTCCTCCGTCTCAAGGACCCGGAAAAGCAGCTCGGGTGTCGCTTTGTACACGTCTCTGCGATCAGCGGGAAGGACCAGGGACAGCTTCAAATATCAGAAGGAAAAATCCCCCCTCCCCATATCAACAGGAAGCTTCCGATGCTGATTTGCGTACACAGATCAGATCTGTCTTCGCAGAAAGTGCTTGGCGGCATTTTCTGAGAAGTTTTGGGTATGGGTATGCAGAAGGCTAGCAATTACGCATGACAATGAACAGGTTTGCAGTTGCAGTAGTCGAAAGCGCATGACGAACTGGCTGTCGAATGCAAAACATGGCTCGTCCCTTTACAAACCTATAGGCAGAAGACAAAGGTGATTTGTGGCCACAAATCAGCATCAGAAATTCCCACTTTGATGTGGGGAGGGGGGATTTTTCATTTTGATAGCAAGTCCGCCGCATTCAGGAGCCGCAAGCCGGACACGTATCGGTCGTTGACGGCGATGTTTTCGAAATCCTTGTATCAGATGTAAAAATGTCTGGGTCTGGAAACTTGTGATGCTGAATTGCGCATGATTGAAGCCCTTCCCATGGCAGCCAAGCATGGCAAGTTTTTGAGAGGTCTACTGATGCCTAGCACGCATCACAAATTGCGTTTTCGCATGACAAAGAAAGCCTCTGTCTTGCTGCTCATGCAACACAGATTTTCCAGGAATGCATGACACGCATTACAAGTTCCAACTTTCCAGACCCAGACATTTTTGCATTTGATACCTTGTGAAAACAAGCAATGTCGTTGCTCTCCTTCTTGTTCCCGGTGAGGAGCGCGGCCAGGGTTTTTTCCAAAATACAGCCAGTAGTCGTTGTTTGGTCTTGATCTACTTGTTTCTCATTTGTTTTAGCACCATTCTCGTCCACCATAGAACCGGCACTACTTATCTCTGTATCAAATGTAAAAATCCCTGGATGTCTGGAAGAATGCGCGACTTGTCATGCAGCTTTTCCATGACCCATGAGGTCTGGAATGCAGGGCCTAGCGTGACAGATTCTGTGCGATCTCTCTCATGCCTATCCTGCATGAGAAACTCCCTCCCGACTTGGTCAAAACTGGACGACTTTTGGTAGTCATGCAACACAGTTTTTTGCATACTTCAGATTTAGCATGACAAGTTGCATTCTTCCAGACCCAGACACTTTTACATTTCATACTCTGCCTTCGCAAACAAACTCGCCACTTCCTCGCTAAACGCCGTCTCAAACGTGAGCAGCGCTTCAACATTATCTTTCTCGAGTAGCAACGTTTTGCTCCCGAGCTTTTGCTTGATTTTAAAATTTCTCAGCTTCTCCAGAATCTCCGTGGTGTTGGTGGTCGTTTTGGACGTGGTTGTGTCTTGCTCGGGTTGATGTTCGGCAGCTGTTGTAGTTCCATCGGGAACAACTTGTGAGGTAGCAGTGCTAGGCACAGAAGTAGTCATGTTGTACTTTTTGAAAAGAATAAAACTCTACTGATTTCCCGGGCAGTATCGAAGCAGGGGAGGATGAAAAATAGCGTGTCGGTTTTTGCAGACGACGAGCTAGTCCTACTTATTCTCAACTGGACTCGAAAAAGCTAAAGCAGCGGCGTTCTTACTTGGAGGTCTTTACCACACAGTGGTTATGGTTTTTCTTTTCTTCACAAAAACGTTCTACTTACGTCCTGAACTTATCTGAAAATAAACAGCGCTTGTAGCTCTTCTGTACGAAATGCGTCTGTACTATCAATTAAATGCGCCTGTATAAATTCCTCTTCCCTACAACATTTGGTGACGAAGTGCGAGGATCTTCACCGGTGCCGCGTCGATAATCATAATTCATCCTGTCACGACTTTTCTTCCGGTCGAGAACTACCAGATCCTGAATGGCCACTTTCAATTCAACCGCTAATTCTACGAAAATTCTACTTGTTCCATACATTTTAGCCACAACTAGCACATTGCTGCGAACGAGGACAGCAAGATCGTCATCTTCCGAAGTATCTATACAGAGGAGCAACAAATTCTGATCCTCTTATCCCCGCAATCCCCCCGCCGCCTTCGTGAAAAAATCCCCAATACAACATAATTGGTCGGCGTCACAAATCAAGGGCAGGACGCAGTCCATCGGAGAGCAGGCGCGCAAATGGTGAGTTGCTTTACAGATTGCTATCCTGTTCCACCTCGCTCGGCTGTTTCAAAACGCACGGAGTTGTATGACGTCGCAGTCAAAAAGGAAAAAAATCTCCGATAGGATGAAAAATTATCTGTCAAACTCCAACCCGCTGCAGCAGTTCGTTGCGCAACAGAGAATTATTCTCACTCACCGCTATGATCGAAGGTCGCGCTGTCACGACAACGCAGCATTCCAAAAATTCCCCGACCATCGAAAACGCAGGAAGAAGTAGTTGTAGCTGGAGGCCTCTTTTCCCGCCGACAATAAAGCGAATGTAGTTGTTCCTGGCCCCCAGGAGGTCCCGGCTCCGACGCGCCGTTGCTGGTAGGAATTGTACTACTACTTCTTCCTTTATCAAATGTAAAAATGTCTGGGTCTGGAACAATCCAACTTGCGATGCTGGATTTGGATTCCAAAAAAATCTGTATTGCATGAGTACCAAAGGGAATGTAATTCTTGCAACGCGGAGAGGGCATTTGTCATGCGGAATAGGCATCAAGAAGCTCGCAAAAAATCAGTGATGCTAAGGCATGCATCACAGACATCCGGGCTCATCCAAAACGTGCATGACAAGTGTCAGAATCTTCCAGACCCGGACATTTTTACATTTGATATCCTTTCTCCCAATGCTCCGTCAACGTGTCGAAAATTCCCAGGAAGTCATCCCGAAACCGGCCTATCAAAAGGAAAAATCGTCCCTCCCCACATAAAAACGAAACTTCTGATGCTGGATCTGGGTACACAAATCCAATTTGTGTTGCAGTAAGGGAATGCACGCAGACCCTGCGCCTAGGCAGGACCCCTTTGGTGTAGGCGCCTAGCATGGTAGACGGCTACCCTGTTGGCCTTACAGCATTACAAATCGCCTGAATAACGTGGCGGAGAGCCTGGGTGTGCCTTCGTGCAAGAAAGACCCGATTTGTGGTCACAAATCTGCATCACAAATTTTCAGAAGAATGCGTCTTCAATATGGGGAGGCGGGATTTTTCTTTGCAATACGACCGATCGTGGACACACCCAGTCGGTCGGAAGAGTACCCGAGGGAAGACAGACCGAAGGATTCCGCGAAGGTTTTTTCGCGGTCGTGGAAGAGCGATGGAACGGCAGTGGAAGAACTTCTTCCACCCGAGGAGCCCCTGCCTCGCGACAGCGTGACTGCTGCGGCGGTAGTGATAATTCTTGAGGTCTTTATGACAACACGACGAGGAGGACCAGGTTGTACTTGTAGCACTTGTTCTAACTCAAGTTCTTGCAACAGAAAAGCCGTCAGCAGCGCGGACAGTAAGCGACGAAAAGTGGTCCGCTTGATGCCTCCGCTCCTCGTGGTCATGGTTGTTTCTTTTTGTCGTGATAGAAATCTTCTGCTAGGGGTTGCATTCTTGTATGGGGTATCAATACGATTTCGATGCTCGTGACTCTGACCACTAAGGACAAACTTTGTAGTTCCTGACACCATGGCTACTTAAGTACTTCCTTTGCAAAGGTTCTGGCACGGAATACTAAAATTCGGTTATACTATGAGCCGAAAACTGGATCTTCTTGTTGCTGTCCCAGCACACCTAAGCAAGTAGAAGGCGAAGGAGGACCAAAAAACACGGAAAAAAAATCTACTTCCACAGATCATGGCCCCTTTCATGAAAATTGCAATCGCACTGCCATCAAGATGATCTTGTTCCGGCCGCCTACTTATCAGAGATGGATCACGCACACCGTTCTTTTTTGCGAGCTCCGCTGTCCTCGCTGACGCTGATTTCTTTGTGCTTGCACGGGTCGTGGTTGCTTTGTACTTTGGTACAGGAATCAAGTGCAAAAACTCACAACTGACGCTCACGAGCACAGATCATCACATCTGCACGGCTTTGGAGTTCAATTCGTCACCGAGAGCGGACAGAAAAAGATAGTGTTAATGACACTACATCGAATAAATAAACGCGCGAGGACAAAGACACAAGGTCGAGCGAAGCAGTTTTTGAGAAAATAGCACTATGTTGAAAGTGACCACGACCACTGGATTTGTACAGGTATACTTGCCCATGCTCATGGAAATTCATCAGGAACCAGCACGAGCGACACTCGGAAAAACATAGAACAGCTTTCAGACTCTGGACGCAGCCAATTCCACTGTGTCCGGAAATCGGATAGATTCTTCGAAATCGAATCTAACACAGAATCAGTAGCTTTTCGGATCCAACTTGATGAAAGACCTAGATATCCTTCTATCAGAGATCAGACACCGTCAACCAACACGTGTTCTTGTTTTTCATAAGCTCCGCTGTCGGAGACTATGATGAATAACGAGAACAAACCAAAGTAGTTGCACTTTAGCTCCGTCGTGGCATCAACGTCGTGCACCTACAAGGCCCTCTCGAGGTGGAGCAACAAAATTTACGACAAACAGTACTTCTTTCTCGTCCGTTCCTCTGATTTATTTTTAGATCATTTCTTACTAACGCTAGACGTTCATTCTGTTTCAAATCTTCGGGCTCGCCCCGAAGAGCAAGTCTCCTGTTCGGAAGTTGTAAAGTGCCTCGATCATGTGCTGTATTCTCTTCATAATCTCGTTCTCGGCTCTTGTTGATGCAAAAAAACAACTACAGCCGTGCAATAAAAATTTTGCCTGTATTCTAAAAGAGCGAAAAAGTAGAAAGGCGGCACAAGTGGATGAAATTGCCATGGGAAACAAAACTGCAAAAGTTCCATTTTTTCAGACAACAAACTGGGAGGTGTGGAGAAGTACAACTGGAAGTGCAACTGCTGCAGCAGTCGCACATGTACAACTAAGCGATACATCATAAAAATGAAACGAAGTCACCAAAGGTGTGTCCTGTATTCGTCATACTGTAGCTGCACAAAAACAAAAATGCGTACTTTCGATGTGGCATTAGACGTAGAGGCAGTTCAACACATCTAGGTGTAAATAAACATCTCCTGCGGCGTATCCTGTGTAAAAACGTCCCCACCCCAGAGTTGTCATGCAGATTTGCCATGACAGGAACATTTGTGATGCGCAACCCCATGACAGGCATTTTCAATCGTGTTTGGGAACTTGTAATGCCGTAAACAGGATTAGCAGGTCGATTTGTGATGCGGCTTTCCTTGCTAACTTGCACTACCATACGGACTGAAACTTGTCATGCGTGACTCACAAAACTCCTAGGTTTGTGTTGCAAAATCCCCATCCTGACTCTGGTGTGGGTACGTTTTTACTCAGGATACGGCGGGTCGGGGTAATTCTTTTCTCGGTGTTCGCCCCGCTGGTTCATCTCCCGAACTGTTCCGTCTGGCACGCTATCAAATGCAAAAGTGTCTGGGTCTGGAAGAACGCAACTTGTAATGCTGCATTTGGACGTCTAAAAAATTTGTGTTGCATGAGCAGCAAAAGGATTCTAATTTTTGCTACGCCGAGAGGGCATTTGTCATGCGGAGTAGGCATCTAATATCCCTCAGAAAGCCTGTGATGCTAGGGCATGCATCACAGACGTCATGGCTCATGCAAACCGTGCATGACAAGTCTCAGAATCTTCCAGACCCAGACATTTTTGCATTTGATACACGCGGTCACTACTTCCACCTTTCCGTCCTAACCGCAGCCTCTGCTGAGATGAATCAAGTGCTGTTTGTCTTGCACTTTCGCTTTCCGCAGTCAACGTCGTCACTTGGGCGGGAAGATCCACTGTAGTTGCTGCTGGCCCGCCCCGCACTCCGTTCACTAGTACCTGGCCATCGCCGATAGCAGCAGACGTTGAACCCGCCGCTGTACTACCCTCCGGATGATAAGGCGGGTCTACGGGCTATCAAATGCAAAAATGTCTCGGTCTGGAACAATGGAACTTGTGATGCTGCATTTGGATATCTAAAAAATTTCTCTTGTATGAGCAGCAAAAGGAGCCTAATTTTTGCTACGCGGAAGTAGGGGCATTTGTGATGCGGAATAGGCATCAAGAATCCCTCAGAAAACCTGTGATGCTAGTGCATGCATCACAGATCGATCATGGCTCACGCAAACCGTGCATGACAAGTCTCAGAATGTTCCTGACCCAGACATTTTTGCATTTCAATACGGGCGGAAACAAGGTGTACCGAGCCTGACTCCGAAGTTTACTGTGGATGCCTTGCATCCACAGGTCGGTGTTGGTGTCGGAAGTTGTTGGCGTTTCAGCTTTATTTGATGTTCCACCGAGGGGGGCGGTCCTCTCTTTATCTCTTTGATACGTGCTATGCAATGCAAATATGTCTGGGTCTGGAAGGTTGGAGCTTGTAATGCTGTCTCTGGATTCCAAGAAAATCTGTATTGCATGACCAGCAACAGGAGTCCAGTTTGTGTTACGTGGAGATGGCATTTCTCATGCGGGATAGGCATTAGGAAGCCCTCTAAAAATCTGTGATGCTAGATCATGCATCATAGGTATCATGGATCACACACAATCTGCATGACAGACCTGGCAATCTTCCAGACCCAGACATATTTGCATTTGATACGTGCTGTTGAGAAGCGGATCCATCTTGTTTTGCTTTTGCTCCGGCGAAGAAGTGGCGGACATCAGTTCGAAAGGCATCTGTTATGCATTGCAAATACGTCTGGGTCTGGAAGATTGGCAGACTTGTAATGCTGAATCCGCATACACCTGAACTTTGTGATGCGTGTTATGGAATAGTGGTGTCTTATTGTCATGCAAAACGGTAGTTGTGATGCACCAGGTTACGCAGTACAGAACCGTTCAGAAATTTGTCATGCCTGGCTGCCTAGTCGAGTCGGTTTGTCATTCATGTATATGGCATCACAAGTTTCCAGACCCAGACACATGTGCACTGGATATCTCCGCGTCGATGGGGAGGAGATCTACATCATGGTCTTGTGAATCATATCACGAGAAAAAAGTGTTACACTTACACACTCGGATGGAAGACAAGCAAGACAGACAACCTCTGTCATGCAGGAAATGCTTGCCAGCCTCATTTCATTCGTGTTTTCCCTTATAGTCTGCGCATCACAGGTTTTCTCCGTCACACAGAGAAAATTTGTGATGCTGAAATTCCAACAAATGTGTAACTGTAACACTTTTTTCCTGTGATAAATCAGCATCGGAGTTTATTTTCCCTTCCTTTTCCTTCTTGTTCCTCGCGTCATTTATTTCAGCTTGTCCTGCTTTTTTCATTTTCTGGTGCCGCTCCAACAAGTGAACCAGACTCTGCTCCTGCTGCAGTAACCCGCAGTACGTTGTCGGGTTTGAAATAAATTTGTTTCCCGGCGGCTTCTGCACGAAAAACTCTTTGTCCCCGTTCTGAACTTGGAACAAATAGTTGCGATGCTCTTCGCCAACCGACCCTACCTCGCGCTTATCCAGCTGGAGTGCAGCAGCTGCAGGGAGAGGATCATCTTCGGTCAAAATCTTATGACCGGCTGCGGTAGAAGGAAAAGCTCGTCTCGGATTTTTGGCTTTTGTTTGATCACTATCAAGTGTAAAAATGTCTGGGTCTGGAAGAGTGCATGTTTGTCATGCTTGTCTGGCATGACTCTCAAATCTGTCATGCACGTTACCCAAGAGCGCCATTTTTCTGTCATGCAGAAACGCAGTTTGTCATGCAGAATAGGCAACACCCAGAAGCTCAGAAACTTGTCATGCTGAGGCAGCTCTTGCGGCCTCCATCCTCATGATACGCCACGCAGCATCACAAGTTTCCAGACCCAGACATTTTTGCATTTGATAATAACCATCCGCGGGACGAGTTGTCGCACTCCTACTTTGTTCGCTGCGTAGAAAATTCCTTCTGCGGGGGGCGTGGCTGTTTTCTTCTTCGCCCGCACTGCGGGTCCTCGCAATGCGGCTCTTCGTTACGCTGGGGAAACCAGGCTCTAGTTGCTGCTGTCGAGTGGACGGGACTCTGCTCACTTTCCAGGGCGAGTCATCGCTTGGGTACACGTGGAATTCGAGTGGTTTCTTTCGTACCTCTTGTACTATTTTTGGCTCTAGCTTCCTGCCTGTCCCGCCCTGCTCGTCGAAATCAGCAACGCCGTCGGTAGTTGCAAAACTTCTAGCAGTCTGTTGCCCAAAAGATGTTGCCGGAGCAGGAGCCTGTGGCGACTTTATTGTTCTATCCTGTGCAAAGGTATCGCACTAATTGCAATCATGCATGGCAAATCTTCTTCCGAAGGTAAAGCAGCATGACAAATTGCATTTTTGCTTCTACAACAATTTGTCATGAAATTTGAATTTCTATTAGTACGATACTTTTGCAATGCATATGTTCCAATGACCCGCCATTCTCTCGCGAGCGAGAACGCGTCCAGCAGCTCTTTTACGCGCCGCGCGAAAAACGAGGAAGTAAATCTAGAGGATTTATTTCCCCTGGGGGAAGTAGAGGATTGCTCCGCGTAGTTCTTTTCAGGGACTTCTGCTTCTAAAGAAGGAGAAGACGTTGCTCTTGCCGCGCCACGCTGATACTTGCCGGCATCCACTACTGTCTCCTGGAAGATGTCTTCATCCTCGAGCGCCAGCCACTTTTCGAAATTTTCCACCCGCGTTATCAAAGTGAAAAATCCCCCCTCCCCATATCGGAAACGGAAGATGCGCGAATTTGTGATGCTGTATTTGAGGACACAAATCGACTTGTATTGCTAAAAGGCCAAGAGACGAAGCTGCGCCCTACGTTGCAGGCAATCTGTCATGCTGTTTCCCACTTCCAGTTGCCTCCTGTCATCCTGGAGCTGCAAGGCTCTCCCACGCTAGGCAGCACTACAGTCCGCATCTTTTGCCTTCTAGCATCACAAAGCTGATTTGTCGCCACAAATCTGCATCACAGATTTCCGTTTTGATATGGGGAGGGGGCATTTTTCATTGTAATACGCGTGCAGTCCCCGAGCTTCCCCCGCCGCGCAAGGTTCGCTTCGAATTGCTTCGTCAACTCGTGAAATTCGGACTCAGCGACAACGGTGTCCGCCAGAAGCTGGCAAGAGCGACGACCTTTCCTCGATGTGGTACGGTATTGATTGCAAACATGTCTGGGTCTGGACGGTTGGAACTTGTAATGCTACTAGCTTTCCATACCTAGAAAATCTGTATTGCATAATCAACAAAAGTCGGAGCCTCTTTTGTACATGTAAAAACGCAGTTTCTCATGCGGGTTCCCTATGAGAAAGCGTTCTCCTGGAAAGTTGTCATGCTCCGTTGCATGCGGAACTGTCTCCATCGTCCACATTTTAGCATCACAAGTTTCCAGACATCCAGGGATATTTGCATTTGATATACCGACCAACAGCTGCAAGGCCTCCGCCCCGTCTCTGTTATCCTGTGCAAAAATATCGTACTCGTATTGCAATCATGCATTACAAATTTTTTTCTCAAGGTAAAACAGCATTACAAATTTTATTTCTCATGCTGAGGGAATTTGTCATGCATTTATACGAATACGATACTTTTGCAGTTCATATCTGTCACCTTTCACCAAATCTCGCAGACGTGCTCTAGAAGTTCTATGCATTGCAAACATGTCTGGGTCCGGAAGAGTCGGGGCTTGTCATGCACATTTTGCATGACCCGTGAGGTCGGTGATGCTGGTGCTAGCATCACAGATTTTTTAAGAGCTTCTTTAAGTATGCTCATTGCGCATGAAAAATATTCTCTCCGAGTGCCAAGAACTGACTCCTCTTGCTGCTCATGCAACAAGAACACAGATATTTTAATTTTTAGAATCCGCAGACAGCATTACAAGTTCCACTCTTCCGGACCCAGACACTTTTGCATTTGATAGGTTCGAACTCGTTGCAAGATTTCCTGAGTCGTGTGCATCGAGCTTTCGCCCACTGCTGCTCTTATAGTCTCGGTTTGATGTAGAGGCTCCCTATCCCTCGTCGTCGCTTCCGAGCTGACATTATCAACTGCAAATATGTCTGGGTCTGGAAGATTGCGATATTTGCCATGCTAGTCTGGTATGACTCTGAAATCTGTATCGCGTGGCCGAGAAGAGCTCTTCTTGCCTGTCATGCAGAAACGCAGTTTCACATGCGGAATACGCAACTCAGAACCACGAAAAAACTTGTCATGCTGGGCAACACATTGCAGAGTGCTCGATCTTCCCTTCGTTGCGTCACAAGTTTCCAGACCCAGACATATTTGCAATGCATAGACATCTACTTCATTCGAGGAATGCAAGATCGCACACGCCTCCTCCATCCGACTTACGGGTGTGCTTTGTTCGAACCCGTAGGGAACCCCCAATCTTCCCGAATGATCGACAAGAGCCGGCAAATTCGTTTCTGCAATCAGGACCGCCAATGCGCAAAACAGAAGGGCTATCAAATGCAAAAATGTCTGGGTCTGGAAGATTGCGAGATTTGTCATGGTTGTCTGGCATGACCAAAAAGTTTGTGATGCGTGACCAAGAAGAGGCCCTTCTGCCTGTCATGGAAAAACGCAGTTTGTCATGCGAAAAACGCAACACAAAGAAGCGCAGACATTTCTCATGCTTGCCTGTGCATTACAGGGCATCCACTATTCCCAACGCAGCATTACAAGTTTCCAGACCCAGACATTTTTACATTTGATAAGGGCCGCGCAGTGCACGACGCCTGCGCGCACGCAATAGGTCGAACGCCGGCGCTTATTGTGAGGAAAAATCCCCCCTCCCCACATCGAAAAGGTACGTCGCAGAAAATTTGCAATGCTGATTTGCGACCACAAAGCATCTCAGTCTTGCAAGAAGGCAATCGCAATTCCACAGGCTCCGCCGCATTATGCAGGCGGTTTGTGATGCTGTTGGGCCTACAGCGCAGGCGCTTCTCGTGCCAAGAGCCTAGTCCAAAACCTCTCTACTCAGGCTTAGTATGGGCATGCAGTCCTCTCCAGCAAGACAAATCTGATTTGTGTACGCAGATACAGCATCACAGACTTCGTTTTGATGTGGGGTGGGGGAATTTTTCATTTTGATAGCGCTGCCGTCGCAGACTGGACGAGGCGGAGATGATGTAATTGCCTGATATCGTGAGAAAAAAGTGTTACAGTTACACACTCTGATGGGAGACAAGCAAGACAGACAACCTCTGTCATGCAGGAAATGCTTGCCAACCTCATTTCTTACGTGTTTTCCCTTACAGTCTGCGCATCACGGGTTTTCGTTGCCATGTCGAGCAACTTTGTGATGCAGAAACTCCAACAAATGTGTAACTGTAACACTTTTTTCCTGTCACACCTGATCCATTTGTTGTAGTAGTCGCGCCGGGAAACTGTATTGCTGCTCCTCTAGCGTCAACAAAGGCAGCTTCTCGTCCTCCGCCGCCTTCGTCGAGAAAGTCGGAAATGCCCGTCGCGTTACCCTATCGTGAGAAAAGGCTGTCTCAGTCTCATTTTGGAATGCGCAACTTCCTTGACACAGTTTTTTGTCCTGCTGGAAATCCAAGAGCAGAGTCGTCTTCTCTATATCTGTTTTCTCTTCTTGCTGTCTGAACGCATCACAGATTTTTCGTTTTTTGCTTCACTAATTTGTCCACCTCCGCAGGGGTTTGAGACTGTGACAGTTTTTTCTCGACACCGTACGCCCTCGGGAAGATCTACCAGCACCACAGTGGGGGCCACAGCGTCGGTTGCACGCCGCGTAGAAGTGGTGCTGGAGCTTGGACGACCGTCCTGGTCATTGCCTCTACTTGTTCCGCTGTCTTCTGTTTGTTCATCTTCATCCCAAGAGTTGTAGTAGAACCCTGGCTCGCGACTGAACAAGATCTCCCGTAACATGCAAAACAGGTCCAACCGCGGGCAGCAGAGGAGGACAAGCCGGAAAATGTGGTCGGTGTGGTTGGGAGAGGATGTAATTCCTGCTCCCGTCGTGTGCTCGGTGTTTTCATTTTCTGCTGCGGCCTGTGTAGAAGAAGTAGTGCCAAAAAACTGGTGCTCGTCGCCGATAATTTGCATCACGCCATTATTGCGAACGAGCAGCCGTCTCGAGCCACCGTTTGTCGTCCACCACCCGGATGGCCCCGCGCCCCGCAAAACAGTAGTACCCGAAGACCCGCCCGCAGCTGCGCCGCGGGTTCGCTATACCGTGCAAAAATGTCTGGGTCTGGAAGATCGCCAGGCTTGTCATGCATATTTTGCATAACCCATGATGCCTGTAATGCATGACCTAGCATCACAGATTTTGAAAGGGCCTTCTGATGCGTATTCCGCATGAGAAACGCCCACTCCGCGTAGCACAAACTACACTCCTCTCAGCAAGACTTGCTGGTCATGCAATACAGAGCTTTTTTACCTTCCAAAGACAGCGTCACAAGTTGCAACCTTCCAGACCCAGACACTTTTGCATTTGATATTCGCCGGCCCCGATTGATGTTCGCCCGACGGATGGCATCCGTGTCACCACTTTGTCGCAACACGTCACCAGCACCAGGAGGGTTAATATTGGGATTCGCATTCGCATTCGCCGCGACGGCGGCCAAAATTTGGTTGTGCGGGTTTTGTTCGGCTACGTACTGGCGGTTGCGCTCCTTGCCGATGCTCCGGCCAAAACGCTGCTCCCGGTACTTTCCCTCGGACTCCTGGTTTTTCTCCAACATTTCGTCGCGGCTGAGCGGACCACTGAGGATCCGCTGCAGCTGCTGCTTGCCACGCGAGGTGCTGTGGGTCCTCGTTATGGAGAGAAAAAAGTTTGTCACAGTCACTATCTTGGAGGTTTTGCATTACAAATTTTTTGAACATCACAACTTTTCCTTGTATTGCAGAACCACTAAGGGAAATCCCGTATGAAGTTCGGCTGTGATGCATTTTTACGCATGCTAGGCATTTTTTGTATTGCAAAAATGCCCATGAGTGATCGTGACGAACTTTTTTCGTCTGATACTCGTCCTAGAAGTTGCACCAGTGCGGCTTTCAGACAATGCGACCCCTGGCGCGGTGGTCATCTCGTTCGCAGTTGCATCGCCTTCACCACAGAGAAAGCCGTCGGGGAAGAACTCCAGTTCTGACAGCCTCTGTTTCATGAGTTCTAGAACCCTTTCCTGTTTGTTCTTTTTCCTACGACGCGGGGCGTCTTTCTCAACCACACCTAAGCGGCTCCCAGGAGTAGTCTCTACCGGCCTCCTCTCGTGCTGTTCTGGTCTGGAGGTAGAAGTAGTTGCTTGGCTGTTCCATAGTTTTGCTTTTCTCGTCCGGCGCCGGGCATCCACATCGAGATGAATATTTGCACTTTGGTCGCTGCGCAATTTTTGTTGGAAAAGATCCCGCACGGCTTTCCTGTACACATCATTGCGACGGGCAAAAACGCAAGGCGGCTGGTGCGCGGGACATGCTTTCTTGGTGGAGGTTGTTCCCGGATGTGTCCTCTCGGAACAACACGCTGAATCACTGCCCCCGTCTATCCTATGTAAAAAAGTCCCCACCCCAGAGTTGTCATGCAAATCTGCACGGTAACAATGCTTCTCATGCGGAGCCCCATGAGAGGAATTTTTAGTCGTGTTTCGCAATTTGTCATGCTCCAATCGGCATGATGTGCTACATCTGTGATGCTGCTTAACTAGCTAAACAGTATTACACTATGAGGCCAGATTTGTCATGCAGAACTCCCAAAACTTTGGGATTTGTCTTGCAGACTTCTCATCTTGACTATGGTGTGGGGATGTTTTTACACAGGATACCGTCGTGCCGCCCCGGTTCCGCACACCGCTCGAGTGCTGCTTATCCTGAGTAAAAACATCCCCACACCAGAGTCAAGATGGGGATTTTGCAACACAAACCTAGAACTTTTGGGGGTCACGCATCACAAGTTGCAGTCCGTAGTGTAGTGCAGGTTCGCAAGGCCAGCTGCATCAGAAATCCATCTGCTCATCCTGTTTACAGCATTACAAATATCAAAACACGACTAAAAATGCCTCTCCTGGCGATGCGCATTACAAATGTTTTTGTCATTGCAAATCTGCATGACAACTCTGGTGTGGGGACGTTTTTACTCAGGATACTGCTCTGTAGATCGTCAGGAAAGCCTGCTCATTGCTCACCCCGAACGCCTGCGCAAAGTCCGCCACCGAAATGTAGTCTGCCGCCTGCACCGGAATCTGCGTTGTAAAATCTATCCAGTGCAAACATGTCTGGGTCCTCTGGAAGGGTCCGAACTTGTCATGCTAATTCTGGATAGTGCAAAAATCTGTGTTGCGTGATTACCAAAAGCTGCCCACTTTTGACCAGGTTGAGAGGCAGTTTCTCACGCAGGCGAGGCATGATAGAGGTCGCGCAGAATCTGTCATGCTAGATCATACATGACAGATCTCATGCGTCATGGAAAACCTGCATGACAAGTCTTGCGACCTTCCAGACCCAGACATATTTGCGTTTGATAAAATCCCGGAACATGCGATTTCTCAGCAAATCCTTATGCAATGCAAAAGCATCGTACTAGTAAGCATGACAAATTAGCCCAGCATTACAAATTTAATATGTAATGCTGATTTGCCTTGGGGAAGAGGTTTGTATTGCATAAATGCAATTACTACGAGTACGATACTTTTGCAATGCATAATTCTTCTCCCGCGCCAACTTCTCGCGGCGGTGCCTCGCCTGCTGCTCTGCGACCAGTCCTTCTGCTGGGGCAAGTGGTTGCTCATCTTCCGCCCGAGAGTCGTATAATGCAGGCGTCGCAACATTCCGTAGTTGCGCCGCATTTTCTTCCTCCTGCTGATTCGTCGTTGTAGTAGAAGCTGCACCGTGGTTGTTGTCTACTGCGGACGGCGGAGAGGGAAGTCGACTCAACAGCGACTGTATCAAATGCAAATATGTCTGGGTCTGGATGAGTGCCGGAGTTTGTCATGCATCTTTCGGACCACGCAACTGGTCTCTAAAAATGCACGCAAGAGCATTACACGTTCTGCCCAGGAGGCCTCCGGATGCCTATCCCGCATGAGAAGTTCCCTCCTTGCGGTAGCGAGAAGTGGGCAGCTTTTGATGGCGCTCATGCATTTATACAAGTTTTTGCCTATTCCAGAATCCGCATCACAGGTTACTCTCTTCCAGACCCAGACATATTTGCATTTGATAGACTGGCCCTGCCAGGACTCCGCGGCCACAGAGTTAAACGAGCCGACTGCAGAGGAGGAAAGCGCATCGCTACTTTGAGGTGGATTTGATATCGTGCGGCTCCGACCAGCGCGACTGCTGGCGCCGGATGGTACGGTACTAGAGCTACTACTTTCAGTGTCATCATTTGGTCCCGTTCCCAATTTTTCGTCCAGGTCCCCCGCTGCCTCTTCTTCGCTGTCAAGAACCTCGTCCAGCGCGTTATAGCCCGCTCAGGTGTTACAAGCTGCTCAAACGTTACGAACAAATAAATACCGGTAATTTGTGATGCAAAACGTGCACGATCTGGCCTACTCTGCTCTCATAGATAGGAGTAAGCATGACAAAAACATCTTTAGAATCCGGTGATGGAAAAAATTTGTATTGCGAAAAGCAGGAGAACGGCGCTCTGTGTGGCTCTTATGCTGATCATGCAAAACTACAGAAGTCAGATTCTGTGGTAACCGGTTTGAGATTGTAGCACGGGAGCGGGTCATAGTCGTCACACGTGCTCATCAACACGGACAGCACGTCCGGTAGCTGCTGAAAGGGCCAGTCCGCGAAAAAATGCTTCCTCATTTCGCAATGACCCCCCGCCTATGGATTGCAAAAGTGTCTGGGTCTGGAAGGTTGTAACTTGTGCTGCTGTCTTCGGATTCGAAAAAAATCTGTATTGCATGAGGAGCAAAAGGAGTCCAATTTGTTCTACACGACGAGGGCATTTCTCATGCAGATTAGGCATCAGGATTCTGTCTAAAAAAAAAAATCTGTGATTCCAGGTTATGCATTACAGACAACATGGGTCATGGAAAATATGCATGACAAATCGTACAAATCTTGCAGACCCAGACATTTTTGCAGTTGATACCGCCCAGCGGAAGAGAAACTCGCGGGAAAAGAAAACCGGAAGCTTGACATGCAGGTCGGTTTCCTCGATATTAGTTTTACATCCTGCTGGAAGTAGGGGAGAAGGAGATCGGCGAGGCCGCAGGGGTCCAGATCGCCGTGCGTGGTCACCACCACACGACTGCTCCTTATAACCCGCTCAAATGTTACAATCTCAAGCGTTACAATAGAATATGGAGTTCTGTGATGCAAGAAGTGCATGATGTACCCTAGTCGCACACCAGGATTGCGCATGACAACTCTCGGAGCCCCAAACCGCACTAGAAGATGGCGAAATTGGTATTGCAGAAAGTGGAATGCTCTGGGATTTTGTCATGCTCATCATGCAACACAAATTCCAGATTCTATTGTAACGGTTGAGATTGTAACACCTGAGCAGGTTATACTCCTCTTCACTGTTTTTATTTTTTTCACCAGCTGGATCAGTTGCTGTCGCATTTTTGCTGCTGTTCCTCGGGCGTCGGGCGTCGTCAGTCACAGGAGTCGTGGACGTCGAGGTGTAGTTATTTTCTATTCCACTAGTACTACGTCTACATCCATCTTCAACTTCACCGACGGCTGAGCCATCTTCCCATCCGCTTGTTCTCTCCATCTCCGCTAAAACCCGACTCGCTGCGCACGTGAAGGTCTGTTCGCCGAGAAGCGTGCAGACGTCGAAATCTAGGTCTTCAAAGCTGTTCCGCGTCATCGGGCACTCTAAGTGCTGGGAGGAAAACTGTTCGCGGTTCGTGACCGTTGCGTTTAGGAACCGGTGGAGGCCGAGGAGCTGCGAGATGGAAATGTTGGGGTTTAGTTCTAGAAGATCATGATCAACATCATCTTCCCCTTCTTCACTTGGCGCGGCCCCGCCCGCCCTGGCGCTCTTCATCCTCTCGAAGCTTGCCGTAGTACTATTCTTCCTCCCTACCGCGGCTGTCAGGCCGCGACAAACAGCGTCAAATTTCAGCAGTAGATTCTTGGTCAGCAGCTCCCTCTCGTCGTCGTCACCGTCTTTGTCTTTCTCAGCAACAAAGCGCGGCCGCAACCATTCTTGTTCACAAGACGAAAGAACGGGATCACGAACAGGAAGAGAGGAGGTTCTTTCCAAGAAGTGATCTGAAGGTGGTTGTTGATCATGTACTACTACATCCTCCTTTATTCCCGCACAAGAACTTCTTCCAGTTCCACTGAAAAAATCGACGCCAGGTGGAGCCGCTTCTGTGTAGTTGGGAAGTTCTTGGGACGGAGGAGCGGCTGCACCGGAGACGGCCGCTGGTCGTGCAGGCGAGGACGTTTTAGTGGCGTTCTTGTGCGCGCGGAAGACGACGTGGTGTTCTTCCTCCGGTATTATCGTTGTGCTTGTGTCCTCCTCCTCTGCGTCAAGGTCAACATGATCTTGATCTCCCTTATAAAAATGATCCGAAAGTTGTAGACCCCCATGATCATTATCGAGAGTCTTACGAATCAACCGTCGCGCAAGCGGCTCGAGTAGAACTTCCATTTTCCGTTCCCGCTTCTTCGCTGCAACGTCTTGTGCCGCCTCCAGTTCTATCCTGTGTAAAAACGTACCCACACCATAGTTGTCATGCTACTCCGCATGCTTAAAATGTTTCTCATGCGGAGCCGCATGAGAAGCATTCTCTGATGCGGTTTGGAAATCTGTAATGCGCCAATCAGAATGAGATACTAGATCTGTAATGCTGCTTAGCTAGCTCAAACAGCACTACAAGACGCGTCCAAATTTGTCATGCGAAACAGCCAAAGCTTATGGATTTGTCTAGCGTATTTCCCATCTTGACTCTGGTGTGGGGACATTTTTACTCAGGATAAGTTCTTCTTGTTGTTCTGGCGCAGGTCTATCCTGAGCAAAAACGTACCCACACCATAGTCAAGATGGGGAATCGGCTAGACAAATCCACAAGTTTTGGCTGTTTTGCATGACAAATTTGGATTCGTAGTGTAGTACTGTTTGAGGTAGCTCAGCAGCATCACAGATCTAGCATACCATGCCGATTGGAGCATGACAAATTGCAAAACACGACGAGAAAATGCATCTCATGGGGCTCCGCATGAGAAACATTTTCAGCATGCAGATTTGCATTACAACTCTGGGGTGGGGATGTTTTTACTCCGAATAAGGTCGTCCACTTGTTCTTCTCTTCTGCTTCTTCCCCCGACATGGCCATGGCCGGGCGTGAAGACTCTCTTCATCTTCCGGAAGATGAACTTGCTCCGCAGTAGATGAGCAAGTGGTAACTATGCATTGCAAATATGTCTGGTGTTTTGTCTGGAAACAAGACCTTGGTACAGCACAGGGAAGAGAACGACTTGAACTTTTTGAAGAAAGAAAATAAAAGAGAACTACGTGGATGCACGATGTAGAGAGAGATTAAAACATGCTAATATGTCCACCGGTGAAACTAACTACTACTACTTATACTATCACTTGCGCAACATATAAATTGGGTGCTAAACCATCCAGACCCAGACATCATAAATAATTTGCACGTACATAGGAATTGCTTTGCAGTGGAACAGCTTCTTTAGCTCCTGGGTTAGTAGCAGAACCAAAACTTCTTCCTCCGCCCGGGGGATCGGTGGTGGAGGAGGAAAATCACTACTGCTCGAATTTTTGGCTCGTCGCGCTGGTACTGCTTCTGCATAAACCTGGTCTACTTCTTGCTCTTGGGACGTGGTGGACCACCTCGTCCACGACATATCAGTAGATGAGGCAGCCGACGTTACATCTTCCCTTGCCCGCACAGGAGAAACTGCACTCGCAACACCTCTTCCCGCAGCCTCATCTGTCGCTGTGTCGGCACCGTGTAAACCGACACCTATCGGAGGCGAGGAGATGACAAAATTGCCGTCCCCAGATGATGCGGGCGTGGCGGTAATTATTGGGGCGGGGAGAGGTGGTAGTCCGGCAGCACTGCCACTGCTGCTACTGCTGCCCTGCGCGGCCCGGATCGCATTGGCATCGTGTTCTTCTTCTTCTTCTTCACCAGCTAGTACTTGATTATGATTTATTAATATTGCTCGTCCTTGTCTAGAAGAAGTTGTACCAGAAGGGGCCCCCGTCCGGCGAAAAAAACCCCGCTCTTCCCCTGGTCCCCGCGGCTCTCCACCTGCAGCTTCACTTCTAACAGTGCCCCGTCGCTCCAACAGTGGCTCGAGCGCGGACTGCGGAAACTGGGGTCCTGGGGCGGCACGTAAAAAATGATCGCGTGGCTCTGGAGCCTGGGAGGAGGTGCTGCTGCTCGAGGAAAAAACCGCATTCAGTTGGGCAGCCGCGGTCCTCGTATGGAAGCGTCAGGATTGAAGTCGTCAAAGTTGAAACAGTTTGTCATGCATAAAATGCAGCCCACGGAGTGCCTGTCTTGCAGAGTAGGCAACTAAGGCAGGTCGTAAGCCTGTTAAGGGATAGAAACTGAGCTGCTAAAGTAGCATGACAAAAGGCGCCTTCCTTACCCAAACAGCATGACAAACTGGATTTCGAATCTACCCAAATTTGTCATGCGCCACTTGGAAACTGCTGGGTCACAACTTTCATCCATTTTATGCATTGCAAGCTATTTCAACTTTGTCGATTTCAATCCTGACACATCCATACCTCGTGGGATCTTCATATAAACCTGTTTCTACCTCTTCCCCTACTCCCGCTCCCGGCCGTGCTGGAGCTCGAGTTATCAAATGCAAATATGTCTCCTGAGTCTGGAAGAACGAATGCAAATACATGTTTGTCATGTTTGTATGGCACGACCCAAAAGGTCTGGAATGCGAGCTGTACCATCAAAGGTTTACTTATTTGAAACAACTCCTCAATGCCTACATGTACATCCTGCGTCAGAAATTACTTATACCGCCTTCGCGTGACCCAAGGTGGCCGTGCCTTGCTGCTCACGCAATACAGAACTTCGTGTTCCCCCGACCTAGCATCACAAACTCGGTTTCTTCTCGACTCAGACATATATGCAAAAATGCATACGAGTCGTCCACCGGGAGGGCCAAACCGCGAGCCGATGGCGTCGCGCGAAGACAAAAGCAAAACCACGACTTCGCGGATCAAAATCATTATCGGACGTAGTTGTGCCATTTGTAGTTGTGCAGTGGTCGTCCCTCCAATAGTTGTGGTGCAGATATGGAGGCAACACAAGCAAACGAAGAACCAAGGAGAGAACGAAGAAGGGACAACTACGATTCTTGTTCCTCCTCCACCGCACGCCAGCAGAACTACTTTTCCAGCAGCACAGGAAAATGATCCGGACGACCACCATGATCATCCTCGACAGTGTTACGGATCTATCAAATGCAAAACTGTCTGGGTCTGGAAGATTGCGAGATTTGTCATGCTTGTCTGGCATGACCAAAAAGTTTGTGATGTTGCGTGTACAAATACCACAAGACGAGGCGTCGCGTACAAATACCACAAGACTAAGGCGCAGGAGCAGCTACGGGGCCAAACAGAATCACAAAGTACTACACCGAGATGAACTCCAAAAAATTTTATGACGGCCGAAAGTCAGCACTGCTTTGGCTTGCCTTCTTCGTCCGTACGAGAGAGAAACAGAAGCGAAATGATGACAGAACACGATGAACAAAAAATTTAGAGACTGTGCGAGCACTGCAACAACGTTGTGTCTTCTTGTTCCACCAGAATTGCGTACTAATCTTCTTTGATTGTCCCTTTCCGACTTCTTGCAAAAAAAGAGCTGTTATTTGCTTTACGATATTTGTTTCCTGTTGTTCCAAAAAATTCCAACTAATTACATCACCACAACGCGACGTCTGGACGTCTATAATTCGTTTACTCTCAGCCAACACTTTTCGACATGAACGCTTATTTTGCACAATTTTATTATTCTTGAAGGTGTCCTCTTAAGTGATGGAGTGTGACGATGATTCTCATTCTTTTTGTAGTTCCTGACCTCCATGCGCGCCGGTCACCCAGTGCTAGTACTAACTAAAGTGTACTTAAATTTATTCAAAACTACCAAGCGGTGGAAAAATTAGGTATAGTAAAGCTGCTTGCTCGTCGTACTGGCGCTTTGTGACCAACTTTATTCCCGATAATTCATTTATCAAATGTAAAAATGTCTGGGTCTGGAAGATTCTGAGATTTGTCATGCATGTTCTGCATGACCCAGGAGGTCTGTAATGCACGACCGCGCATCACACATTTTGAGAGGGCTTCCTGATGCCTACTCCGCATGACAAACGCCCTGCCCGCGTAGCACAAACGAGACTCCTCTTGCTGGTCATGCAATACAGATTTTGCTAGAGTCCAATGTTAGCATCACAAGTTCCAATCTTCCAGACCCAGACATTTTTACAGTTGATATCATTTTGGCATCAAATCCTCCAGCGCCGCGTCTTATCCTGAGTAAAAACGTACCCACGCCAGAGTTGTAGTGCAGATTTGCAAAGACAGGAAGACTTGTAATGCGCATCCCCATGAGAGCCATTTCCAATCGTGTTTTGGAAATTGTGATGCTGTGAACAGGATGAGCAGATGAATCTGTGACGCGGCTGCACTTGCTAACCTGCACTACACTGCATAGTGCAACTTGTCATGCGTGACTCACAAAGCTCTTAGGTTTGTGTTGCAAAATCCTCACCCTGACTCTGGTGTGGGTACGTTTTTACTCAGGATACGTCTAAATCGGCCATCATATCCGCTGTCATCACCCCCGCGCCTGCTACGCCATTGCTTTCCTCCCCTTATGCAGACACAATCTCAACTGTTACAATCTCAACTGTTACGAAAGAAACGGAGATTCGTAAGGCAAGCGGTCGTGCGCGTCGATCTGGCTTAGTCACGACCCTTACAGGAGTTTATTTTAAGTATACGCATGACAAGTTCTGGAGTTGTCCCAAACTGCACTGATGGCCACCTCCAGCAAAATTTGTATTGCAGAAAGCGCAAGGCTATGTTTGTCTCTCTCCCATGCTGAACGTTTGCGAAGATTGTAAGAACTACAACTGAGCACATCATATTACCTCTTCTTCCTCTATTTTCCCCTTCTCCATTTTTTTCTCCGATGCCGCTTTCATTTGTTCGGAAAGCTGACTCGCCGGCGCCTGTACTTCTGGGAACAGCCCCTTCTGCGACGCTGTCGACAGGTCCCGGCCCCCTCCGGCAGACGCCCGGGTGGGAGTTGGGACCGCGGATTATCGCAAGAAAAAAGCGCTACAGTTACACATTGTGTCGCAGGCCAGGCAAGACAGACAAGCTCTGTCACGCCGGATATGCATAGGAGCCTCGTTTCATAGGTGTTTTCCCGTGGGATTTCTGCACTACAAGTTTTCTCTCTCATGCAGAGAAATATGTGTTGCTGAATTTTTGACTACAAATGTGTAACTGTAACACTTTTTTCTTGTGATACGGATGCAGCGCCGTCCACTGCCGGCGGAGGTGCAGCTGGCGGCACTGCCGCCGCTGCTGCGTCGGCTTGAATATCTTCAAACAGCGCGTCCTCCAGGTCTTGCTCGATGTCCATACCGTCATCCTCTTCCACGGGCGGGCCCATTGCCTCGTCCTCCTCCTCTTCCATTTCCTCCACTACCTTCTCCAGCGCCGGCGCTGGCGCTGCGGCGGCTCCTCTGGATGTTGCAGGGAACAGGTTTGATGCAGTAGAAGTTCCCGGAGTTTTACTACTTTCCCCTCCCAGACCCAGACTGCCGAACAAAGTCCCATTTTTAAGAAACCCCGCGGCCGCCCCGTGCAGTTGCGATTCGGCGCGCTGCGAGTCCAAAATAGCCTGCGACTCCTTCATTTCCTTCCGCAGTTGCGATTCCAAGCGGTTATGCAGCAACGGGTTCGACGCAATCCCCCCGCTGATCAGCTTGCTGTTGATATCGCGAGAAAAAAGTGTTACAGTTACACATTTGTTGGAGTTTCTGCATCACAAATCTTCGCTGTGTGGCAGAGAAAACTTGTAATGCGAAGATCATAAGGGAAAACAGGAAGGAAACGAGGCTCCCAAGCATTTCCTGCATGAGAAAGGTTGTCTCTGTTGCCGGTCTTGCAACACAATGTGTAACTATAACACTTTTTTCTTGCGATAGTTGACCACCCGGGGCGCCGTTTTCACCGCCAGGTGTTGCCCGTGATTGGCCTCCAAAAAGTCGGCCCTCCGCACCTCGCTAGCAAACTTCTCGGCGTCGGCGAGGAAAATGTCGATGTTCGTAATGTTGTCTGACAGGGGGAGGTTGCTGTAGCGGTAGGAGGAGCTGCGCTGATTCCGCAGCGAGGCCACGTTGAGGTTTTTGTGCTTCGCGGTGTTGAAAGTGCCAAAATTGAAACCGAAATTGGTACTAGCTGCATTGCCAAAGCTGGAGGAAAACGTTGCTCCAAACGCCGATTTGAAGTTGGACGAAGAACTACTGCTTGAAGACGAGGCGCTGTTGCCCGTGATGTTGCCGACGAACAACCCGGGCGCTATCAAATGCAACTATCCCTGGATGTTGTCTGGAAGGTTGCAACTTGTGATGCTGACTTCCGATTTACTGTTCTTGAAAAAAATCTGTATTGCATGACCAGTAAAAGAGGGGGTCTAGTTCTTTGTGCTACCTGGACGACGAGAGGGCATTTCTCATGCATGAGATAAGCATCAAGAAACCCACCTGTATAGAATCTCCGATGCTACGGCATCCATTAGAGAAACATCATGGGTGGTAATGCAAAATGTGCATCACAAGCGTAGTTGCACTTTTCCAGACCCAGGCATATCTGCACGTGATAGGCGCCGGCGCGCTACTGCTAGACGCCGCTCCTGCGCCCGTCCCGGTGAAAACACCACTAGCAGCCGGCGCGACTCCTGCTGCTCCGAACTGCGAGCCTGCCGCTGCGAACTGGCTGATCTGCCGTTTGTATCAAATGTAAAAGTGTCTGGGTCTGGAAGAATGCGCGATTTGTCATGCCGCTTTTCCATGACCCATGAGGTCTGGAATGCAGGACCTAGCATGACAGATTCTGCGAGACCTTTCTAATGCCTATCCTGCATGAGAAACTCCCTCGCGACTTGGTCAAAACTGCACGACTTTTGGTATTCATGCAACACAGATTTTTGCATGCTTCAGATTTTTTAGCATGACAAGTTGCATTCTTCCAGACCCAGACATTTTTACATTTGATAGTTTGTTTTCCAGAACGATTTTGTGCAGCCTTTCCAACTCCTGCTGCCTGCTGTGAAGTTCGGAGAACGTGCATCACAGTAAAAAAAGCCCCCACCCTACACTCAAACCGGAAATCTGTGATGCTGATTTGTGGCCACAAGGTAGCACGTTGTAGTCATGCTAGAAGAGAAAAGATGCGGACTGTATTGCTGGCTGGCGTAGGACGGCCTTGCATCTTGAGCATGACAGGAGGCAACTGGAAGTGGGAACCAGCATGACAATATTTGCCTGCAAACAACCACCTCCTGCGTCTCTACTTACTTGCCATTGTAGCAACACAAACCGATTTGTGTACGCAACTCCAGCATCACATATCTCCTGTCCGATATGGAAAGGGGGGACTTATCCGCAAGATAACGTGCCCTTGGTGAAGAATTTTTCCCGCTCCTTCTCCTTGTTCAGCGTATTGGTCTATCAAATGCAAATCTGTCTGAGTCTGGAAGAGTGCATGTTTGTCATGCTTGACTGGCATGACTCTTAAATCTGTCATGCACGTTACCCAAGAGCCCCATTTTGCTGTCATACAGAGACGCAGTTGTTTGTCATGCAGAATAGGCAAGACCTAGAAGCTCAAAAGCTTGTCATGCTGAGCCAGCACTTGTGGCCTCTTCATGATACGCCACCCAGCATCACAGGTTTCCCGACCCAGACATTTTTACAACCCATATGGTCAGATTTTCTGCCATGCGTTTCAGCTCCTCATTCTGGTTCAGCTCGTCCTCAAGGCTCGTGCTGTTCTTTATTTTGTCCTTAGTCTTATTTCCGACAGCACCATCGTCCTCGTCGAACAGGTCTTGTTCGTTATCCTGAGTAAAAACGTACCCACACCAGAGTTGTAATGCAAATCTGCATGCTGAAAATGTTTCTCATGCGGAGCCCCATGAGATGCATTTTCTCGTCGTGTTTTGCAATTTGTCATGCTCCAATCAGCATGGTATGCTAGGTCTGTGATGCTGCTGAGCTACCTCAAACAGTACTACACTACGAATCCAAATTTGTCATGCAAAACAGCCAAAACTTGTGGATTTGTCTAGCCGATTCCCCATCTTGACTATGGTGTGGGTACGTTTTTACTCAGGATATTCGTGGTCGGCATTAAGCTCCTCCTCCTCCTCGTTTTATAAAATGCAAATATGTCTGCGTCTGAAAAGATGCAACTTATGATGCTGGATTTCGATTCTACAAAAAGTCTGTTTTGCATGAACGGCAAGAGAGGTCCAGTTCTTGCCACGGCGAGAGGGCATTTCTGATGCGGTATATGCATCAGGAAGCCCTCATACAATCTGAGATGCTAGGGCATGCATCACAGGCATCAGGAGTCATGCAAAATGTGCATGACAAACCTTGCATCTTTCCAGACATCCAGGGATATTTGCATTTGACACGTTTCTTGCCGCCAGGAATGCGAACCCCTCCGCAATCTCCGCGTCGCCTTCCTTCTCGTCGAAGATGTCGTCCGGAAGATCCCTATGCTGTGCAAAAGTATCTTACTCGTATAAATGCAAGTCCTGCGTTACAAATCTTTTTCTTGAGGCAGATCCGCATGACAAATTCCATTTCTCATGCTAGGGAAATTTGTAATGCAATGTATACTAGTACGGTACTTCTTTTGCAATGCATAATCCCCCTCCATCTCTTTCAGCAGTTTCAGCATCTCAGGATCGTCTTCCTGTTCCTCGTCCTCGTCTATCATATTCGTGGTCTCCTGTTCGCCCTGTGCCTTTCCTAAGGGCTTGCTTTTCTTGGAAGCGGAGCCCGATGCGGTTCCGTCCGCATCCGCGAACAGGTCGTCCAGATCGTCATCAAGAAAATTTCTCTTGGGCTGCCGGTTCAGAAAATCGATCAGGGTCTCCCGGCCGTTGCCCATAAAATCGTCCAGACACAGCTCCTCATCGAATTCTTCCCGCTGCGGTTTTTATCCTGTGTAAAAACGTCCCCACCCCAGAGCTGTCATGCAAATGCGCAATCGCAGGAGCATCTGTAGTGCGTATCTCCATGAGAGGCATTTCCAGTAGTGTTTTGGCATTTGTAATGCAATAAACAGAATGAGTAAATGGCTTTTGCATGCGTCTTTCCTTGCTAGCCAGCACTACGCTGCAAATGGCAACTTGTCCTCTTGCAGAACTCCCAAAACTTGGGGATTTTTGTTGCAAACCTGCCTTCTTGACTATGGTGTGGGGACGTTTTTACCTAGGATAGCTTTCGCTTCCTTTTCATCTTCGCCTTGTTGCCCTTCTGTTCCTGCTCCTCCTGTTGCTTTATCTTCTTCGCCATCTTCTCATCCGCGAAGCCCTGGAGCCCCTTCTCGTCGTACGTTAACAGCTTGTTGAGCTCCCGCAAATTTTTTTTTGCTTCCTCCAAATTTTTGAACGGAAGCTTGAACGTGATGGTGGAATCTTCCAGGAGGTCATCTTCCACCTGCATCGTGTCCAGTTGCACTTTATGCATTGCAAATATGTCTGGATCTGGAAGAAGTGTGTAACTTGTCATGCTAGGTCTGCATTCTGCAAAAATCTGTGTTACATGATTACCAAAAAACGTCGGCCACTTTTGACCAAATTGAGAGGGAGTTTCTCATGCAGGACAGGCATGATAGAGATCTCACAGTAGAATTTGTCATACTAGTTCCTGCATTCCAGACGTCATGGCTCATGGCAATCTGCATTACAAGTCTGGCACTTTTCCAGACCCAGACATAATTGCACTTGATACACTTGCGTTTCCACCGCCGCCGTGTTGCTTTTCTTGTTCTTTTATGCATTGCAAATATGTCTGAGTCTGGAAGATGGCAACTTGTCCTGCTACCTTTGGATTCTACATAAAATCTGTATTCCATGAACAGCAAAAGAGGTTCAATTTGTGCTACGCGTGGAGGGCATTTCTCATGCGGTTTGAGCATTAGAAAGCCCTCGCAGAATCTCTGATGCTAGGGCATGCATCACAGACCTCACGGGTCATGCAAAATCTGCATGACAAACTCCTGCATTCTTCCAGACCCAGACATGTTTGCATTTCATATCTTTCCCGCAGTGACGCGGGAAGCGTTCAGGCACTTGAGAATCTGTGGGAGACATCATCAGATGAAGAGAGGACTACATCAGAGTGAATCTATAATCACGATGAAGAAGTAGCATTTTTGTACCCGCTGCCAGCGCAGGATCATTTTGTTGTCATGCTATTCACAACAGAGGCAGAGCTGTAGAAGAAAATCGTAGGCAACATTTCAAGTTCTCTGCATCACAAGAAATCGAGATGAGCAATCGAGTGAAGCTATACGTCGATGAAGCTGTTTCGGAAGCCCGGCTCCTGCATCGCAAAGTCCTGGTCGAACGTTATCGGCGTCTGTAACTGTGTCACTTCCTTCAGCTTCTTCCGAATTTTCTCCAGCATGCGCCACCGGTACTCGAATTGCGCCTTTTTGTTCGATATCCTGTGCAAAAATGTCTGGGTCTGGAAGTTTGCATCTGATTCGTCATGCTAGTCGGGCACGACTCTGCACTCTGTATTGTGTAGGTCCATCGAAACAGCCTCTCTGTCGGCTGTCAGGCAAAAACGCAGTTGCTTCTTATGCGGAATACGCAGCACAGAAGCACGAAAAATGTTGTCATGCTTGGCTGCGCATTACAGTTCAGCTATTCTTGTTCACTGACTTGCATCACAAGTTTCCAGACCCAGACATATTTGCAATACATATTCGACTGGCTACTGTTCACCCCGCGTATCGTCGCCGTGGTTCCGAAGAAAAACCTATTGTCAGGAAAAATCCCCCGTCCCCATATCAAAACGAAATTAGTGATGCTGGCTTTGGGTACACAAATCGGAATTGTGTTCCAGTAGAGAACTAAACGCAGGCCGGAAGCCTAAGGCAGCGGTCTTTTGATGTAGGCGCCTAGTCGATGGCAGACGGCTACCCTGTAGGCCTTACAGCAATACAAACCGCCTGCGTAACGTGGCGGACAGCCTGGCTGCGCCTTCCTGCAAGACAAATGTGATTTGTGACCTCAACTCAGCAACACAAATTTTCGGAAACATGCGTGTTCAATATGGGGAGGAGGGATTTTTGCTCCCAATAAAACCTCGCGCATTTTTCTATCCAAGAAAAAAACTGTGTTAGTGTAACTTTCTTGAAGGAATGGCATTACAAATTTGCTCTGCATGACAGAGAAAATCTGTCATGCGTGGCTTGTAAGGGAAAACACACATGAAACGAGGGCCGCATGGTTGTCCGGCATGACAGGTGTATCTCTGCTGCATGTTCTGCAACACAAATTTACACTTACACAGTTTTTTTCTTGCATATTTTCCGCTAGATCTTCAATCGTGAGCTTTTTCGGTGGATCGATCAAGTTCAACCCGATCTATCAAATGTAAAAATGTCTGGGTCTGGGAACTTGTGATGCTGGGTAGCGTCTCATGATGAGGCTACAAATGCTGGCGCAGCATGACAAGTTTCTGAGCTCCTACCTGTTGCCTATTCTGCATGACAAACTGCACTTCTGCATCACAGGAAAACGCAGCTCTTGGGTAACGTGCATGACAGATTTAAGAGTCATGCCAGACAAGCATGACAAACACTAATTCTTCCAGACCCAGACATTTTTGCAATGCATACGATCAGCCGCAGGCGGATGTCCTTTTTCGTGATGCTCAGCTCTTCCATATTCTGAGTAAAAGCATCCCCACCCCAGAGTGTCTGTGTCATGCAAATCTGCATGACAAAAATGTTTCTGATCCGGAGCCCCATGCGAAGCTATTGCCCTTCGTGTTTTGGAGTTTGCGATGCTCAAATCAGCGCGATATGCTAGATTTGTGATCCTAGCTAAACAGGACTACACTACGGGGCCAAATTTCTTTGTCATGCGAAACAACTAAAGCTGGTTGATTTGTCTAGCAGATTTCCCATCTTGACTCTGGTGTGGGCATGTTTTTACATAGGATATTCCACGTCCATGTCCCCGTAGATGGAGTGGAGAAGCTGCTTATCCTGTGCAAAACTATCGTACTCGTATAAATGCAAGTCTTGCATTACAAATCTTGTTCCCACGGCAGATCTGCATTGCAAATTTTATTTCTCACGCTGAGGAAATTTGTAATGCATTTATACGAGTACGATACTTTTGCAATTCATACTGCTGCTGCGTCATCGACGTGTCCTTGTATTTCAAATACTTTTCCTTCAGCTCCTTCTCCTCCTCCTCCGTCCACTTTCGCTCATTGTGCTTCAAATCTAACTTCGCCTGTTTCAGTTCGGCCTTCATTTCGTCGTACGTCTTTTTGTTGATCACCATGTCCTCCATCTTTTTCTTCATCACCGCGGTCTCGTAGTTTTTCAGAATCCCGTCCCAGTTTTCGTAGCTCCCCGTGAGCTATCAAATGTAAAAATGTCTGGGTCTGGAAGATTCTGAGACTTGTCATGCATGTTTTGCATGACCCAGGATGTCTTGAATGCACGACCTAGCATCACAGATTTTTAGAGGGCTTCCTGATGCCTACCCCGCATGACGAACGCCCTCCCCGCGAAGCACAAACTAGACTCCTCTTGCTGGTCATGCAGTACAGATTTCTTCAGAGACCAAAGTTAGCATCACAAGTTCCAATTCTTCCAGAGCCAGACACTTTTACATTTGATATGAGCTCATCGCGGCCCGTGGTCAGGTTCAGCAGCAGTTCGGTGATCGCGAGTTTGTTGTCCTTGTAGCATTTTAGGAACTCGTGTATGGAAGCGTCAGGATCGAATTCGTGAAAGTTGAAATAGTTTGTGATGCATAAAATGCAACGCAAAAATTGCCTCTATTGCAGAGGACGCAATGGATGCAGACTGTGAGCCTGTTGAGGGGTAGAAATTGAGCTGCTGAAGTAGCATGAAAAAAGGCGTCTTCCTTAACCAAACAGCGTTACAAACTGGATTTCAGCTCTGCCCAGATTTGTCATGCGCCACTTGAAAACTAGGCGCCAACTGGTATCCGTTTTTATGCATCACAAATTATTTCAACTCTGACGATTTTGATCCTGACACTCCCATATCGTGCAGTATCAACTTGAACAGGTGGTGGAGGTCGCGAAACATTTCCGGCCGCTCCACCACGAAGTCCGACTTTATGATCTTCTCCATCCGGGCAAAGAACCGCAGGTTGAAAAAAAGCGCGATGTTACTCGGGTGCGCGGAGATGATCCTGCGCAGCATTTTACAGGTGAAGTACAGCTGCATCTCGTTGGTGTGGTGGTACCGCTCCAGCATGGTCAACAGGTTCTGGATGATGGTCCAGTCGCACAGCGCTTTAGTGTAATCCGTGATTTTCATCTCGGTCTGCACATTCCCGTACTTGATCACCATAAAAACCTTGGGTTCCTTGGTGTCCTTATCGGTGACCTCCTCCCTATCGTACGAAAAAACTGTCTCATTTCTTCAACGCTTGACTTTTGCTGCAGTTTATTCAGCATGACAAAAAAATGCTCTTAGCATGAGAAAAATCTGTGATGCGTCTTCATATGCAAGGGAAAACACTGTCTCGTCACGGAAGTTCTGCATTACAAGTTGAGCCTGAGGCAGTTTTTTTCTTCCGGTACTCCATCAGGAGCAAGCAGTAGTGCAACGCCTCGATGGAATAGGACAGCACCCGGGCCTCGTGCGTCATCGGCTTGTAGAGCTTGATGACCTCAATCAGCCGCTGCGCAATGTTGCGCCCGATCAAATTCTCCACCAACACGTAGCCTAGCGCCCGGTTTTCCCTATAACCCGCTCAGATGTTACAATCTCAAATCGGTTACCATAGAATATGGAAATCTGTGACGCAAGAGTGCATGATCTTCTAGCCAACTCTCATAGTATTGCGCGTGACAAGTTCTGGAGTCCCAGTCCGCACTACCATCTGGCGAAATTTATATTGCAGAAAGTGGAATGCTGTCCGAGTCTGTCATGTTCATCATGCAAGACAAATCTCAGATTCTATGGTAACCGATTTGAGATGGTAACCGATTTGAGCAGGTCATATTCCCGGTCCCGAATTTTGCAGCAGTCGCCAATGATCCGCATCTGCTCGAGTCAGTATCACGTTATCGCAAGAAAAAACTGTTTCACTGTGAACTTGTGATGCATAGAATGGAGCACAGAACGACTTGTCTTGCTACACCTGCAAGACATTGGATTTTTAGGCGTTTTTTCCCTTTGGAAGCGCGCATGGCAAATTTTCTGTGTCATGTGTAACAAACTTGTGATGCAGATCTTGCAAAGCCATCACAGTGAAACAGTTTTTTCGTGGGATACACGTAGAAAAAACGTAAAAGCTATTTGCAATGCAAAAAAACTACACAAAAAAAATCGCACTTGCATGCCTGAAACTTCTACGAAATATGCTAATATGCCTCGAGCTCGACGTCCATGGGAGGTTTTAGTTTTTTTTTTGCTCTATTAATCTGCATTGCAAATAATTCTATGCCCCGCCGGGGTTTTTGTCCTGTTCGATAGACATGCGCGGAGGACCAGAATGAGCCGATCGGGGTTAATCATGTTCTGGTTTTGTATCATGTTGAAATTAATTGAATATAACCGGTGGTGGGAGGTTGAAACTATGGCTATGGGTACGAAAACGACTAGAAAGACACGCACGTACTGCGTTTTATATCTTTTTCTTGTAATATACACAAACAATTGGTTACCTCCTTCCCCTCCTTCTGCAGCTGGTCGACCAATCAGTATGCATTGCAAATATGTCTGGATGTCTGGAAGAATACGATATTTGTCATGCTTATGTGGCATGACTCTTAAATCTGTCACGCACGTTACCCAAGAGCTGCCCCATTGTTCTGTCACGCAGAAACGCAATTTGTCATGTAGCATAGGCAACACCTAGAAGCTCTGAAACTCGTCATGCTCAGCCAGCACTTGTGGCCTCCTCCTGATACGCCACTCAGCATCACAAGTTTCGTCCAGACATCCAGGGATATTTGCGGTTCATAAATAGCGCTGCGTGTCAATGTCCACGAGCCCCTGGATGACCTGCGGTGCTACGTCGTACTGCTTATTCTTTTTCCGCTCCGCCTTTGTGAACAGGCGGTAGTACTCGAGAAAAAACGCCACAAAGTTCATCACGCGGGACTTGGTGTGGTAATTGAGAAACGGATTTTTTCCGGGCGTGTTGTCGTTCTCGTCCAGCCGTTCCATTTCCGGATTGATTTTCATCATCTCCTGTATCTTCGCGTTCTCGGTCTGAATCTCCTGAATCATGAACTGCATCAGCTTCGACACCGGAAAGTGGTCCTCTTCTTCCGCTTTCTGCCCTTGCTCGGTGAAGCTGTCGTGGCAATCCATGAGCTCATATGAACCGCAAATATCCCTGGATGTCTGGGAGATTGCGAGATTTGTCATGCTAGTCTGGCATGACTCTGAACTCTGTATTGCGTGCCCGCGAACAGTTCATCCTGTCTGTCATGCAAAAAGGCGGCTTCTCATGCGGAGTACGCAACTCTGAGCCACGGAAAAACTTGTCATGCTGGGGAGCGCATTACACTGTGCTCCCTATTCTCTCCCTTGCATCAGAAGTTTCCAGATCCAGACATATTTGCGATGCATAGCTCATTCAGCCACTCGCGCGTCGTCGCCAGCGTCGTTGGGTTATGCGTTGCAAACATGTCTGGATCTGGAAGAATGAGAGTTTGTCATGCTTGTCTCTCATGACTCCTAAGTCTGTGATGCATGAGCAGGATGAGAGTCCCTTGCCTGTCATGCAAGAGCACAGTTTGCCATGCAGAACTCGCAACACGCAGCAGCTGAAGAACTTGTCATGCTTGGCTGCGTATTGCAGTGTGTCCACTATTCCCAAGCCAGCATCACAAGTTTCCAGACATCCAGACATATTTGAATTTGATAGGGGTCGAGGGACTCGGCGAGCGTGTTCCCAGAAAACTTCAGCGCCGACCTATCAAAAGGAAAAGTCCCCCTCCACATATCAAACAGAAGTCTCTGCTGCTGGATCTCCGTACACGCATCAGATTTGTCTTGCAGTAGAGGACTGCAGGCATGCGCCAAGCCTGAGCCGAGAGGCTTTGGCGTAGCCTCCTAGCATGAACAACGTCGATGGTGTAGGCCCAATAGCATCACAAACCGCCCTCATAATGCGGCAGATTCTCTGGGTTTGCCTGCATGCAAGACAGCCAGGATTTGTGGCCACAAATCTGCATCACAGATTTTCAGAAAAAGGCGCTTTCAATATGGGGAGAGGGGATCTTTCCTCACAATACGACCGGTTGTGCTCTGCGAGCTCGCCGACCGCGGGCGCGATATCAAATGCAAATATGTCTGGGTCTGGAAGCCTGTGATGCTGGGTGGCGTCTCATGATGAGGCTACAAATGCTGGCTCAGCATGACAAGTTTCTGAGCTCCTAGGTGTTGCCTATTCTGCATGACAAACTGCGCTTCTGCATCACAGAAAAGCGGAGCTCTTGGGTAACGTGCATGACAGATTTAAGAATCATGCCGGACAAGCATGACAAACATGAATTCTTCCAGACCCAGACATTTTTACATTTGATACGCGAGGTCCTGGAACAACACGTCCGTCGTGACAATGTCCTTCTTCTATCACAATGAAAAACGCCGTCACCCCCGAACTTGGGAGCATTCGTATTGCAAACCTTTCCAACAGAAACACGCGCCCGCTTGCATCTAGCAGCATCACAGATTTCCAATCGTGAATAGCGAAGATTTGTATTGCAACAGATCCCAGCAAGGGCGGCGCTTGCCATGCAAGCAATGCTATATACGCCTAGACTCTGCATCACAAAGATAGATTCATATTCCTTTGATGCATGACAAAAAGTTTTCATTGGGAAACTTCGCATCACAAATTATTGCAACTTTTGGGGGTGGGGGCATTTTTCATGTTGATATCTTCGTGTTTTGCTTCATACCGCCAAACTGCTTTTTCAGTGGGACCCGCGCCTTGGTCGAAGCTTCCTTTTCCAGCTGCAGGGTGCGATCCTTGAGGTGCTCACGCATGGAGGTGGACACGCCAAACCCGCCGTGTCTTGGCTTGATAGAACCTGTCGTACATCATCGTGGTGTATTCTCCGTAACGGCGAGTTGCCTACTGCAGATGGCCCTCCATAATTCATAGTACTATACGACAAGAGGCCTGGTACTAAGTTCTTGCACATAGAAGTAGTTGTACACAAGTGTAGAAGTGATACGGCCCGTCGATTATCTTGGTGCGCATTAGAAACATGAAAAATTTGGGTACTTTTTTTGTGCTGTGCGCGCATGGCTTTGTCCTTTTTCAGGTAGTCCGCAAGCAAATCTCGCTTCGTCCCCCCCTCGACTTCGATGATCTCCGCCGGGGAGAGTTTTGTGATCATGTAGTAAATCAGGTCGAAGATGACCCAGCGCGCAAACCTATCGCGAAACGTCAAGTCGCTGTGCTTCCGCGTGTTGTTTTCCATCGGAAACTCCTCCCCGGCCCACGTGTTCAGTAGGGGCATCAACTCCAGTTTCGCGTACATCTTCACGAATTTCAGCTGCAAATACCGCCGGTTGTCCGTGTAGCCGGGATCCCCGGGCTTCGGATCGGGGATGGCCACCAAGTTATGCAATGCAAAAGCATCGCACTCGTATGAATTATGCACTACAAATTTCCTCAGCATGAGAAATGAAACCAGCCACCCCCCGGCGAAGGCCGCCGGGGAGGGGGCTGTTCGGTGGAGGTGTTCCGGTGGGGAAGGTGGCGCCAACATCGAATCGCTGCGCGCCGCTACACAGCCAAAAAAAAAGAGCCCGGCCCATGTTTCGGCATGGGCGGGCACCATGCCCGGCCTTAGTAGCTGCGCGCCATGGGAAAATGCGCGCAGGAAACTATTTCCGGGCGCCAACGTTCAAGACGCCACAAGGGTGACGAACCTGCTGCCAGCGTGCGCGGGCGTTGTGGGAAAGAAGTTGCGGCCACCCTAGGTGGCCGACCAGGTTAAGGCGGGGCGCCGCGCCCCCTCCGGGGGACGCAGAGCGGCGCACGCACTTTGAACGGCCGCTCTGATCCGAAAACGAAAACAGTGCCAGCCGGTCGCTGCGCCCTAGCGAGCTTCTTTAGGGGGCGCCACGCGCAGACAAGTGGGCAGGCTGTGCTCCTGGAGGTGGTCTGCGAGAGGGTCCGGGAGAGGGTCCCGGAGAGGGTCCGGGAGAGGTTCAGAGAGGGTCCAGGAGAGGGTCGGAGAGGGTCCCGGAGAGGGTCCGGGAGAGGGTCGGAGACGTCCCGAGAGGGTCCGCCGAGAGGTAAAATAGAGGTTCCCGGAGAGGGTCGCGGTAGAGGGTCGCCTAGAGGGTCGCCCTATACTACGCACCCTCTCCGACCCTCTACGCCCTCTTCTCCTACCCTCTACCTGACCTCTCCCCAACCTCTACCCTACCTCTGCGCGCGTATAGCCGCGCTTTAAGGGGCTCTATACGGCTCACCCTCTCCCGGCCCTCTCCGTTACCTCTCGTTTTACCTCTCCCCGACCCTCTCATTTTGGCCGACCCTCTATTCTACCTCTCCGACCGTCTATTTTACCTCTATACAACCTCTACCAAACCTCTACCGTACCCTCTCCAGCCCCGTTTTCTTCCATATATAAATATAGTAATTTGTACTGCAGATTTACCTTCATAATGCATGCATGACTGCAATCAATACGAGCACGATTATAGTTTTGCACTTCATACAAGTTGCGGAACAGCAACAAACAGTCCGTGACGATGGGGAAGTCGCGGTTTTTTCCCTCAAGTTGCATGTAGTGCAGCTTCTTCTTCTTGTCGTTTTCGTTTTCCGCCGTCTGCTCGATTTCGTCCCGCATTTCCTGCTCCTCCGCATCGAAATCCCGCAGCAGGTCTATTGCAAGGAAAAGTCTCCCCCTGCTCCTCCTATCGCGAAGGGATCCGAAGATTGAAAATTTGCGATACTGACCTGTGGCCACCACACATCGCGTCTGTCTTGCAAGAGAGCAATGCCACAGCTCCCGCCGCATGATTACGCAGGCAATTTGTGATGCTGCTGCCCCGCCAACAGGGCGCAGACGTCTGTCATGCTCAGCGTCTACTACCATCGAACGTCCTCCGCGACCAGGCTTTTCCTCTGCCTGCAGTCCTGTACCGCAAGACACAGCTGCTTGGTGTAAGTACACAAGTCCCGCATCACAGATTTCCACTTTGATATGGGGACGAGGGGAGATTTTTCCTAACAATAGGGTCGTGCCCGAACTCCACCCCGTCGCCCACGTTATGAACTGCAAAAGTATCGTACTAGTAGTAATTGCAATACAAATTAGCTCAGCATGACAAATGGAATTTGTCATGCTGTTTTACCTTGAGAACGAGATTTGTAATGCATAAATCCAATTACTACGAGTACGATACTTTTGCACAGGATACACGTGATTGATCAGCATGTCGCACACCGCGCTCATCCGTTCGGTTTTGCAGAGGTCTTCCTTGATGGACTGCAAATTTGCGAGGTGATTCCGCACGTACTCGTCGCCGGTGTTCCACTCGTGTTGGTACTCGAGGGTCCGCGCCACATTTTCGAATCCGCGCTTCACAATCGGGTCGGTCAACAGCACCATGATGCGCAGAATCCTCTTGGCAATGTATTGTGAAGAAAAATCCCCCCTCCCCATACCAAAGCGAGTACTTCAGAAAATTTGTGATGCTGATTTGAGGCCACCAATCGTCTCTGTATTGCCAGAAGGCAAGTCCAAATGCCTGGCCGCGTTCTGCCGGCAATTTGTAATGCTGTATGGCCTACGGAGGATCTCCTGCCTTGCTAAGTGCCTCCGCAAAAACGCCCCTACTCCGGCCTTGTATCTGTTTGCAGTCCTCTACTGCAAGACAAATCCGATTTGTGTACACAAATCCCGCATCACAGATTTCCATCTCGATATGGGGAGGGGGGATTTTTCCTTTTGATACAATGGCCACGTCGTGGTTGTATTTGGTTTCCAAAATCGGCGCCAGGTTATCAAATGCAAAAATGTCTGGGTCTGGAAGATTGCGAGATTTGTCATGCTTGTCTGACATGACCAAAAAGTTTGTGACGCGTGTCCAAGAAGAGACCCTTTTGCCTGTCATGCAAAAGCGCAGTTTGTCATGCGAAACACGCAACACAAAGAAGCGCAGATATTTCTCATGCTTGGCTGTGCATTACAGACCATTCACTATTCCCAACGCAGCATTACAAACTTCCAGACCCAGACATATTTGCAGTTGATACAGGTGGTCCGGAACCAATTTTAGGTCGCCTTTAGAATTTATTTTTCAGGATGTTATTCCATTTCGTATAAGTAACCCTAGTAGATATGGTTTCATGGAAATAAGGAAAGAGGTGCAAGGACGCCGGCGCAACAAGAGATTAAGTACATCCATTTTAATATTGTAGTGCACCTCCATGATCATGATAAAGATACTTGTTGTAGTGAAGAAATTTCAGGATCATGATGCGGAAAACCAAAAAGGAATCATGAGTCTATCGCAATAAAGCTACATATCAATCCCATGATCTGCCTTCGCTTCTGCAGCGGGTAGCGCAGGATAATGTCGCGCAGCTTGTTGTCCTAAGTAAAAACGCTCCCATAGTCAAGATGTTGGGGAATGTAGTGCTACACAAATCCACAAGTTCTGGCTGTCGAGCATGACAGGTTCTGTGGGCTCGTAATGTAGTGGTCCTGTTAGTTTAGCTAGTGCAACTGCATGACAACTCGACTACTGTATCCTGATTCTAGCGCGACATACTCCCAGATAGCAATAGAAAATGGCTCTCAGGGGGCTGCGCATGACAAAACATTTTACACTTGCGGGATTTGCATGACAACTATGACAACTCTGGGGCGGGGACGTTTTTGCTTAGGGTATTTGTCCAGCGCCTTCGCGCAGGGTTCGAAGGTGTAGATGTACTGCTATCGAGTGCCAATATCGATCTGGGTCTGGGAAGTTGGAACTCGTAATGCTGGTCTTCCTTGCACTCCGGTGAAATCAGTACTTATTGCATGACCGACAAGTCACGCCACATCATGCCATACAAAAATGCAGTTTCTCATGCGCAATGCGTATGGAAATAAGTATTGAAGTGCTCTGCAAAGAACTTGTCGTGCTTCACTGCCTTCGAAAGATGTCGTTGTGTTCTCCTCAACATGAACATCCACCGACGTTCAACTACAATTATAAACTTGTGATGCTGTTACAGCATCACAACTTCATAATTCCAGACGCAGATCGATATTTGCATTGAATAAGTGCGAGCTGCCGTCGATTTCGTGCCACCCGCCGAGCTATGCACTGCAAAAGTATCGCACTCGTAGTGATCGCAGTCATGCATTACAAATCTAGTAATCAAGGTAAATCCGCATTACAAATTACATTTGTAATGCTGAGCCAATTTGTAATGCAGTTTATACTAGTACGATACTTTTGCAGTTCATACGAGCGCCTGCATAATCTCGGAAAGTTCCTTTTCCAGCTTATCCTGAGGAAAAACGTCCCCACCCAATAGCCAAGTTGGTAAGTCTGCAACACAAATCCCTTCGCTTTGGGAGTTATGCATGACAAGCTTGCTCCGTCTGTAGTGTATTGCTGTTTAACAAGGACAGCCGCATCACAAAGACGCCTGCTCATCCTGTTTACAGCGTTACAAATTATGTCAGACAGAACAGGACTACAAATGCGATGCCTCTCGTAGAGATGTGCATTTCTGTGGCTGCGAATCTGCATGACAACTATGGGGTGGGGACGTTTTCACATAGGATACAGCTGGCGCAGCATGTCCGGGCCGGGGTTGGGTGGCACATACCGGTATCAATGCAAAAGTGTCTGGGTCTGGAAACTTGTGACGCTGGGTAGCGTATCGTGAGGAGGCCACAAGTGCTGGCGCAGCATGACAAGTTTCTGAGCTTCTAGGTGTTGCCTATTCTGCATGACAAACTGCGTTTCTGCATGACAGAAAAATGGCGCTCTTGGGTAACGTGCATGACAGATTTGAGAGTCATGCCAGACAAGGATGACAAACATGCACTCTTCCAGACCCTGACATTTTTACATTTGATAACCGCAGCCCGGTGTCCGGGTTGGTGACCTCATCCAGAGCGTCGGTGAACGATTTCGTGTCAAACTCCTTCTATCCTGTGCAAAAGTGCCGCGCTAGTAGTAAAAATCGCATGACATCAAATTTTCTCAAAACAAGATGATGAAATGGAATTTGTAATGCGGATTTGTCTACTTCAGGGGAGTAGAGATTTGTAATGCATGACTGGCACAGGTTTGTACGTAGTACGAATGCTTTTGCACAGCATACATTCAGCGTCGCCCACGGGTTCTGCCACGTCTCCAGCCGTAGCGTCGACTGCACGGCGGCGGCCGACATTTGCCCCGGCTGTGTGCGTCCTGCCCAGAGGACGACGCCCGGCTGTGTGTGAAACCGCCGGGGCACGCAAAGCTACATGTTTTGAACTGTATCAAAAAATCCAAAAAGGTTCAATAAAGCAGGTTAGAATTATTAGGTCGGTTCAAATAATGATTGCGGTTTTTAAAAAAATCCCTATGAGCTGTAAAAAGTCCTGAGTCGTCGCTCCGCGTCGTCCCAAGCAGACTGACTTAAACCCGCTGCGCCAGCTAAACTCACAACTATACCTGAACTGAAGGTGAATCTGCTAAAATGTGCTCGTAGCTTCTACTTATTTCCCTCGGTCGCGATGAAAAAGTTGCAAATTGCGCGACGAGTAGGAACTACTAGTACCCTTTGCGACCACGTAGCAGCGAGGTTGATGCACCTCCGCAGGCTTTGGTTCTACTTGTCCGAAAGTGGACGAGGAAACCTAATAAATTAATACTGCTTATCCAGCACCGCAAATTGATATGCGGATGCACAGCAAGCTTATTTCAACATTTGCACGACAGCCGACGACGACAAGTTGTCTACTTCATCATCCTTTTTATGCTATCCGCGCAGCATTTTTTGCTTAGTTACAATCTTGTTCCGCACGACAGGTTGATTTCAAGCAGCACAGTTTATATTTTTTCTACGTCTCCAGCAACATTTTTCCGCAACAAAACAACGCCACCTGAGGAGGACGAAGTAGAAGTACTTTCATTTGTACAGCATAAGTAATCACTTTTATATACACCGCAAGCGCTGCATTTTTGCATATCCAGAATAAGGAACATCAGAACCGCGCGAGTCACCGCCAAAAACACCAGATCGGTGTTGGATTTTTTGAAGTTTTATTGTTTCTCCATCTTGACACAAGCTGCACTGAACGTTGGGCAATTATAGATGTTGTGCTGTCAATGAAGACAAGAATTTTTTTACTTCACCTCTTTTCCAGGGGTGCATGTCGAAACGATAGGGACAGAGACATAAACGCGTCTCCTTCACTTGATGAATTGCACATACTGGGTGGGGACAGAGAAATGTCCAAGAAATCTTCCGCATGTTCCGTGAGTGGTTAATATTTTGTTGAAAAATATACTGCGAACTTGGGATACAAGTTTCTTGTGCGTGTTTTGTCACCGGGCGCAAAAAGAAATCTGTAATGGCATTGCATCACATGCAACATCGCGTATAACTGAGTGAATCTATTTCATCTCATATCACCGTGACCACGCTCTCCACTCGTCCGTCCGCGCTGCCGACCTTGACCAGCATAGTAGCCTTCTTTGCTTCGCGCTGGTATTTCAGGACCACCGCAGCCGTATGGAATGAGCAAAAGCATCGTAAGTACTCATGCAACTCATTGCATCAAAACCATTGCATGACAACATCGGACCACACACGCTACGAACACGACGTCCGGGCGGCCGCGGCCTTCTATGAAGGTCGCGCCCGGAGGGCGATATTGGTAACCAAATGCGTGCGCGAAAATCTAACCAGCGCGAAAGCCTAACCAGCCGCGCGGCGAAAGCGCGGCCCTGCGGGCCGCGCTTTGGCGCTATTTATTTTTGATTACAGTCCCACTACTTCTTCTTCAAGCCCCCTGCAGGAGAAACTGGCCCCCTGGCCAGGAAGGTATCTGGGTCATCGGGGGCTTCCGGATTCGCATTCAAAGCTTATCGCAGGAGCCTGCGGGCCGCCGCGGGCGACAGTAGTTGTCCGCGGCCCTTTGCGATAAGCATTGCAGGCGAAATCCGGTCTGCTATTTCGCAGCGGGGCATCCTTTCTAGCCCCCTGCATGACAAACTGGCCTCCTGGCCAAGAAGGTATGTGGCCATCCACCTTCGCAGCGGGGCATCCTTTCTAGCCCCCTGCATGACAAACTGGCCCCCTTGCCAGGAAGTTATGTGCGAAACCACAAACCCGCGGACCCTGCTGGGCCACCAAAATCGGCCATTTCAGACGCGGCGGAGGTCCCGAATTGGTGCCCACAACCCAGAGCAAACGTGGATTTTGGGACATGCCTCTGCCCGCTTCTAATGCATTTTTTTTTCTCCAATCGCGATGGTATGGCGCAAGCGCGCGCCCGCCGGACCGCCTTTGGTGGCCAGTTTGTAAGCCTGCCGGGGGTTCTCAACTTTTGCCAATTTTTCCTTTTTTTCCAAGTTTCTATGTGGCCGAAGGGCTCCGGACATTTTCACCGACCGCAGCTGCCTCGCAGTTTTGAAGCCTGCGGAGGGATTGCGCTTTTGCGCATTTTTTTTTCTTTTTCTGGTTTTCAAGTGGCCCGGGCGACCTGGACATTTTCACCGACCGCAGCTGACTGGCAGTTTTGAAGCCTGCGGAGGGGTTGCGCTTTCGCGCAATTTTTCATCTTTTTCTGGTTTCCAAGTAGCCCGGGCGGCCTGGACATTTTCGCCGCCCGCACCTGGGTGGCAGTTTTGAAGCCTGCGAAGGGATTGCGCTTTTGCGCAATTTTTCATCTTTTCCCATTTTCCAAGTGGCCCGGGTGATCTGCACAAAATCCGACGATTGCTTCCACCCACGTTATCTAGCAACTTTTTGCCATTTTTTTTCAACTTTTTCCAGTTACGAAGCGGCCCAAGGCTTCCGAACAGGTCGCGGGCCTGCTTCTCCAACGCAGCTGGCCAGCGGGCGGAGCAAAAAATAGTCCGTCTCTTTTTCAGATACGAAGTGGGCCAGACCGCAAAAATCCTCTTTTTTCACCTTCTCCCGCTTGGTTTCTGCCGTTTTTGCGACATTTTTGACCTCCTGGCCATTTTCCCATCTGGTCCGCTTTTTTTCCCTTCTCCCGCTTCATTTCTGGCCATTTCCCTGACCTTCACGCCTCCCGGCGGTTGCCCTATATGGTAACGGCAACTGCCTTCGCGCTGCGTTTGCTAAAGCAATATCGCAGGCGCGCAGAGCGCGCCCGCCGGCTTCGTGGGCCGGCGCATTTGGTTACCAGACTAGTGCTTTTTAGCATATCATAGTGAAAAAAGCCCCCACCCCATATCGGAAACGGAAGACGCGCGAATTTGTGATGCTGTATCTCAGTACATCACAAATCGACTTGTATTGCTAGAAGGCCGAGAGACGAAGCTGCGGCATAAATTGCAGGCAATCTGTCATGCTGTTTCCCACTTGTCTAGTTGCCTCCTGTCATGCTGGAGACGCATAGGCTTACTCCCACGCTAGGCAGCACTACAGTCCGCATCTTTTGCCTTCTAGCATCACAAAGCTGATTTGTGACAACAAATCTGCATCACAGTTCCTTTTATACAAAAAATATTTGTAATGCAAAAATTCAAATTGTACGCTTACCACGACACTTTTGCGGCGCGTAAACCACCACGCAGCCTTATCAGAAGGAAAAGTGTCTGGGTCTGGAAGGTTGGAGCTTGTGATGCTAACTTTGGACTCTAAAAGAATCTGTCTTGCATGATTGACCATGATCAGCAAGAGGAGACTAGTTTGTGCTACGCGGGGAGGGCGTTTGTCATGCGGAATAGGCATCAGGAACCTCTCTAAAAATCTGCGATGCTAGGGCATGCATTACTGACGTCCTGGGTCATGCAAAATATGCATGACAAACGCCGCAACATTCCAGACCCAGACATTTTTGCATTTGATAAGCCTCGCACGGTGTCGATCTCCAAAATTTGGCTCACCTGCAGGTTTACCATCGGCTCCTGTAGTTGCTCGGGTACCACTTTTATCAACTGCAAAAATGTCTGGGTCTGGAAACCTGTGATGCTGAATTGAGCATGATTGAAGCGCTTGCAATGGCAGCCAAGCATGACAAGTTTTTCAGACAGTTCTGCTGATGCCTAGCACGCATCACAAATTGCGTTTTTGCATGACAAAGAGCCCATCTCTTTTGCTGCTCAGGCAACACAGATTTTCCAGGAATGCAAGACACGCATCACAAGTTCCACTTTTCCAGACCCAGACATCTTTGCACTTGATAACTTTCTCCGGGGGGGTTTTCAGCTGAAACCTCCACTCCTCCATCACCGCTTCCCTCCCCTCGAGCCGGTTACTGGCGCCGTCGGGGGATGCACTTTCTTGCTCTATGAAGGACACGGTCTCGCGCAGGCAGCCTTCCAGCTTTTCGAAGTCGGCGTAGGTGAACGCGTGGAGGAAGAGCAAAGTTCGGGCCAGAAGTTGGTGCGACTTGGAGGATCTCCGTGTGATGTAGCTGCCGAGACTGTCGCTGTTCGTGTCCGCGCGCATCACTATCATATGTGAGAACGTCCCCACACCAGAGCCAAGTTGGGAACTTAGCAACACAAATCCAGAAGCTTTGGACGCCACGCATGACAAGTTGCAGTCCGTAGTGTAGTGCATGTTAGCACGGACAACCGCATCGCAAATCCATCTGCTCATCCTGTTTACAGCATTACAGATTCCAAAACACGATTGGATTTGGAAATGCCTCTCGTAGAGCTGCGCATTACAAATGTTCCTGCAATCGCAAATCTGCATGACAACTCTGGGGTGGGGACGTTTTTACACAGGATAATCACCTTATCCTTGTTATCGGAGTGCACCGTGATGAGCTGGGCCGATTATTTATCAAATGCAAAAATGTCTGGGTCTGGAAGAGTGCTAGGTTTGTCATGCAGGTTTTCCATGACCCACGCGGTCTGGCATGCACGGCCTAGCATGACAGGTTCTATGAGATGATCTCTATCATGCCTTTCCTGCATCAGAAACTGCCTCTAAACTTGTTCAAAAGTCGTGGACCTCCTTTGGTAATCATGCAACACAAATTCTTCCACGATCCAGCTGTAGCATGACAAGTTACAATCTTCCAGACATCCAGGGATATTTGCATTTCATATTTTTGCTGCAGTAGAAGCACCGTGATCTCCGAGGTCGGAAAGAGACCGAAAACCTGGTGGTGTTGAGTTGCAAATATGGTTCGAATCTTCATTTCTTAAATAGCGCACGCACATCAGAAGTCGTTTCTTTTGTTTCCTCCTGCTTGTTGCTCGAACATATGCTATACACCGGTGTTGACACCTCATCGCAAAGCATGGCAAACTGAGTGAACTGAAAAACAATCAGATTATCAACCGCCTTACCGCCTCTCCGTCCTCCTGGTCTTCGACTCTGTGCGCGCACACGTGCAGAAACAAATCGATCTCGCCGACTATCATATGTAAAAACATCGTAACCCCATAGTTATCAAGTTTGCTGGAAATCTGCAAGACAAAGCGCCAAGTTTTGGGAGTTATGCATGACATGTTCTTCATTGGCCTTGTAGTGTATTGATCCTCTGTTTAGCTAGCTCAGCAGCATCACAGATGGAGCGCAGCGTGCTGATTGTAGCATGACAAACTGCGAAACACGACTAGAAATAAATGATTCTCATGGGCGGGCTCCGCATGAGAAACATGTTTACCATGCAGATTTGCATGACAACTTTGGGGTGGGGAGGTTTCTACCTAGGATACCGACGACTTCCCGCCCGTACGTCGTTACCTCAGCGGTCTTTGTGACTTCCGGCGAGACCTCCAGCAGGGTCGCGGTTTCGGACATGATCCGAAGGGGGGGAACAAGAAGTTCTGCAATATGAAAATTTTATATGCGGAAGATAGACGATATGTGAAAGAGTTTTGGAAAAATGAACTAGTACCTACTCGACCACGGGGGGCGTAACACAATACGGTCACGCTCAATGATTCTTTTGAACACGGGGATGCCGTAGTGATAGTTGTACTGAAAAGTTTTTTATTTCTATTTGAAGTTGAGTCCTTGAGTAGCTGCATTTTTCAAATCACCGATGAAGCTACGAGCTGTTGTACCCGCAGAACGGCAAACCTTATTCTTATGACGTGATTATTCAATATCAATCCACTAACACCAGTACGAATTATCTACGCGGTGAACGCAACAGGAAACGAACCAGCCTTGGACGAGGAACGATTGCGATTTGTGCACGAAAAAAGCTAAAACAGTACGAAACGACGGGACGAATGAATGGAAACATTTGACGCGCGACCAGATGCGTTTTTTTGATGTGCCGCGCAGATGTATTTGGATCATAGACGAAACCTTACCGAGGAAACGCGAGGTCGCCCGCGGCGAAACGCTTCGCTTAAAGCATAAAAAGCGGGCAGGGACCGGCGACCGCGGGCAGGGACCGGCGGCACGGGCCGGCGACCGCGAGCACGAGCCGGCGACCGCGAGCAAGGGCCGGCGGTCGCGAGCACGGGCCGGCGACCGCGAGCACGGGCCGGCGACCGCGAGCACGGGCCGGCGACCGCGGGCGCGGACCGGCGACCGCGGGCAGGGACCGGCGGAGCGGGCCGGCGACCGCGAGCACGGGCCGGCGAACGCGGGCGCGGACCGGCGACCGCGGGGCCCGCCGCGGACAGGATCGCGATCCACGGGGCGCTGGTGGTTCCCCAAATTCATCTCCAGTACTATGTCTGTAGGGTTCTTCGGGGTTGCTTCGGTGCGTTGCGTCTCCGCCGGTGGGGGTTGGCTCTCCATGCGTTAGCGGGCGCCTTGGCCTCCTGTTTTCTGGAGGAGAACTCTCCAATGACGATCATCCCAAAGGATGATCCGTCCGTGCAGTTTGGGAATGTGCATAAAATGCATGACCGGGCAGCCGTGGTCTTGCGAGCCTGTGAGTCAAGGCCGACCGCTGGTCGGTCGATATTTTATGGGCGTGGCCAACGCGTCCATTCTATTACGGTAGCCAAAACCTGAGAAGCATGACATGAAGATATTCAGGGGGCGCCATTTCGCGCTTTTCCCACCCACCCGCCGCTAAGCTCTTTCTCACTTTGCATCGGAAGGATCGCGAGGTCTCGCGCCACTCTGAGTTCAGGGTGTGACAGAGACCCACACTACGTCTTCTGGATCGGGGGGCTGGCTCTCCATGCGATAGCGGGCGCCTTGGCCTCCTGTTTTCCGGAGGAGAAATCTCCAATGACGATCACCGCGCGCAAGATCGCGATCCGCGGGGCCCGCCGCGCACAAGATCGCGATCCGCGGGGCCCGCCGCGCACGAGATCGCGATCCGCGGGGCCCGCTGCGCACAAGATCGCGATACACGGGGCCCGTCGCACACAAGATCGCGATACACGGGGCCAGCTGCGCACAAAACCGCGATCCGCGGGACCGACTGCGCACAAAATCGCGATCCGTGGGGCCAACCGCGCACAAAATTGCGACTTGTGGGGTCAACTGTGTACAAAATCGCGATCCGCGGGGCCAGCTGCGAACAAAATTGCGCACAGAATTGCGGTCTGTGGGGTCAACTGCACACAAAATCTTGATTCGTGGGACCAGCCATGCACAAAGTCGCAATCTCTCGGGCCAATTGTGCACAAAATTGCGATTTGCCGGGCCAGCCACGCACAAAGTCCAGATTTGCCTGGTCACTTGCGCATAAAATCGTGATCTGCCTGACCAGCCGCACAAAAAATTGTGAGCCTCAGGGTCGGGTGCGCACAGAATCGCGATCCACATGGCCAGTCGCGCACGAAATTGCAAGCCCCAGGGTAGACGATGCACAAAATTGCAATCCACCAGGCCACTCACGGAAAAAAATGCAATCCACAAGGCCAGCTCCTCACAGAATTGCAATCCACAAGGCAAACTACACAGGAAATTACAATCCACGAGGGAAAAGACGCAGAAAATTGCGATCCGTTGGCCGAACCACGCACAAAAATGCAATCCAGAGGGCCACTAATCTGGTAACCAAAGCGTGCGCAAGCGCTCGCAAGAGCTCTTTGCGAGATGCCCATCCATCGCAAACGCAGCGCGAAGGCTTTGCCGTTGCCATATGGGAGGGACTCGGGGGTATGCAATCACTGGAAAAATCGGGCATTACCAAGCGTGTTTTGCCTTCAGAAAGCGGATCAGGCAGAATTGGTGGGAATTTTCCGGAAAGCAGCCAAAACAGCAATTACTAAGTGGGAAAAGGGTAAAAAAGAGCATTTTTACAGCTCCGCCCGGTCTGAATCTGAAAAAAGATTGTGGCACTTTCGGCAAGGGCCAGTGGTGTGATGCGTTTTATAGCGGAAAATGCGTCACCTCCGGGCAGCTCCAGCCGCTTGAAAATTGAAAAAAAACGTTGAAAAAATGCAATTTTTCGCAGCATGCAAGCGGCCGACAAAATTTACCGATTTTGTCCAGTCCCCGGAAGCCGCTTGGAAATTGAAAATGACAATTTTTGCTGAAAAAGCAAAAGCCGCTTGGAAATTGCCGCTCCAAGACGGCTTTTCAAATTGTCACACGGCCCACACCGTCGAGATTGGACGAAAAAAAACAGCTATCAAGCCTGCGGAGGTGTGTCACACGGGCACGGTTTTCATCCTCTCTGAGGGTCGCGAGATGAGATCTCCTCCCGCTTGGAAATGCCCGATCTGGGTGGCCCAAAAGGGCAGCAGGAAATGAAGAAAATTGCATCACTTTTTGAAATTTGTGTATTTTACCTGGCCAGCGTGCCCCCGTGCGTAACGTTATGTGGGGCGGTATAGTGGCCTCCAGAACAGACTCGTTTTTTTGAAGAGGCATCGAAAGGATGTCCCGCTGCGAAGTAGCCGGATTTCGCCTTCAATGCTTATCGCAGGAGCCTGCGGGCCGCCGCGGGCGACAGTAGTTGTCCGCGGCCCTTTAGGGCCGCGGGGAAGTGGTGGAGCCCGCGGCGGCCCGCAGGCTCCTGCGATAAGCTTTGAATAGAAATCCGGAAGCCCCCGATGACCCGAACAGGTCAGGGCCAGGGGTCAGCTTGAACAAGGCTGGCGGGCCTTCGCGCTGGCTAGATCGATGTTCGCGCACGCTTTTGGTTACCAATATCGCCCTCCGGGCGCGACCTTAATACACAAAATTGCGACCCATGGGGCCAGCTACGCAGAGATGTCCAATTTCTAAGGCCCCTTTTATGCAAAATTGTAACGCACGCACCCAACCCCACGCAAAGTTCTGATCTGTTGGGCTAATGGCGCGCATAGTTATCATGTGTAAGCTTCCTAATACGCAAACTTGTGGTCTGCCAGGCTGCTTGTGCACAATTTTGCCCACAGCTGGCGAGAAAAGTCACAACTTTGCACAAGGCTGCCCCTATGAATTGCAATTTTGTGCGCGTTTGACATTGCGCGCCGCATTTCTGTGCATATATAGTCCCACAAATTGCATTTTTGTCTCTATGAGACCCCACAGATCGCATTTGTCTGCGCATTTGGCCTCGCGGAGTGTAATTTTTACCGATTTTAGCCCCGACAGATTGCAACTCTGTGCACAGCTTCCCCCGCGGATCGCGATCCTGTGCGCATCCGGCCCCGCGGGTCGCGATCCTGTGCGCATCCGGCCCCGCGGATCGCGATTCTGTGCGCATCTGGCCCCGCGGATCGCGATCCTGTGCGCATCCGGCCCCGCGGTCGCCGGTCCGCGGTCGCCGGTCCGGGTCCGCGGTCGCCGGTCCGGGTCCGCGGTCGCCGGTCCGCGGTCGCCGGTCCGCGGTCGCGGTCGCCGGTCCGCGGTCGCCGGTCGCCGGTCCGCGGTCGCCGGTCGCCGGTCGCCGGTCGCCGGTCGCCGGTCGCCGGTCGCCGGTCGCCGGTCGCCGGTCGCCGGTCGCCGGTCGCCGGTCGCCGGTCCGCGGTCGCGGTCGCGGTCGCCGGTCCGGGCCACTGCGGCATCGCCCTACCATGCTGCCGGAACCTTTCCTCTCGCTGGCCCCGGCGGAAGTAGGGGCACGGCCGTGCTCGCGCGCGAGCCCCTTCCCCTAGGCTGCGGGCGTCGGCTCAAGTGGACGGGAAGAGCGGCCGGGCGGAACGGTCGAGCGCCCTGCTTTGTTGCGGGCGCACCGCCCGCCGCGGCCCGGCGCCGTTTGGTTCGCGGAACTGTGAGGCCCAGTCCCTTGGGTGTGCGCTGGAATCCGCCGGCCGCGCCGCATATTCGTGCCCCCGGCCCGAGGGGAACCGAGCGGGCATACGGCGCGCGCGTTCGGGCCGGTCGGCTCTCGTCCAGAGATCGTTATTTCACCTCGTGTTTTTTCTCTGCCTGACAATACAGGCGGCAGTCGCCCGCCTGCACATTGATACAATGCCAATGAATGATCTGGATCCACCCGCCCTCCCAAAGTCTTCGGATCACCGTGGTCGAGAGCGACCCGCCGAGGCACTGCCCCGACCTCGGAAAGTCGTTGCGGAATACGAAATCTGTAGAGCGAGGACGAACGCAGCTTTCTTTTTAGCGCATCTTTTCTTTGTCAAAGACAAAGTTTCACAAGAATACAAATATGGATGAGCTCGGCTTCCCTCTGAATGTATACGTCAACCAACCAACGACTCTAGTACACTCAGCGCACTTCTCGAAAGCAACTGCGCGCTGTCGCACACGACGAGCACCTCGCTTTCGCGGCTGCACCACGAACCGTTCGCTTTTGGCCGAGGGCAGCGCGGCACTCGGGATGGTAATGCGCTACGAGATGCAGTAAGGTGGGGGTACAAACAGGTTTGCGAGTTCTTTGCCCCCCCCACACTCTCACTGCCAATCCCCGCGATGAAGAACGGGCAGCTTAGAAGAAGCAAAGAAATAGCAGACCACCAGCCGCTCCCCGCCAAACGCCATGCTTCACCTATCCTGAGTAAAAACGTCCCCACCCCAGAGTTGTGATGCAGATCTGCAAGCACAAGACGGTTTGTAATGCGCGATCCCATGAGGGGCATTATCAATCGCGTTTTGGAACTTGTAATGCTGTAAACAACATAAGGAGATCGATTTGTTATGCGGCTTCCCTTGCTAAACTGCACTACACTACAGTCTGCAACTTGTCATGCGTGGTTTCCAAAACTTCAAGATATGTGTTGCAAAATCCCCATCTTGACTCTGCGGTGGTGACGTTTTTACATTGGATATCACCTCCCGCCGGCGCGGCGGGTCGCTTCGCTCGGTGCGCCGACGTGCATGCTCGACGGGACGGGGCATTTATGCATTGCAAAAGTGTCTGGATCTGGAAAGTTGGAACTTGTAATGCTGCTCTTGCATTCCGGTGAAATCTGTATTGCATGACCAAGAACAGTGGTAGCCTCTTATGTCATACAAAAACGCAGTTTCTCATGCGGAGTTCGTATGAGAAGGCGTGCTGCAACCTTGGCATGCTTTCCTGCATAAGGAAGTGACTTCCTCTTGCACATTTTAGCATCACAAATTTCCAGACCCAGACATATTTGCACTTGATAGCATTTTGTCCCCAGCAAAACGAAGGTGAAGAAGACGCTGGAGAAGCAAACCCGGCCGCTCCCGGAGATCACCAAATACCTGAGTCAGTTCGGCATCGGCAAGGCGAAGACCAAGCAGGAGCGGCGGCTGCAGTACTACGAAGTCGTATCCAATCAAAATCTGTCTGGGTCTCGAAGATGAATCGAAATTTCTGATGCGAGGACATGATGCCTGCCATACAAGAAGAACCTGTAATCTATTTGCATGTTGACCAGTAGAAGGAGCGACACAGAAAGTCGTGCCAAGGACTACACCAGAGGCTGCACGGTAGAAGTCGCAGAACCTGTGAAGTAGATGCTAGGCCACGCATTCCAGACCTCGCGAGGTTGCATGAAGCAGCTACAGTTCTGCATGTTTTGACAAGTGTAGTTGCATCGATCCTTCCAGACGAGGACCGCGAATTTGGACTTGATAATTTACCAGCGGGAGCAACTTCGCGCCGAAGTTTTTGAACCAGCTGAAACCCCGCATGTGGTTCATCGGTTCGGCGGTGAAGGACGAGCAGCTGCCCGCCCCAAAACTGCCCGAGATCGCCTTCGCCGGGCGTAGCAACGCGGGGAAATCGACGCTGCTGAACAATCTGACCGGCAATTTGTCGAAGGCCTTCGTGTATCAACTGTAAAAATGTCTGGGTCTGGAAGAATGCAAGTTTGTCATGCTTGTCTGGCATGATTCGAGAATCTGTGTTGCATAGGCACAAAAAAGCCCTCTTACCTGTCATGCAAAAACGCAGTTTGCCATGCGGAATACGTAAGACATGGCAGCCAAAAAATTTGTCATGCATAACTGCGTACTGCAGTGCGTCGATCATTCATTTTTAGCATTACAAGTTTCCAGACCCAGACATTTTTACGATTTGATATCGTGAAGCAGACCCCCGGGAGTACGACCACTTTGAACTTCTACAACCTGGGCCAGCCCTCCATGCTCCGGTTCGTGGACCTTCCGGGATACGGGTTTGCCAACGTCAGCGAGGAACAGCGAACCACGTGGACGGAATTCAGCCTAAAGTACCTGAAGTACCTATCCCGGGAAAGAACGTCCCCACCCCGTAGTCCAGATGGGGATTTTGCAACACAAACCTAGAAGTTTTGGGACTCACGCATGACAAGTTGCAGTCCGTAGTGTAGTGCAGGTTAGCGAGGAGAGCCGCATTACAAATCCGTTTGGTTGTCCCGTTCACAGCAATACAAAGTCCAAAACACGACTGGGAACACCTATCATGGGGATACGCGTCGCAAATGGTCGCGTCAGTGCGAATCTGCATGACAACTCTGTGGCGGGGACGTTTTTTCTCTTGATGGTACCGGAAAACGCTGCAGCTCGTGTGCCTCCTGGTGGACAGCCGACTCGGGCTGCTGGACTCCGACCGGGAGTTTCTCGCGTTCTTGGAGCGCAGCCGGGTGAAGTGGCAATATGGAATGCAAATATGTCTGTGTCTGGAAACCTGTCATGCAAGGAAGGGAATAGTGAGTACTACACTGTAATGCGCTGCCGAGCATGACAATTTTTTCACTGCTTCTGAGTTGCGTCCTCCGCATGAGAAACTGCGTTTCTGCATGACAGCGGAGCTCGTCTTCGCGGCCACGCAATACAGAAGAGCTCAGAGTTAACATGTCAGACTAGCATGACAAAACCCGCAGTTGTCTCCCAACATCCAGGGATATTTGCATTTGATAGAAAACTACTGTTCACGAAAGCAGACTTGGTGCAGCGGGGAACTCTCGCCAAGCGTATGTCCATGGTGTGGGAACACGAGCTCAACCTGTCCACCGCTCGGGGGAATTATCCGCAGCAACCGGTAGCGAGCGCGACCGCTGCAGCATCAAGACGGCACTACAACTACATGCACTCGCCGCCGATTGCCATCTCCGGGCAGAAGCGGCAAAACCTGGAGCAGGTGCGGAGCCTCCTCGAGAAGTTTGCGCTGAAAAAAGAAGTTGTTGTATCCTGAGTAAAAACGTCCCCATCCCATAGTCAAGTTGCGAACTCTGCAAAACAAATCCAGCAGTTTTGGGGGCCATGCATGACGAGTTCGTCTTTGTAGCGTAGTGCAGGTTAGCAAAGACAGTCGCATCACAAACCCATCGCTTTACTATCCTGTTTACAGCATTACACGTTTGGAAATGCCTCGCATGTAGATGCGCATTACAAATGTGCATGTCATTGCAAATCTGCATGACAACTCTGGGACGCTGGGGACGTTTGTGCTCAGGACATGTGGTTGACGGGATCAAGCAAAACGTGTACGATCTGATCGAACTGACCCGGATCCGGAAGCAGCAGAAGCAGGAACGACGGAAAATCAAGTTGAGGCAGAAAGAGTACGAAAAAAAGATGAATGTGGGCGAGAAGGACGTGACGAGCACCTTGAAACGCTGGGGTTTGGAGGAGGACTTTGACGACGTCGAAGAGGAAAGCGTAGTCAATGATGTCGGAGCTGCTGCACCAGAGCCGGAGGAACTTGAAAGAACGAGCAGCACTTTATTTTCCGCGGACGTCGTGCAGCGAACACAGACAAACCCTTCCGCGCAGTCACAAATAGACCATGCTCCATCGATGTCTACCGCAGGAGAGGTAGACGTGGCAACGAGGGCGGCGGGAGAAGCTGCAGACGAGAGTAGTGGAGGTGGTCCCACAGGAATAAACGAGAGTGGTAGTCCCGCAGTCACCAGGCAAGACCGAGACTGCGAACCTGAGACAGCAGAGTGTTTGAGGCGAGAGAAGATGTTTTTTTCCTCCGGACTGAGCCGCGCAGGTGAGCAGGAACAAACTAGTGGCAAGAACATCGTAGGAACTAGTACATCTGATGCACGAGGAGGACACTACCGGGACCCCGCGGCCGTGGACGTGCCTTCAGGGGAACAGTTGGCGACCACCGGGGTAGAAGATCATCAACCGGGACTACGCTGTTCTACTGGAGAGGTATACAACGCGGATCCATCTGGTGAAACGGAAGGCGAGTCTCGTCCTCCCGCTCTGGGTTTGTTGCGCTGCAATAATTACACGACTTCTAGTGCCTCACCAGATAGCCACAGATTTATTTCCGCTTCGTCTGAAAAATCCTCTGCCTCGCCGTTCTACTACGCAGTTCCCGAAGCTGATGATGGTGTTGTTCCGGATGAGAAAGCTGTAGATCATGGACCGAGTTTTACTGGAGGCCGTGAGGAAGAATTTGAAACTACAACTAATGCATCTTCCGAGCGACTGCCAGGCGAGAAAATAAACCGCGCCGTGTTCTTTTTTCACAACGAGCCGCAAGATGAGAATCGGCGTAGCAGTGGGAAGACAAGCGACGGCAACCCGAGGGAGCTACACGGCTGCGAAGCGGGCGCTTTCACCCGACCAGAAGGAGCTGAAGCGACCGCGTCAATGGCAAGTAAGTCTACGTCGAATAAAGGAGACATTTGGCGTAGCGTCCCGTGAAAAAACCACGCCCCCAAGTCCACCCGAGCGCCAAGATGGGAATAGAGCTGCTGGATAACAAGTCGTCAGGTTTTGGCTGCTGCGCATGACAGAATTGGTTCTGCGATGTTGTCGGGTTGACCTAGTGAATTCGCATCTTCACAGATCGCGCGTCTTGTCCTGATTGCAGCATGGCAAAATGCAAAACACCACCTGCACCAGAAGGCGTTCCATAGGGTGCTTTCAGATCTTTGCATGGGCCAAAAAATCTCTTGTGGGGGCGTTTTTACATAGGATATGGCGACCGGAAGACGAGAGTTTTATCACTTCCTTCGTTATTGACGATGCGGAAAGCGTGAGAACATCGTCATTTCGGGACAAAAAGAAGAAGCGCACGATCGGAAAGCCCGTCAGAGAAAGTGGTTCTCCTGAGAAGAAAACGGCCTTTCCAGATTTAGACGACATCGCGAAAAAGGTTCAGATATCAAATGCAAATATGGATCTGGTGGGTCATCCCCATTGGGAGATCGACGCGAGATTTGTCGTGCTTGTCTGCCATGACGATTGCTGTGAGGTTTGTGAAGATGCGTGTCCACTTATTTGTGATGGTTTTGCTTTTTGCTTGTCATGCAGAATAAACGCAGTTTCACCTGATCTGGTTTGCGTAACGCATAGGAGCCGCGTTACAATTTGTTCGCATGCTTACATGTGCATTAGAGGAGCAGTACAGCTTTCCTGATCTCCCAGTAGACCTTGAGATGATATTTGCATCCGATAGCAGATGATGCAGAGCCACACGAACTACCAAGAAGCGGATTTCCTGCGTAACAAAAACCACCTCACGAAAACCCCCAGCCGGGAGGAGGTAACCATCACGGAAGAAGAGCTCAGCAAGATCGCGGACAGAATTGAAAGCGACGGTATTCGCGAGGACCAGGAGGAACAGAAAGGCTTTAGCAGTAGCGAGAACCTCCAAAATTCGAAGGACGCGGAGCAGATTGCGAAAAACCTAGTGTGGAAGAAGAATTTGGCGGAAAATAAAAAACACAAACTCTCGCTCGTGGAGGAAAAGGTATCAAATGTAAAAATGTCTGGGTCTGGAAGGTTGGAACTTGTGACGCTAAGTTTGGACTCTAAAAAAATCTGTATTGCATGACCAGCAAGGAAGAGGATTCTAGTTTGTGCTACGCGGGGAGGGCATTTGTCATGCGGAGTAGGCATCAGGAAGCCCTCTAAAAATCTGTGACGCTAGGTCGTGCATTACAGACATCCTGGGCAATGCAAAATATGCATGAGGGAATTTCCAAGAGTGCAAAATATGCATGACAAACACTGCAACATTCCAGACCCAGATACTTTTGCATTTGATAAAAGGAAAAGAGGTTCCAAACAGAGTGGCGTACCGGGCTGGACAATCGAGATCATCATGATGCAGAGCAGCTCGTCCTCGCCCCCCCAACTGCCGATCTGAATTTGCGGGTTCACCACCAAAGAGTTGATGACAAGATGAACTTCCTTTCGGCTCCGGCTCTCTCCTCCTCACACCAGCTGCCCGACTTGTCGAAACTGACGCCCCGGCAGCGGCAGGAGCACGTGCTTCGCGAAGAGGCCAGCACCCGGGCTTCTATGCTATTTGCAAAACTATCGTACTAGTATGAATCGCCTGGCAAATTTTCTCAGCGTGAGAAATAAAATTTGCAATGCGGATTTGACTTGAGAAGGAAATTTGTAATGCACCATGACTACGATTACTACGAGTACGATACTTCTGCACAGGATAGCGTCTCGGATCGGGCTCTTTTCCGCGGACGAAACCGACGGCGTGATTCCGATATCAAATGCAAAAATGTCTGGGTCGGGAAGGTTGGAACTTGTGATGCTAACTTTGGACTCTAAAAAGATCTGTATTGCATGACCACCAAGAGGAGTCTAGTTTGTGCTACGCGGGGAGGGCGTTTGTCATGCGGACTAGCTAGGCATCAGGAAGGGTTCTAAAAGTCTGTGATGGTAGGGCATGCATCACAAACAATCCTGGGTCATGCAAAACATGCATGACAAGTCTCAGAATCTTCCAGACCCAGACACTTTTGCACTTGATATCCGAAAGGAATTCGCAAGTGGAAGTTCGTCGGGAAGCCGAATCCGAAGTCCCCACTCCTCGCGCAGCCGCGCGATGTAGCGCGGATTCTGCAGACCAGTGACTGGAACCACTTGAAGAAAAATCGGAAGTCGTATGGCAGTGCGCAACCCCCTCTCCCCCTCATCTGTATAGCCTGCACGGCAATACAAGCAGTAGCAAAAACGCCAGTTCTGCAAGACAAATTTACACTGGAGTGGAGTGCTATTTGGGCTAGTGCCAGAACTTGTCATGCATAATAGTGACGGGAGGGAGAGGGACAGTCTGGAGTTGCTGCTTTGCATGAGAAATGAGAGCGAGGGGGAGTTGTGCACTCTCATAAGTCGGGCAACGCTTTGACGTTCGAAGAGGGGCGGGAGAAGATGATGCGTATGAAGTGCAAATATGTCTGGGTCTGGAAGAATGCAAGACTTGTAATGCAGATTTTCCATCGTGACCCCTGAGGTCTGAAATGCGAGACCCAGCATGACAGATTCTTTGAGTGCTGTATCATGCCTTTCCTGCATGAGAAACTCCCTGCTCTCAACTTGGTCAAAAGCGGACAGCTTTTGGTACTCACGCAACACAGATTTTTGCATCATTCAGATTTAGCATGACAAGTTCTAATCTTCCAGACCCAGACACTTTTGCATTTGATAATGCGGTGGATCGACCGAAATCGGCGCAGACCGGGCTTTATGGATTGCAAAAATGTCTGGGTCTGGAAGATTGCCAAGTTTGTCATGCATGTTTCTCATGACACATGACGCCTGTGATGCATGACCTAGCATCACAGGTTTTTAGAACCCTTCCAGATGCACCTTCCGCATGAGAAATGCCCTGTTCGTGTAGCACAAACTGTGCCCCTCTTGCTGGTCATGCAATACAAATTTTTTCAGAGTCCAAAAACAGCATGACAAGTTGCATTCTTCCAGACCCAGACGTTTTTGCACTTGATAGGCTTGTTGGCAGAAGCGGGGTCGATCAAAAGGTCGGACCTGGAGGAGGAATTTTTGGCGAAGCACGCACGGAAGCTGAAGGTGGGGAGCAGCGCGAGTGGGGTGCAGTCTATCCCCCAGAAAAAGACCGACAGGTCATATTTGTAATGCAAAAATAAATAGACAAAAAAATCTGTATTGCATGCCCTAAACAGGATGTTATGGCCTCGCCCATGACAGATTTTCCTGTGTATTTATTTTTGCATTACAAATATGACCTGTCGGTCTTTTTCTGTGGGATACAGTCCATGAAGGACCTGCCCAACGTGGACCCCACGGGGAGGGAGGACTATGCAGTGCAACAGCATCGTACTCGTACAAATGCATTACAAATTTCCTCAGCATGAGAAATAAAATTTGTAATGCGGATTTGACTGAATAAAAAGATTGGTAGTGCATGATTGCAATACGAGTGCGAAGATACTTTTGCACACGATAAAGGCCCGCATCTGACGAAAGAACTGCAGGCGTCGAAGAAAGTGTTGCAGCAAACGAATAAGCTGAAGAAGAAGCAGCGGAACGCCAGTTTGGGGAAATAGGTAGAAGATGAATCGACCCTCAGTTGTACCAGTTTTATATGATCCTCGGTGGAACGAATACTATTTTTTGCAAGAAGTACAACAACTTGCAATTCTCCTGGTCATCTGAATGCTACATCATGCTCCAGTTGTCTTCATGCTTCGGACGTATTACTCAAGAAACGGCCCGGTGGAAGTAGTACAGGAAAAAAAGCAAAGCGCCGCTCAAATCACATCAGCCTGCCTTTTGTTGTTCCTTGACGTCGTAAAACCGAATTCCAAATGTACTCATCCTTAAAACTTGCGCCTGCGGACAGTAGGTGGCAGTACCAATGTGCTACATTATTTTCTGTAGCGTGAAAATGAACCCGATTTTTGAAGATCAGGTTGAGGAAGAACTTGTTATTGCGAAAAGAACCCGGCGCCAGTACCTGCGAAGCCATTTGTGTTCGAGTTGTATTTAGTCCAGTGTTCTTTCTACTTCCTTACCCTGTTGTACTTTCGGTAGTATGCATAGACGTTGAAGTGACGTTGTGAAATTCAAGTCTTGTAGCGCAGGCACCGGTCGTTTTCAATTGCCATTGATGTGGCTGCTGTCGATCGGTACTCACTATGGTGACGAATCAATCCTTATCCTCTGTCTTGCATCGAGCGATGATAGAAATCAGTATCAGCACTCGGTTTTCGTTTCGGTATTGCTACGGTTTGCTCTACGTTCCAGAACCTTTGTAAGTACTAAGTCCCAGGTCTTCTACTTTCGCAGTTTAGTATAGACGTTTCTACCACTGCGAGGATTTTATTATTTTGCGGAATCCGATATGGTTACCGTTACCCTTACCGTTATGGACAACGACAAGAAAGAACAAGTCAGGACCTACCCTTCTTGAGCTTCTACCCCTATGGTTTTGCTGCTACCTCCCCTGCAGAATTTTTGCTACTTCTTGAGCTGTTATTAGTTCATCGTGTGCAGTAGAGTATTTTTTTCAAGATAAACATTCATACATCCTCGTATCGTGCCTCACTAGCGTTCTATTTTGAGCGCAAGTATAGCGTTTTTGTTATTTTTGAGTTGGTCAAGAATTTTCAGCCACAACTCCGTGTTTATTGGTTTATCCTTTATTATGCGTTCTGCGAAGACAAACATTTTTTTTTGTGGAAGAAAATACACACGCTTGAGCGGAGAATAAACCTCTGCAGAAATAGTTGCAGGAAAAGCATCCGGAACGAACGAACAGGTTGGCAACTAAAAGTAAACGTACGTCAAAAAAAATGTTGATCCGCACGACGAACAGCAAGTTAGTTGCGGTATTCGCAACCCTTGATGTCCTCGGTTTTTTATTATCAAATGCAAATATGTCTGGGTCTGGAAACTTGTGATGCTGGGTGGCGTATCATGAGGAGGCCACAACTGCTGGCTTAGCATGACAAGTTTCTGAGCTTCTAGGTGTTGCCTATTCTGCATGACAAACTGCGTTTCTGCATGACAGAAAAACGGACCTCCTGGGTAGCGTGCATGACAGATTTAACAGTCATGACTCAAGAAGCGGCCCGGTGGAAGTAGTACAGGAAAACATGCAAAGCGCCGCTCAAATCCTATAAGCCGGCTTTTTGTCGTCCCTTGATGGAAAACCGAAGTCCAAATGTACTCATCCTTAAAACTTGCGCCTGCGGACAGCAGGTGGCAGTACAAAGAATGTGCTACATAATGAACCCGATTTTTGATTACTTTGGGGAAGAACAAGAACTTATTGCGAAAAGAACCCGGCGCCACTACCTGCGAAGCCATTTGTGTTCTTCGAGTTGTCCTTTTATAGTGAATCGTAGTTCTTCAATCATTGATGAGGACGTTGCGAAATTCAATATCTTCTAGCCTAGGTAGCTGCATCGGTCGTTTTCATTGCCACTAGATACATCATCACAGGCACTCCAGTTCATCGGTACTCTGCTCTAAAGCTGATGAATCTTCTGTATTCCATCGAGCGATGATAGAAATCAGTATCAGCACTCGGTTTTCGTTTCGGTATTGCTACGGTTTGCTCTACGTAGTTCCACGACCTTTGTAAGTACCAAGTCCCAGCTCTTCTACTTTCGCAGTTTAGTATAGACGTTTCTACTACCTCCACTGCGAGGATTTATTTTTTTGCGGAATCCGATATGGTTACCGTTACCGTTATGGACAACGACAAGAAGAACAAGTCAGGACCGACCCATCTTGAGCTTCTACCCCTATCGTTTTGCTGCTACCCCTGCAGAATTTTTGCTACAACTTCTTGAGCTGTTATTAGTTCATCGTGTGCAGAGTATTTTTTTGAAGATAAACATTCACACATCTACTTTCTATCGTGCCTTTACTAGAGTTCTATAATTTTGAGCGCAAGTAGAGCGTTTTTTTTTTATTTGGTTGTTTATTGGTCAAGAATTTTCAGCTACAACTCCGTGCTTAGTGGTTTATCCTTGATGCGTTCTGCGAAGACAATTTTTTTTTGTGGAAGAAATAGAAAATAAACACGCTTGAGCGGAGAATATTAAACCTCTGCAGAAATAGTTGCAGGAAAAGCATCCGGGGCGAACAGGTTGGCAACTATACGTACGTCAAAAAACATGTTGATCCCCGCGACGAGATATAGCAAGGTAGTTGCGGTATTCGCAACCCTTGACGTCCTCGGTTTTTTATTCCAGCACATCAAAACCGTCCGCAGTGAAGAGCGTGTTCCTAGTACCGGTCCCGCGACGGAGGTGGCACAACAACAAAATCCACAGCCAGCTAAAGATTCCCGTCGTCTGTTCCACAGCGCGAATCTGGCTCTGGATTCCGTCCTGGGCGGTTCCTGCGAATCTTGCGGCGACACGCAGCAGGGCCAGGGGTCCTGGGACAACCAGTTTCGGTGCTCGGAGCAGGGAGGCGGCGTCCACCAAATTTGCTACCGGAACATCCGGAACAGCGGGCTGTCCGCGAAAACCGGCCAGCCTACCACACAGAAACAAGCAGGCAGGTCAGATTATTTGTAATGCAAAAATAAATACACAAGATCACCCCTGCGTATCCATATCCTCAACAGCATGCTATGGCGTCGCCCATGGCAAATTTTTCGGTGTATTTGTTTTTGCATTTATACAAATGTGCCCTGCTAGCGTTTTCCTCTGGGATACAGCCAAACTGGAGCGACGACCGGTGCGAAGACTGCAACCACTGCGTCTGCCTGGGCGCGTGGGCACTGTACGTGGCGAAGGGCGGGCGCCGGTTGTCGCGGTCCGCGGAAAAGTGGCGGGAGTTGCGGGATAAAGATTTCGAGCCGATGGACGTCGCGAGCAAAACCCCTCCGTTAAAGCGGCTGCTGTTGTCCAAGAAGATGCCGCACAACATGCTGAAGTGCACGGCGATCCCGGAAACCGCGCTGCAATACCGGTACGTGAATAATTGGAACACGTGGAACGGACACGAACTACCAAACCAGGTGATTGACGGGGTAGAGGAGTTATCCTGTGCAAAAGTATCGTACTCGTATTGCAATCATGCATTACAAATCTTCTTTTTAAGGTAAATCTGCATTACAAATTTCATTTCTCATGCTGAGGAAATTTGTAATGCATTTATAGGAGGACGATACTTTTGCAGTTCATAGGAGTTGGTGGCGCAGTGCCTCGAACAGAGCTCGACGGCCAACCAGAAGAAACATCTGACGGATTTGTACTGCGGGATGGCATATCCACTGCAAATATGGATCTGGGTCTGGAAGGATGCAGGGTCTGTCATGCTTGTCTGGCATGACTGAAGAGCTTGTGATGCGCGTCCAAGAACAGACCCTTTTGCTTGTTATGCAAGACGCACTTTGTCATGCGGAAACCGCAACACTTAGGCACGAAAATATTTCTCATCATGCTTGGCTGTGCATTACAGAGCATTCAATATTTCCAACTCAGCATCACAAGTTTCCAGAGCCACACGTATTTGCAGTTGATATGGCTCTGCAAACATCCTCACTGAACACGCGGCCGGCGTACAACGAACTGTGCAAGGGATATGGAACTGTCAGGATCGAAATCGTCAAAGTTGAAATGATTTGCCATGCATAAAATGGATGCCAGTTGTAAGTCCCGCATGACAAATTTGGGTGGAACGGAAATCCAGTTTGTCATGCTGTCTGGGTAAGGGCGACGCCTTTTGTCATGCTACTTTGGCAGCGTCATTCCTACCCCACCTCAAAACAGGCTTACAAGCTGGCTCACTTGCCGACTCCGCAAGACAGGCGCTTCGTGGGTTGCGTTTTGTGCATGACAAATCATTTCAACTTTGCCGATTTCGATCCTGACACATCCATAAGGGGGAATCGCAGCCGGCGCCCGCCCCCGCGGCCGCCCCTGCGATGAGCTACGTGGCCCCGACGCCAGCAGCAAGCGCGCAGCAGGTGTCGACGGGGGTGCAACCCAGCAGCACTACTTCGACCGTCAATGCGCAAGCTCCGCCCACCCAGAACAACCCGCCCATGATTGCGGCCGCGCCAGGAGCTAGTGGTAGTGGCGCCGTCAGCACGACGTCAAGCAGCACTGGGAATTCCGTGTCCGCGCGCCAGCCGGCGGCAGCGTCGGGTGCCACGTCAGCCGAGCGCGTCAACCCAACCTCCTCGCAGGACACCAGAATAAACCGCTCTTCCTATCCTGAGTAAAAACGTCCCCACACCATAGTCAAGATGGGGAATCGGCTAGACAAATCAGCCAGCTTTGGTTGTTTGGCATGACAAGTTTGTCCGCGTAGTGTAGTGCTGTTTGAGCTAGTTTAGCAGCGTTACAGATCTAGTATCTCGCGCTGATTGGAGCATGACAAATTTCAAAACCGCGCTAGAAAATGCTTCTCATGGGGCTCCGCATGAGAAACATTTTAAGCATGCAGAGTTGCATGACAACTATGGTGTGGGTACGTTTTTACTCAGGATACTTCCTCGTCAGGAGGCCAGCAGGCGGTGCAGACGAATTTCAAAATCAGCTCGAAGTATCCTATGTAAAAACGCACCCCATAGTCAAGATGGGCAATCTGCAAGACAAACCTTGAAGTTTTGGGAGTCACGCATGACAAGTTGCGGGCTGTGCTGTAGTTTAGCTTAGCAAGGGAAGCCGCATAATAAATCCATCTCCTTATCCTGCCTACAGCATTACAAGTTCCAAAACACGATGGGAAATGCCTCTCATGGGGATGCGCATTACAAATGCTCTTGTGCTTGCAAATCTGCATGACAACTCTGGGGGGGGGACGTTTTTACTCAGGATACGAAGGTCAGCGGCTTCAACAACCTGATCGAGGCCCGGGCGGTGCTGCACACGGGAAACACGAATTTGGTGAGCAACTTGTGCCGCAGCTTCGTGCAGACAGTCGGGGCGAGCTCGGACGATTGCGTTGTCAACCGGATTATCAAATGCAAAAATGTCTGGGTCTGGAACCATGCGCGATTTGTCATGCAGCTTTTCCATGACCCTTGAGGTCTGGAAAGCAGGACGTAGCATGACAGATTCTGTGCGATCTCTCTCATGCCCATCCTGCATGACAAACTCCCTCCCTAGTTGGTCAAAACTGGACGACTTTTGGCAATCATGCAGCACAGACTTTTGTATGCTTCAGATTTAGCATGACAATTTGCAGCATTCTTCCAGACCCAGACACTTTTACATTTCATACGGATTGTCGTGACAAGCAGCCGGCGGTCGTTGGGAGAAAGTATGCCTGAGGGTCATGATGATGTGCTTGTTGAACCGACCAAGGAAACACACGACCGAAACCTCCAAACGCAACAGTTCAATATGCAGACCGACATTTCCCTGACCGCGCAAACGGCGCAGCAGGCCAGCATGTTCGAATCCCGCGTGTCTACCGCTCCGGCAGTGGTGGAGGCGAGCATGAATCAGGCCATGCCCACCGGCGTCCTGCTTACCGGCTCGTCCACGGCACTGGGGGGCCGGACGGTGGTGAGTAGCGGAAGCAGCATGACAAGTTTCGCACTGAGCAGCGACCGAGTGGGGGGGATGACGGGCGTCGTGAAAGCGGTGTTCGCCGTGGTTGCCGCCTTTCTGTTTTTGTAAATCTGGTAAACCAAAGAACGACCGGTTATTTTCAGACGGAGAAGCAGATGCAGTACAACAACGAACGTCAACGTGAAGAAGCTCCTGCCCATGCAACTGGGCTGGCAAATGAATAATAATTCGGAGGGTTTTGAAGAAATACGACGAATTTGAATTCGACCGTGGTGTTTTATTTGCAACACCCATCCTGTCGAGAGTGAAAGTATCGACAAGCATGCTGGTCTCACTTTTGTACGTACGGAGTTTTTTACAGCGGAAGGCATGAAGATTTGAAAAAATACGGAGTTTGTATCTTGTCACAATCTTGTTAAGGATTTAATGCACTGAGGTCTACCAATTATGAGCCTTTTTTTTTTTGCGAGTTTACCTTTTTCGCTTTCGAGTTCTTGTTAACATTTATTCGGACATGCCGGAAGATGTCGTGCATGTTTACAACACGACCCGGAAAGAGCTATATGTTTTTCTCTTTAATTCTATTTTTCAATTTAGGTTAACGTTACGTCGTGAACCAGCATTGTATAGTTTCAAAAACCACTGCTAAAAAGTAGTCAGTTTATCCCTAAATATTTTTCGTGCAGATTTGCTAAGTATATGGTTCACTAGAGTGAGGTCGAGAGCCTTGCGATTTTTTGTTCTTGTTCTTAAGTACCCTCATAGATATGCAACTACTATTTTCATTGATGTGCAGCTCGAAACTTCATCTTGAAATGAAAAAATAAACAGCGTATGTTGAAGCACTTTGTTTTGAACGTGTGTGCAGAAAAATTTTGATGACGACTCGTCAACGATTCCCCGTGACAAGAATCGATGCGGTTTTTCAAATCGCGCAACAGTGTGACTGCTAGATCGTGTGCAACAGCAGTAGCAGTAGAAGACTTTGTGCGTTTAGGAAGAAATTTGGCTTGCTTCTTTTTCCTTTATCCAGGACCCGAAGCTGCTGAGGAAACAACTTTGTCGAGCGATGCGTGAGCAGTGTGATTACGATTAGTTAGTAGAGAGGGCGCAAAATAAATATCGTGTGCGGGTGGAAAACGTAGCCTGCGCGTGTCGGGTTCGCTCTAGTTCTTTCTGCTGGGCGAGATTCTGGGGCACCAACGTGATCGCCGCCCCAGTTTTGAAACGGGCGGCGCGCCACGGGGGCGTTTTCGGAGCGAGGGGCTTTGGCGGGGGCGATGCGGTGCGCCGATAACTTCGGGGCGTTGATGCTCTCCTGGTGCCCGCGGGCGGTGCTTTTGGCGCCGGCGGGGCGGCGGGCGCGGGACGCCCGCCCTGTGCCGGCGCGCGCCTACCCGGGCTACAGGCTGCGCCCACATTCTTTTCGGGTAGTCGGCGTCTGAATGGCCCGCGAGCATCCGGTCGCCATTTTGGCGTCCCCGAGCGCGTGACGTGGCTGGCCAGCGCGGCATGTTTTGGTCTCTACGTTCCGCTTATGTCGCCAACTGGTGCTCCTGGTCGAGCAGTTGCCCCGCTCCGGTAACAAAGAGGATGGCGTGGCTTCTTTTCTTGCATGCTGGTTGTACCACCTTGTACTACTACAGCCACAACGAGTAGTACTATTAGCAAATCGAAAATTTTTTCAATATTGCAACGACCTCAGAAGTTCAAGTTGTCCTGTGCCATCGTGGTCAGCTCATGTGCCATGCACCCACAGAAATTCTCTCGTCACAATCTCGGGCAACGCATCTTATTTCGCATCCGCCGGTCCGGAGCCTGGTACAACCGCGCACCTGCGGCAGAAGTGGCGGATTTTTTCCAACAGTCCCCGGCGGAGATCATCAGAAATTCTGGGAGCAGGTCCACTCCTCGCGACCACCTCCTCCACCACACAGCCGCATTCAACGGGCCCAAAAACCGCGAGTGGCGGCGGAAATGGCGGCAGCGCGCGAAGAAAGCCGCGGTGGGCGGCACCGTGCTCGCCATCGCGCTGGAAGCCCACAATCTTTATGCACTGCAAAAACGTCTGCGTCTGGAAGGACGCGAACTTGTCATGCTAAGTCTGCATAGTACAAAAATTTGCGTTGCAAGATCACCAAAAGCTGTCCACTTTTGAACAAGTTTAGAGGCAGTTTGTCATGCAGGATAGGCATGAAAGAGACCTCTCAGAACCTGTCATGCTAGGTCCTGCATTCCAGACCTTATGGAGCATGGAAAATATGCATGACAAGCTTGCAATCTCCCAGACATCCAGGGATATTTGCGCTGTATAATCTTCTTTACGACACCATGATCACGCTCGAGCGGGGCGGCACGCGCGCCGCCGAGGTATCGAAGAAAAAAACATTGTTGGTGTAACTTTGTGATGCACAACATGCAAAGTCATATTGGCTGTCATGCTGGGCATCCATGGTAAGGTCCATTCAATCGCGTTTTCACGTACAATCTGCGCATGACAGGTTTTTCCTCTCATGCCAGACAAAGTTGTAATGCTGTTCCTCCAAAAAAGTTACACTTACAATCTTTTTTTCTTGGATACGAGGCGGCCGAGGAATACTTGCGGCAGTACGACTATTCGGAGCATCAAGAAGATGGTCAGGTTTCTAATGGTACACAGCACTCGCCCGGCCATCATGCTTCTCAACACCCGCCAGTCTGTAGCAGCTGCTGTGCCATTGAAGATAATATTTTAAACACACACAATCACAAGAAAATGAATACAAAACTCACGCTCCTGCAACGGCACCAGCAGTCCGCGAAGCAGCGGGCCTGTTCCCAGGCGAGCCTCCCGGTGACCGAGAGCCAGACGGTATCAAATGTAAAAGTGTCTGGGTCTGGAAGAATGCAACTTGTCATGCTAAGTCTGAAGCATCCAAAAATCTGTGCTGCATGATTACCAAACGTCGTCCAGTTTTGACCAAGTCGGGAGGGAGTTTCTCGTGCAGGATAGGCATGAGAGAGATCGCGCAGAATCTGTCATGCTAGGTGCTGCATTCCAGACCTCATGGGTCATGAAAAAGCTGCATGACAAATCGCGCATTCTTCCAGACCCAGACACTTTTACATTTGATAGACGGGCAACCTGGAACTCGACCGGAACGTGACGCGATGGCTATCAGAAGGAAAAATCCCCCCTCCCCATATCGAAAACGAAATTTGTGATGCTGTGTTTGGGTACACAAAATTGTGTTGCAGTAGAGGACTGTACGCAGATCGTAAGCCTAGGTAAGGGCCTTTTGGTGTAGGCCCCTAGCACGGTAGACAGCTACCGTGTAGGCCTGGCAGCATTACAAATCGCCTGCATAACGAACGCGGCGGACAGCCCGGGCGTGTCTTCTTGCAAGACAGACCCGACTTGTGCTCACGAATCTGCATCACAAATTTTCAGGACGGCGCGCTTTCAATATGGGGTGGGAGGGGGGATTTTTCATTTTCATAGTGGCGCGAAAAAATCTTCGCGCGGGCGAGCGGCCGGTGTGTCGAGCTGGGGGCGGGCGGGTGCGGTGCGGTTTGGCGAAATTTAGAGGTTATCAAATGTAAAAGTTTCTGGGTCTGGAAGATTGCCAGGTTTGTCATGCACATTTTGCATGACTCCTGATGTCTGTGATGCATGCCCTAGCATCACAGAGTCTGTGAGGGATTCCTGATGCCTATACCGCATGACAAATGCTCTGTCCGTGTAGCAAAACTTGGACTCTCTTTGCTGCTCATGCAATACAGATTTTTTTAGAATCCAAAATCAGCATGACAAGTTGGATTTTTCCAGACCCAGACATTTTTACAGTTGGTAGAGGTGTTTCAGAAGTGGAACCGCATTGAGGAGTTGGTTGTCGTGGACGGGAACAGGAAGCAGTTGGAACATCTGTATGCTATGTAAAAACGCCCCCACCCCAGAGTTGTCATGCAAAAATGCATGCTCAGAATGTTTCTCATGCGGAGCCCCAGGAGAAGCGATTCCTAGTCGTGTTGTGGAATTCGTAATGCTCCAATCAGCATAATAGGCTAGATTTGCGATGCTTCTGAACGAGCTGAACAGGATTACACTACAAGGCCAAAAATCTTGTCATGCGCAACAGCCTAAGCTTTTTGAGTTGTCTAGCAGATTTCCCAGCTTGCCTATGGGGCGGGGAGGCGGTCTTTACTCAGGATAGTCTGAAGCAGTTGTTTCGTAACGATTTTTCTGACCCTTCGCCGATGAAGAAGAAGAACTCTAGTGAGAGCAGGAGCTGCAGGGAAATATTAAACACGTCTACTTCATCTGCTCGTCCGGAGCTCGCCGTCTTGCAGCCCGGGACGACAAGCGAAGGAGGCTGCACTAGTACGCTTCTTCAGGAGCGGCCGACAGCCCCCTCGAGTGCGAAGAAGAAGAAGAGCAATTTCAGGGTGCAATTCGTGCGTGCAGACGCGGCAGCTGTGCAGAAAAAAGAGCTCCTGAGAGAAGTTGTAAATGACCTGCACCATCGATCCACCGTCGATCGTCCCAATTTCGATACCGTGTGCTGCTCCTTTCTCCTGTCCTATTCCGAATTTCCGGAGCAGATCCTTCACAATGCGGCGGCTCTGTTGGAAGAGGACGACCAGACGAGGGCCCCCAGCGAAAAAAAAATTCTGCTGCTCGAGCGGGGCCGGAGCAGCTATGGCTTGATTCGCTGGCTCACCCGGAGAAGCCACCTCGCGAGTGAGGTAGGGAGTGAGGCACGGGTCAGTAGTGATTTTTATCTCAATTGTTATAGTGCTGTGATCAGCTACAGCTACTGGATTTTAACTTCCTCGATACACAGAATCTCGTACAAGAGATTGAATCTCATCTCCGCAGGTGAGGGGTGCTTGGACTAATGGACGCTGTGTACTAGCTGAAGAATATCTTTCTTAATGACAATAGCACAGTGACAGTTGTGAATGTGATCGTGGTCACACGACTTACGTTCCCACTCCATAACCTGCTTCGGGCGACGAGGCAGGGGGCGAGAGTGAAGTGACGGAGTTTGGGGAGACGGTTCGGATGGACGTCCTGAAGGTGGTGCGTGACTTTGTGGACCGGCAAAGGCGCACTCTCGGGGCCGAGTGGAGCGTGAACGTCACTACGCGGGGGATGGGGCACTTTTACCTGGTCGAGCTGAAGAAACAGGAACGGCGCGACGGCGTTGCCGCGGCAGGCCCTTGTAGTGAAGCAGACGATGCAGGAAATTATGCAGCTGATAATTTTTGTAAGAGAACTAGTACGGAAGCAGAAGCAGTGGCTCTTTCAGGAACAAGGTCGTCCGCCTTATCTTTTGTCACCCTAACAGAGGAAGCGATAGCTGAAATGGAAAAGACGAATGAGGTAGTGGAAAAGTACCACTATGACAAGTTGAGCAGAGCATGAGCTGACTAGAATCTTCGGAGAGGAAATAAATATTGGCTCGCTGGATCGTAAAAGATTTTATCTGCACGGGAGGTGAAGCTGCTTGATAGGAAGAATTCAGATGTTGTTCACTAGTGCTAGAAGCTTCGCGGCTCACATCTTAAATTCTCGTCGCTGGATCACAACGCGAAAGGTGTTTTTATTCGGTGACACCATTTATTTCTTGCGAGTTGAAAAAGTGATTGCAGAAGCGCCAATAATTTTACTAGATGCGGGCAGCATTGAAAGAAGCGGTTCATGCAGGGATCTTTTGCAAAATTCAGATCATGCCACGACCAGATTCAGATCCTGTAGCGAAATTCAGATCAGCGAGATGTGACTAGACTAGAAGGAATAAAATTCTAGTTCTCAAACTCGTTCTATTATGCCACCAGGTCTTCGAAGATCTTCAGAAAGCATGAGCATGATAGTACACAACGACGACCAGGCTCGCTTTTGATAGAAAGGGTAGACAACATAAGTAGACAATTCATTGCGACAACGAGGCTAGGCTGATCGGGACCCATTGTTCTGTTGTTCCGGAGCTGGTATTATACAAGTAGTCTTTTGATGTGGTAGATTCATTTGGTTCACAGTTTATTCCCTTGTTCGTGTGCTGGAAGAACGACTTTGTAAGTACAAGTGAAGGACTTTAAGTACGACCCTGTAGTTTTTGAAGCAGGAACAAAAACTACCATGTTGACCACCACCGCTGATGTACCAACGGTAGCGAGGGCCGCCGCCGCGCAAATTTCTACCGCGGGGGAACAAGTCGGCGCAACACAGCAAGCGGCGCGAACAAGAAACAGTGTTCATCTTCTAAATCCCACGTCGTCCTCTCTACTTGCCGAAGTAGTAGACCTCGTGCCCGGAAGTGGTGTTGGTTCTACTTCGGAGCGGAAAACAAGCTGCTCCGCGCAGAACGCGCTGTCTCAAGGCGATACCACGCTGGCCGCGGGGGCTATCACCACGTCAGGAACATCACCATCTTCAGTCTCGTCGTCGCCAACCCACGACGTGGAGCGGGGGCAAATAAAAAGCACACCAGCTGCGTCGACTTTGACGCCTAGTATGGTCGTTGCGCAGCAGGGACCAGGCCCCGCGGCTACTAGAGAGCAGAAGGAGCAGCTGGTTCGTGATGTTACTAATCGGTCAACACGTCCTATCCCTATGCTCTCGGAGGTGGAGGCGCCGTCGACAGCAGTTGTTCCAGGTAGCAGGGGGAGTAGTTCTCTGTCAACCTGTACCGAAAAGAAAATGTTGGTCACCGACCGTATCACCCCTGCGTTTTTCAGGGTGGAGAGGAACTACCTCCACGATGTTGACAGGACACTGCCTGGTGAAACAACAGGACGAGCAGTAGACCACAGTTTTACTAGCGGAGATGCTGATGGCCCACAACTTCTCGTCGACAGGAGCAAAACAAAATTCCTCCCCATTCTCACGGTCGGGGACGGGGACTTGTCCTTCTCCCGCGCCTTGCAAATCTCCAACCCGGAAGTTCCCCTGGTCGCGACGGTGTTTGAATATCAAATGCAAATATGTCTGGGTGTGGAAGACTGCGCAACTTGTGATGCAGATTTTCCATGACCCACGAGGTCTGGAATGCAGGACTTAGTATGACAGATCCTGTGCGATCTCTATCATTCCTGTTCGGCATGAGAAACTCCCTTGGTCAAAAGTCGACAACTTTTGGCAATCATGCAACACAGAAGTTTACAGGATGCAGACTTAGCATGACAAGTTGCAACCTTCCAGACCCAGACATATTTGCAATGCATACTGACGCGTATGAAACCATCGTTGCGAAGTACCCCCACAGCCGCGAGCGGATCGAAATCCTGGAGAAAAATATGCAAGAAACAAACTGTGTAAGTGTAAGTCTGTGATGCAGAAAATGCAAAAGAGTTACACTTGTCATGCTCCACATGCATGCTAGGCTCGCTTCCTACGTGTTTTCCCGTCCTATCTGCGCATGACAAGTTATTTTTCCTGTCATGGCAGACAAACTTGTCATGCTGTTTTCCCAAGAGACGGACCTACACTAACGCAGTTTTTTCCTTCGATAAAAAACGGCGCCACCGTCCTGTTCGGCGTGGACGCGCGGCGACTCCTATCCTATGTAAAAACATCCCCACCCCAGAGTTGTCATGCAGATCTGCAAGCGCAAGAGCATTTGTAATGCGCATTCCCATGAGAGGCATTTCCCATCGTATTTTGGAACTTGTAATGCTGTAAACAGGATAAGGAGATGGATTTGTTATGCGGCTCCCCTTGCTAAACTGCATTACACTACAGCCTGCAACTTGTCATGCGTGGCTCCCAAAACTTCGAGGTTTGTGTTGCAAAGTCCCCATGTTGACTCTGGGGTGGGGACGTTTTTACAAATGATAACTCCGGACGCATATTCAACGAGACCGGATCTGTCGTCGTGCGGAGCAGCAGGAGAGCAGCACTTCTTCCTCTTCTTCTTTTTCCGCGGACAAAGGTCTTGCAGCCAAAAATTCTGATGATCCCTGTCGTGGTGCGACAAAAGTAGGAGACCAAGTAGGAGCAGAAGAACTTCTACCTCTTGAAGCTGACACGTCGTCCTCGACTTCGGGGAAGTCGCCGGCCGGGAGTGGTAGGAAGAGAAAAAACATTGTCCCTGAGCAAGATCTCTTCGCAACAGCAAGCGCCGGATTCGCCCGCGTTGTGTTCCAGTTTCCGTTACTCCCCGCGATGACGAAGGAGCAGTTTGAGAGCGCGCCGTCGAGGGATCCAGTCCTGAACAACCGCCTGATGCTGCTAGAGTTCTTGTTGGAAGCGGAGGAGTTGCTGGACAAAGATTGTGGGGTCGTGCTGATCACGAATAAGGACGTGCGGCCGTACACCCTGTGGCGCTTGCACGACATATCAAATGTAAAAATGTCTGGGTCTGGAATATTGCGAGATTTGTCATGCTTGTCTGGCATGACAAAAAAGTTTGTGATGCGTGTCCAAGAAGAGACCCTTTTTCCTGTCATGCAAAAACGCAGTTTCTCATGCGAAAAACGCAACACAAAGAAGCGCAGATATTTCTCATGCTTGGCTGTGCATTACAGAGCATTCACCATTCCCAACACAGCATTACAAGTTTCCAGACCCAGACATTTTTACATTTGATACGACATACTGGACCACCACACTCTCACCTCGTCCGCGCCGTCTGAACGATGCGAGCAGGAGGACAAAAATCGGGGCGGAGCAGAGCCGCCGAGACCGGAAAATGAATTCTCCACCTATAATAGTACTGCTTCAGCATCAACAACACGACCACCAGAACCTCCGGAACTAGATGATACCACAGCAACTTCTTTGCAGTTTCTGGGCAAAATCCCGCTGAGAATGGAGGATTTTCCGGGCTACTTCTTCCAAAATGTCGACCGGGATTCCGCGGTGAAAGATACCATGGGGAAGTCCTTCCTGTACGGAAGTAGTAGTAGATATGGAACTGTCAGGATCGAAATTGACAAAATCGAAAAATGTGTGATGCATAAAATGCATGACGCAAAATACGTGTGTTGCAGAACAGGCAAGTGAGGCCGATTGTAAGCCTGTTTGGGGTTTTTATAGCTCGAGCTGCTAAAGCAGCATGAGAGAATCTTCAGCCTTCTTTGCCTAAACAGCATTACAAACTGGATTTAGGCGCCCCCAGAATTTGTCATGCGCCACTTAGAAACTGGGTTCGAACTGGAATCCATTTTATGCATGACAAATTATTTCGATTTTGCCAATTTCGATTCTGACACTTCCATAGTAGATTGTTGTCGCAACAGAACAAGACGACCTGTCCACCGTCGTCAGAACTGTTAAACGTTATTCTCCAAAAAGCCGACAAGTGCGGAAAGCTGCACGTAGTTCAGCCGCCGTTTGAGGAGAAGACGACCAACAAGAAGGATAACTCTGCTCAAATGGCGGAAGATGGAGCTGCAACAGCAGAAACAGGGACCGGATTGTTCTCCGACAGAAGGGTTGCGATAGCGAAAGATGGGAGCAGTTTGTTGTCCAGCAAAACCCTAACTCCTCCAGAAGTGCGACAGAAAAACCTAAACGCGAGGACCAGTTTTTACTGCGTGCCGTGCCAGATCGGGCCCTTCACCAGCGAAAAGGACCTGCAGAGCCACGTGGCTTCCAAGAACCACCAGCGATTTGTGCAGACAGACGCGGCCTGGACGCAGATCGTCGCAAAAATGATGGCGGAAAGGGATTATACAGCGAGGCTGTGTTGCGCAACTGCTAGTGCCAGGACGTCCAGCAGGGAAGATCGGCATGTTGTCACATTGGAAGCTCATAGTCCTGTCGCCGCAGAAGCAGCTGGGCAAGAGAGAAGCGGCGAAAAAGCCACTAAGCGACAAAGAACGACAAACTCCAAAGATTCTGATGTTGATGAGACAAGCACGAAGATGACGGTGACACTTGTTTCTTGTGCTTCATAAATGGTCTTTGAAGACTTCATCTCGACGCGACAAAAATATAAAAAACGAGCACTCGTCATCTTCGTGTTACAAAGCAAGAAGATTAAAATAGTACCGACTTCGGCCGGCCGGTCGGCCTTTTCTTGCGCGATGAAGTGTTCCCGGACTGCCTAGCACCGTTAGTGAACTGTACTGCTATCGTTCCCAAACATGATCGGAAAACCTTCGCGAATCGTGCATCGTAGACGTAGACATGTGTCATGATTACTAATGCGCCATCTTCCCTAAAGATAAAGTCGTGTCCGTGTCGTGAACGCAAAGCCGAGTGAGTAATGGCTTAAGTTGAGTTATTCTATCGCTTTCGATTTTGATTTTATATTTATGGGAATTCGTGGGCCACAGACATGAATGATCGTACAGGAGGGCAAAAAATCCGTCATGATTTCGTGAACGCGCAAAGTCTTCGTCGTTGAAAAAGTTGGGCACATCAAAGCTAGTCTTTTTTTCGTTATTGTTCCAAGGAGAAAGCAAAGATAGCACACTCGTCCGGTGGAGACGCAGCGCAGCCTTAGCAGCGAAGCCGTTCTCTCGAAACCTGAGGTATTCAATTTTTTTTTTTTGATTTATTCGCGAGCACTCTTACGTCGTGCGTTCAGACCTTCTAGTGGTTGATTTAGTATTTCAGTAGATTGATATGAAAGAACGAAGCAAGGAGTACGAGGGAAACGACTTGAGTCCATCATCATAATATCGCTGCGTATTTATCTTTGGAGATAGATCTGATGAAAAATAAAGAAGCAAAGTGCAAACAAGAAAACTTCAATTTCAGGCACTTGTCAACATCGGCTTGAGTTTCGACTCAGGAAGCACGTCTGGCGTGTATTTCGATATCCCGCCCTCCAACAGCGTCAGGACGACCGTGAGACAGCCGGTATTTTTTATTTGTTTTTTATTTTCAGCGTGGACACAGTCACAGGTAGGTAAACGTAAACGTAAAAGCGATAACATGCATCAGCACCAGGATTGTCCGCATCATCATCAAGCATGCATTTGGGGATTGGTGGAGGTTAGTTTGTCCGCTGCAAGAATTTATTTAAAAAAGTGTAGCAGCTGCACGCTTGCAACCTCAAATTGAAATCATCATTTCCACTGCAGGTGAACGACGAATATTTACATTCGCGTCTTTACTGCTGTCCAGGATGACCAAAACCGCGCAGAAGCTGTTCATTTCCTCCGCCGCCCTGGCGGCAGCGGAGAAGAAGATGCAGGCACCAAAAGGAAAAATCCCCCCTCCCAATATCGAAACGCGTTTTCTGATTTTGGATTTGCGTACACAAATACGCTTTGTAACGCAGGAAGGCACTGCGGCCAGCTCCTCAGCCTAGGGAGGGGCGTTTGGGTCTAGTTGCTCAGCATTGCAAATGCCTGCCCTCTAGGCCCAACAGCATGCCAAACCGCTTCCATAAACATAATGGTCGGAGGCCTTTGCCCTTGTCGTCTTGCAAGACAAATTTTTGGCCAGCACAAATCAGCAACGCAAATTTTCGGGGAGGGGGAAACTTTCCTTTCAATAGGAGGAGGACCGTGCGAAGAAAATGACTTGGAGCGGTCACGAGACCGAGGGGCAGCTGGAGCAGGCCGACACGCCGCCGATCAGCCCGTCGAACTGGGAGCCGGTATAGAAATGTACTTGCTATGATCCATGAATAGCTTCAAGCGTAGTTTGCAAATAATAACATGTCTGGGTCTGGATCTGGAAATTTGTGATGCTAAATGATAGACGAGTCTGAGACGACGTCCAAGTGCATCACTGCAGTATGATTCCTCATGTTGTCTCATCTGAAACAGCCCACGAAGGGTGCCCCGTACGCGCAGGGCACCTGTAACAGATAAAAGAGCGAGAAAACATGCGGTGCGCAGTAGATAGTTACAATTCGGACCCGACAAAAGGGCAGAGCTTGGGTGTGCTTCCGGCGCCATACAGAAGGTCTGTATGGCGAAAAAGAAGCAATAAAGCGCTTGCGTTTTGTGACTGTAAGTACCAGACATGCGGCAAAACATCAGATTCTACTTTTCCAGACCCAGACATATTTACAGCTGACGCAATGAATGTATAGGGGCCGTCGGCTACGTCCAATTGTAATTCTCGATAGTCGCATTTTCTGAAATTCAAAATATTATACCAAACAGCGCCAGCAACCCAGCAACCCAGGAAGAGTTTCTGGAGGTCGATGCAGCAACCCAGGAAGATTTTCTGGAGGTCGATCCAGAAAGCTCGGAAGAGTTTCTGGAGGACGATCTAGCAGCCGAGGAAGATTTCCTTCAGGTCGATCCAGAAAGCCCGGAAGAGTTCCTGGAGGTCGATCCAGCAACCTATAACCCGCTCAGGTGTTACAGTCTCCAGCGTTACAATAGAGTCTGAGATTTGTCTTGCATGATGAGCATGACAGACTCGCAGAGCGTTCCACTTTCTGCAAGACAAATTTCGCCAGGTTATAGTGAGGTTTGGGGCTCCGGAACTTGTCATGCGCAATCCTATGAGAGTTGGCTAGATCATGCACTCTTGCGTCACAGATTTCCATATCCTATTGCAACGTTTGAGGTTGTAACACTTGAGCGGGTCATACAACCCAGGAACAGTTTCTGCCGGAAGAGTTCCTGGAGGTCGGCAGCTACCAACAGGAGGATCTTAGCCGGGGCTCGAGGAGGAGGAGGAGGAGGAGGCGGGGGCGTGGCTCACTAGCGGGAGCATTGGCGAAAAAAGTGGTGAAAGCAGCGGCGGACACAGCGGCGAAAGCAGCGGCGGACGCAGCGGCGGCAAAAGCGGCGAAAGAAGCGGCGCAAGCTGCGACGAAATATACCGCCGCAAAAGTAGCCGTGACTAAAATAAAGGAGGCAATCAGTTCTAGCACACCCGCACCGAGGACGCCGCCGACGACGCAGACGAACGCGCCGACCACGACGCAGACGAGCGCGTCGACGACGCAAGCGAGCGGTGGGGATGGCGGGTGGAACCCGTTTGGGTGGCTCCAGCCCCTGTGGACGATTTTCGGCACCCGTGACCCGGCTCTTAGTGCCGGCGTCATCTCTTCCTGACATCTGTAGCGGAAGCTTCCAATACTACATGGTGAACAATCGATACGAAAAATTTAATTGTGTGATGTTTTTGTTCTGTACAATTTACTTAGTATTCTGTTTTCTACTTTTTCTTTATGTTGTGAATCTTGATTTTTGTGATTGGATGTGGATTGGATTTCGTCTCATCGACAATTCGAGTTTATTTGCGAACAGTTATATGTAAACCAGTAAAGCAGTGCGTGCCCGAGCCCGTGGGGACCAACAATGTAGCACACTACTCGAGCCGCACGAGGAAGAACGCGAGACGCAGAAGGCAACCTGCCATAGCATGAGCCAGTGAAAGACAGTCTCAGCGCTTCTTTCAAGTATCCGAGTATAGCAGACTTGATAAGTACGAGTAGGAAAATTGTAAAAAAATATGCTTGCTCCTCCTCTAGAGTAATCCTAATTGCACAAGCGTTTGCCTCGTTTTGAATTTCAGTACTCTTTGTCTTTTCGTTATTCTCTTTGTTTATTTATTTTTCTGTTGCCAACAGTTGTCAAGGGCGCACCAAGCACGCACGTACAGCAGAACAGCAACGAAGTTAGTAGATGCCTGCAGCTTATAAGAAGCCTCGACCTCGTCCTGACTATTGTACTAGATTATTGCTATTTTTACACTCAAGCAGAGGGCGATACTTTAACTCGTACCGTACCAAATTTAGCTCCGTTTTTCATCGTACTAAGCTTAGCTAGTTCTTGCTCGATCACGCGTAACGTTTGCTCATAATTTTCATTTTTTTCAGGAACAGCCTCTAGCTCTAGCCTACCCAACTGCGTTTAGCATCAGATCCATTTTACCCTTTCGTCTGTCGCTTGAAGTCATTGCCCCTTCAGATTACGTCTACCACGATGATAGATAGAATCGCGTCGACCAGTAGGACTTGAATCAACCACGGGAAAAAACAGACCATAAGAAGCGCGCGTCCTCGTAACCGCATATGCCGCGTTTGATGAAGGCTGCGGGCGTATAAATCTATTTCGATATTAGGTGTTCACTTCATGGTGACCACGCTTGCTGAGAGAGAGTTTCCATTTACAGATGGAAGAGGACCGCGCGGTCTCCGAGCCAGTTTGAAAGAAGGCGTGCCAGTTTGAAAGAAGGCGTGCCAGTTCGAATCGGACGTTGTATCAGAAATCCAAAAAAGCGTGCCAGTTTGAAAGAAGGGAAAGGACAACCAAGACGAACAAGCCGCTGCTCGACTCCTTGGAGTTTGAGCGCGCACTTTTGTGAAGGACATAAAGAAAAATAAGTCCAGCCTGTTGATGCTGCGACTTTCATGATACAGAGACAGAGAGACTTTACTTCGATCTTTGCGCTCCCAGCCTTAGTCTTGATCTACTTTGCCGTTCTCGCTGACGAACGAGCACCGACTTCGGCTGGCCTGTGGCAGCGGTCTTGCGCGGCGACGTGTTCCCGCACCACACGCATCTATACTAGTGTGGCCCGAGCAGAAGGCAACATTTCAGGATCATGGCTACACCTACACTGCCTTTTTCAAAAGTTGTAGATCCGTGAAGTTGTCAGTCCTCTCCTTGATCTGCAAAGAATTTCGACGCTGAAGTGCGCTGAAGAGACCGCGTTCACTTTTTTTCTAACCCGAAGATCAACGACCTCGACCTACTTTGTGTAGTTTGTCTGTACTGCTGATCCGATAAGTTCCGAATGCGTTGCCGCAGGAGCTCCGAAACGACGACCGATGATTTTGTACATACGCATCGATAAATGGAGAATATTTATTTGGAATGCTGAGCATATAGATACTGATACACCAGTGCAAACTATGCGTCGCAGCTTGATTTTTAGGATGACCAAACGCAAAAATTGAGATTCTGAAACTGCTTTTATGCACACAACTACAGCGAAAAAAATAATCTAGGCCTAGTTTTTAGCGTGCGGGCTTTTTAGCAGTAAACCCTGGTGCGGGCTAAGAAACCTTTTTCTGTACCACGAAAGCTTTACCAGCAGACACTATTCAAATTTCTCCGTACAACGTCACCTGAAGTTTATCATGTCTAGCTACGAAGCGAAAAAGGTAGTGGAACTGAAAGCGCTCGCCAAAGAACGTGGGCTGGCAGAAACCGGGAAGAAAGCCGACCTGATCGCCCGACTATCAAATGCAAACATGTCATCTGGGTCTGGAAAGGTGGAACTTGTAATGCGTGTCTTGCTTACCTGAAAATAAAATCTGTGTTGCATGAGCAGCAAATGTTGGGCTGCTTCCCTTGTCATGCAAAAACGCAGCTTGTAATGCGTGTCACGCATCAGAAGGCGCTTCGGAAGCTTGTCATGCTTCGCTGCCATTGCGAGCGTTGCAAAAATCATGCGCAATTCAGCATCACAGGTTTATTCCAGACCCAGACATGTTTGCATTTGATACCGACTGCAGGAGTACGACAAAAAGAAGGCCGTGGAACAGAAAAAGAAGTCTCTCTCTCCCAACGTTTCCCCGAAAATGTCACCCGCGTATCATTTGTAAAAACGTCCCCACCTTCCCAGAGTGGTCATGCAAATCCGCATGCTGAAAATATTTCTCATGCGGAGCCCCACGAGAGGCATTTTGATTTTCTAAGTAGTCGTGTTTCGGAATTTGTCATGCTCCAATCAGCATGATGTGCTAGATCTGCTTCACTAGCTAAACAGCATTACAATACGAGGCCAAAGAACTTGTCATGCATAACTCCCAAAACTTGGAGATTTGTGTTGCAACTTTACCAACTTGACTGTGGGGTGGGGACGTTTTTGCTGAGGATACCGCGCTGGGAAAGGTTAATGACCCCACCATCACCACAAAAGCGGTCATGGAAGCGCACCACGAAAAGCCGGCCGCGGGGTAAAAGATTATTATACTGCATTCAATACTTCTTTAACTTACTATCACGGCAGTGATGGTGTAAGCCTAAGCCTATCATGCATGAGAAGTTTATTGTTTACGAGTTCTAGATCTAGTGCGCGCTGCTCTTCACCGTCCTCCTGCTCGTGCTCCTACAAATACAATTATTGCGCATGAGAAAGGAGATCATAGCCTGCCTTTTGCAAGAGAGACAAACCGATACAGATCCGATCCCACGGCCATGACGGACGCGGAGCGGGCAAAGCTTATCAAGTGCAAATATGTCTGGGTCTGGAGAGTTGTGATGCTGATACACTAATCAGAAAACTGAATCCACTAGGGAGCCACGCATGACAAGTTCCTGACAGGTTCAGCAGTGCGCAAACCGCATGACATACAGCCTTTTTGCATGACAAAGAGGAAGTGCAATTCCAATTCCATCACGTGCATCACAAAGTTCAGAGGTGTATGCGGATTTAGCATTACAAGCTTCCAGACCGAGACATATTTGCAAGGCATGAAGCTGCGGGCGCAGCGGTTCGGCCTTCCGAACGAGGACGCCGAAAAGGAGAAACTGAAGGCCCGGGCAGAACGATTTGGGCTGCCGAATGAAGATATCCCGAGCAAAAACATCTACTTACATCTCTCGATAGAACATCAATAGTACGCATATAATCTGTGTTGTTGTGTCGTTGCATGGTACTCAGCACATCAGTTGTGAGACCCCCCGCAAGTGGTACGTAGTGTGCCCGATTTGATAGAAGTCGTGTGGCTGTGAACAAAGCTTAGTACATGAAAATTCTTCGCCATGATGCGGAAACCAGGACGAATGATAAGTATTTATTCCGCATAATGGATACTTGTTGAAGTAGTTTGTTGTAGTGTTATTTGCCTTTTGCATACACGAGATTGAAAAAGAAAAGCTGAAGGTATAACCCGCTCAGGTGTTATAATCTCAAACGTTGCAATAGAATATGGAAATCTGTGATGCGAGAGTGCATGATCTAGCCAACTCTCATAGGATCGCGCATGACAAGAAGTTCCGGAGCCCCAAACACCACTACAATCTGGCGAAATTTGTATTGCAAAAGGTGGAACGCTGCGCGAGTCTGTTATGCTCATCATGCAACACAAATTCTAGATTCTGTTGTAACGTTTGAGATTGTAACGCTTGAGCAAGTCATAGAAGGCGCGGGCGGAGCGGTTCGGGCTGAATAACCCAGATCTAGAAGAGGAAAAGAAGAAAGCTATGCGTTGCAAATATGTCTGGGTCTGGAAAATAGCAACTTGTCATGCTAAATCCGAATTATGCAAAAATCTGTGTTGCATGAGTGCCAAAAGCTGTCTACTTTCGACCAAGTTGCGAGGGAGTTTCTCATGCAGGAGGGGCATGGCAGAGACCTCACAGAGTCTGTCGTGCTAGGTCTCGCATTCCGGACCTCATGGGTCATGGAAAACCTGCATGACAAGTGTACCTGCTTCCAGATCCAGACCCAGACACTTTTGCATTTGATAAAAGCCCGCGCGGAGCGATTTGGTGAGATGAATAAACCAATATAATTTTGGACTTCAATTATATAGCTGCTACGAAAATGGTATTAAAAATGCTTGTTGCCGATAGAAATGAGATGAATCAAGCCAATTCTTGCACGACTATTTTCATCTTTGGAGAAAAAAAATGACAACAGGCATCGTCGCGGAAGCAGACAAAAAGGCGGCACGCGAGGCGCGGTTCGGTCCGGTTTCTAATGGCACAACGACAAATATGGGAGTGTCAGGATTGAAGTCGTCAAATTTGAAATAGTTAGTGATGCATAAACTGCAGCCCACAAAGTGCCTGTCTTGCAGAGTAGGCAAGTGAGGCAGATTGTAAGCCTGTTGAGGGGTAGACACTGAGCTGCTAAAGTAGCATGACAAAAGGCGTCTTCCTTACCCAAACAGCATGACAAACTGGATTTCAGCTTTACCCAAATTTGTCATGCGCCACTAGGATGAAACTGGGTTGCAACTTTCATCCATTTTATGCATTACAAGTTATTGTAACTTTGTCGATTTCAGTCCTGTCACATCCATAATGAATAAGCGCACTTCTGGCGGCGGGGCAGTGGACTCCGAGGAGGCAGCGAAGCGACAGGCCCGGCTGGAAAGGTACTGCCTACTTTAAGTAGCGCCAATAGCATGACAGATTTATTTCCAAACAGGAGCTGCGTAGTACTGCACTCTGCAACTACACAGCTTGGGTAGTAGTATCTAGCGCGGGCGGTCGCCGTTTTCAGGATGAGAAGCGAGGTTTTACACTGTGGTTTTGTTCCTTATATGTCGTTCCAAGTAGAACACCGAAATATTTCTATTTGTTCCACGACTTTATGAACGCAGATTCGGGTCCAGCGCCATGACGGACGCACAAAAGGCGGAGGCTCGCATATTACAATGAAAAATGCCCCCACCCCCGAACTTGGGAGCATTTATTGTATTGCAAACCTTTCCAAATGAAATATTCGCCCTCTTGCATCTATCAGCATCACAGGTTTTCAGTCGTGAATAGCAAAAATTTGTATTGCAAAAGACCCCAGCAAGAGCGGCACTTGTCATGCAAGCGATGCGATACACGCCTACACTCTGCATCAGAAATATTCATACTCCTTTCATGCATGGCAAAAAGTTTTCATTTGGAAACTTCGCATCACAAATTTTTGCAATTTAGGGGTGGGGGGCACTTTTCACTGTAATATCGCAAAGCCCGGTTTGGCACCTAAAAAACGCACCCCCGTGGCAGCATCAAGAACAGGCGACTCTCGGATTCGACTTTTAGAGTTTATCAGGCGAACTACATGTTGAAACCGACTTCAAATTTGACAACATCGACAGTATTTACAAAGTTGTTTCACCTGAGTGACGTAGAGATCTAAGTAAACTTTTAATCCACGACCATCCATATACTTACAAGATGACACTTCTATACGGAAGAGAAAATGTTGACGCGACAACAAAATAACTGTATGGAATTTTCTCCTATCACATCGAAGATGCTCCTGGACTACTGCGCAAGAATGGTTCCTACAAGTGAAGAAACAGGACGAGGCATTTGGGGGGTTGCTGCAGCTGTTCGTTTGTAGGACAGACAGCACGGAAACAGTGACAGAGGGGGTGGAAGATGAACTTCGACTTTTGTTGTACAACGGAGGCCACACTTATTTTCCTCGTTCTTCCAGCTCTAGAGTAGGTTTTACGCAATCTTTCGACTTGAAGAAGCGCAGCCGCTGATAAATCCTGGCCTTTGTTGTAGTTCATCGTGGGCACACCAGAGGACTATAATGACGAAATGCAAAATAGTAAACGTGTTCGACGTCGTTTGTCATCTATGGAACAAACCCGCCGATCTTTATGATTTTTATCCACCTCCCAGGATCGACCACCTCACAAAAGATAAAGAACGCAGCAAATCAATGTATTGCGCCATCTGATGTCATCTGTTCTGCTTCTGCTATCTCCTGTGCTTTCGCGTAAGTAGTGCGTATTTTGTCACACTACTCTGGTTCATTGCAAGAACGCATCATGTGCTGGTCAGTGTACGATCTGTTGATTGCCTGCTCTCTACGGGGATGAAGATCACAGAAGTCCGCGACAAGTTACTTTTACTTTTTACTTTATGCGCATTCACTATTTCGGATGAATCTTTTTCACTTGTAAAAAGCTTGTTGGCGATCGGTCGATCATACTGAAGATGCTCTCCTAGGACCATACGTGCTGCTGCAATAGAGCTTCAACAAAATCTTATAATTTATCTCATTTCAATCGTGATCACACACATCCACATTTTTCAATTTACACTTCTAAGATCATCATGTCATGCGCTTCTGCGGTCGGGTCTGACACCAGTCTCTCTCCCTCGCCGCCGCATCTGTCGCAGAATAATTCCTGCACGAGGACCAGTAAAATTGTTCTTGCGGGGGCGAGGAGGTGTTGTTTATTTTCTCTGGAACTACACCAAATTACGATTACCGGTCGTAGAGGTCCTCGTCGTGCCAGCACGTGCGTCGGCGTGGAAGCAGAAGCTATTGCGGAACGGGAAGTAGAGACAAGAAATATAATTTCTCTATGCCTTCCCGGCCGCGGCGGTAAAAACTACGGGAAAATTTACTCACCGTCGAAATCTACGAGTATTTCGCGAAGTAGCACGAAGAGGGCCACACCTCCAGGGCGGAAAATTATCAAGGTTTTCGTAGGACCTCGAGTGACCGCGGTGTACTACTGTTTATCGCGGCCGCCGCACGACCAGGAGCGTGTCGTTTTGTTTTGGGAAGATATGCATTGCAAAAGTATCGTACTCGTATAAATGCATTACAAATTTCCTCAGCATGAGAAATAAAATTTGTAATGCAGAAGTACCTTAAGAAAAAAATTTGTAATGCATGATTGCGAGGCGAGGCGATGGGTTACCCGGTCGGCAGAGCCGATCCACACGAACGAGCGAATGATTGCGATTACTACGAGTACGATACTTTTGCACAGGATAGAAGAAACCGCACAAGGACCATCATGCTCGACCTCAGCGTGTGCAGTTTGAACCCAATTTTGGAGCTGCACGGGCAGGAGATCAACCATCTGGCGTTCGGCACCAACAAGGAGTACAATTTGGAGGTGACGGTGGTTTCGCTGCTCGATAAGCAAAACACCCCCATTGCGGTGGTCCAGGACTGCAGTTTATCCAAGAAAAAAACAGTGTAAGTGTACTTTCTTGGAGGATTAGCATGACAAATATCTCTCGCATGACAGCAAAAACCTGTCATGCGCAGATACTACGTGAAAACGCCCTTTAATGAACCCTACGACGCACGCCAAGCATGACAGACGCAATCAGCTTGAATGTTGCGCATCACAAATTTACTCCCGCAGAGGGAGCGAAAGAGCACGGCCCGAGCAATTGAAACTGTCTTGATTTGCATGAAAGGGGCCCGAAAATGAAACGCTCAGCGCTCCCCGGAATCGATTCAAATAAAACGCGAACGCCTGCCGGGGCGGTTGGCAAAAGAAAGACAGGGAAGCGACCAGAGGCCGGCGCCTTGGGGACGGCGACGGCCCTCCCGGCGCCTGCGCTCCCAGGGCGTGACAAATAGCAGGCAAGGCGGCCGCCGCAGCCGGCTCTGTCTTCCTTGTGCCCGTGCCGCGGCCGCTGCGTAGTTGTGTCGGTTGCCCTGAGTTTCATTTCGTGCCGCCCTGCGAGAATTTGCGTGGCTCTGGGCGAGCGGGCCGGACGCCCGTGGTACGTAGGGGGCGCCGAGTCTCCGCGTCCTTGCTTGGTCGCTGCGCCTTTGCCGCGGTTGGCGCGCTGCTCTGACGAGTTGCATGCTGCGCCGCCCCGCGGGAATTCGTCTGGCCCTGGGCGAGCGGGCCGGGCGCCAGTGGTAGGGGGCGCCGAGTCAGTCTCCGTGCCCTGGTCTGGCCGCCCTGTCGTTGCGGTGGTTGGTTCGTGCCTCTGAGTTGCATGTCGCGCCGCCCCGCGGGAATTTGCCTGGCCATAGGCGAGCGGGCCGGGCGCCAGTGGTAGACTAGAGGGCGCCGAGTTTCCGTGCCCTCGCTCGCCTGGCCTTTGCGTCTTTTAGCTGGGTGGTTCGTATGTAGTGAGGTCGCCGCACGGCTCTAGCCAGCCAGGGAGTTTTTTTGCCATATACCGTGAAAAACGGGCGGCAGTTTTCAATCGGCCGGCGGTGTTTTTGAACATAAAAAGCTTTCACTTGTCAATCGGCTCTGGCTGACCTGGCACCGAATCGCCAGCGGGTTCTATCGGTCGCCGATCTAAAAAACGACGCAGAGGAGTCAGCAAAAGGGGCGCCATTCTGAGGCGCCTGGCGCACCTAATTCCGCCGATTTGGGGCGCCCTAAAAGGGGCGCCGAAAAAGTGCGAAGGCGGCAAAAGCTTCGAATCCGCATGCTTTGCGCGCCATTTTTGGCCACTTTTCGAGGTCGCAAAGACGGCCAAAAAAATCGGGCATCTGTAATGTGGGGAGCAATCCAAGGCGCGCGACTTTTCAGCAAAAAAAAACAAAAAGCGGAAAGCTCGCCAAAATCTTAAAGCCAATCAAACAATCCGCATGCCATTGGCCCGATTTGGGCGGGGCGCCCAGGGGGCCGGGCTTGGTGGGGGCCCTTGGGTGGCTATAGCACTGGGCAGCGCATCACAAGGCGATCCTTGGCAAATACCCACGCGCTCGGTTTCGTCGTGATCTCGTGCTGTGTGGGTTTGTCGCTTTCGAAATTTTTCCCGACAAGTATTTTGCTGATATTTCAACAACCGAGCGGCATAGCTTCAACGCTTTAGCTGCGCAGCGACGGTTAGAGCGACGACTGAAACGCAAGCCATTGAACGAGAAACAGCAGCAAGCTTACGATCGTGTCAGCGATATGGTTGGACGGTTAGCAGCGTACAAACTACAAAATAGCGCGACGCATGGCGCGAATGTTGAGGCGGCTGCGACGTCTCCGCCGCTGATTTTCCCGCCGCAACACATTCAGGGACGACGGGGCACAGGCAAGACGCACCTCGGAAGATGTTTGCGAGACATGGCCACGGGCGCTGGCTTGCGGGGTGTGTGCTGCGCTCCCAGTGGCGCTGCTGCGCGATTATATGGCCTCGATGCCCATACCATTCACGCGCTCAACAACATGGCACCGACACGAACTAAACTACAGCCGGATGGTTTAGCGTTTGAAGATATTGCGACCCCTACGGCCGAAAACGATGCATATTTGCGCTCGTTGGATTTTGCATTGTGTGACGAAATTCATTCGGCGCAGGCGGCGTGGATCTTCGAACTTGACGCGGCGTTGCGGCGTGCGCGAAGCAATCCCGCGCCATTTGGTGGCGTCATTTTTGTGGGGATTGGCGATCGGCGTCAGCAGCTTCCCGCATTAAACACGGCGGGTTTTTACGGATCACGCTCGCCAGTCGCTCGCGCGGATTTGCTAGCCCATTCAGTGCATGCCGTTTCGTTTTTGAAGAAGCCCGTCGCAGAACTGCACCAGTTGGGCAAATTGGAGCGAAAAAACGCGAACACCGAGCAAAGTTGGGCCGATTTCGTCGAAACCTTGGCAACGGAATCGCAAGACATTGACTTGCACAGGTTTGCGCACGTTAACAAAATAACAGCAGCAGAGCGCGTCGCTTTGTCACCACGCGCGCAAATTTTAGCCGCTACGCATCACCAATGCCGTCGCTGGAATAAACTCGCTCTCGAAACGCATCGCGCATTCAACCCCAGAGCTAAAGCAGTGACATATCGCGCAGAAGGGCGCTGCGAGTATGCTCCCTGTGGGAGTATCTGCGAAACAGTCCCCGGAGACGATTGCCCGCCTATCGACTTGGAGCTCGTCGAAGGGTCTCGCGTGGAATTCTGTCGGCGTTATGGGTCCGTCGTGAAGCACACGAAAGGCGTCGTGCGCTATTTAGGGCGTGACTTTGTGTCGCTCGAAGTTGAAACCGAAGGCGAGGCCGACACACTTGACGCGGAGCCATATACCAGCATGCTGCTTGTGCCGCGTCTGCCTATTCAAGTGGTCGACGCTTACGGGGAAGAGCATCGGTATTTGCAATGTCCCTTGCGGCTAGCTTATTGCAAAACGTTCCACGCCGTTCAAGGCGTCACAGTATCAGGCGAGTCGTTGCTTGGCTCAGATGTCGACGCGTTTACGCATGGGACGGGTTATGTGGTGTTCGGGCGAGTTGAAGACGAGTCGCAAATTAAAACGGTTTCGCTCAATGATGAGAGGCCGGAAAAGCTGACCAACATAGTGTGGCCGGAATTTCTCGCGTGAGCGCATCCCGACCCGTCTGATCCATACACCGAAAAACACACGGCAACGCTTCAAACGTCGCACCTTACGCGCTTGCTCGCTGCTCCTTTCTGCGCGATTGTGTTCCGGGATGCTTCGTCAGTCCACTGTTCTATTTTGTTGCTCAGCCGACGACCTTGACAATTTGAAAAACCGCGCGCCATTGCTAATTTTCCAGTCCGCTTGTCGTGGTCGCAGCATTGTTTTGAGGTTTTTGATCTGATTTGTGCACCGTTTTGCGCGTTTTGCTGAGAACCGCCCGGCTTCGGTGCCATTTTGTACCGTTTCGCAAACTGATGGCGCAACTTGCGCGCATTTTGATCCATTTGCACCAATATGAGGCAAGTTTGCGCGTTTTCGTGCTTTTTGCATAGCTTTCGCGGTCATTTTGCTGCTTTTGTTATTGAATTAAGCCAAAGCAGTGCCATTTTCGCCGTTTGCAATGCTACTGGCTGCATTTGTTGCGTTTTTGACTCGTTTGCAATTGAACTAAGCCAAAACAGTGCCGCTTTTGCCCGTTTGCAATGCTACTGGTTATATTTGTTGCGTTTTTGACTAATTTGCAAATGAACTAAGCCAAAACAGTGCCACTTTTGCCGGTTTGCAATGCTACTGGCTACATTTGTTGCGTTTTTGACTAGTTTGCAGCGTTTTCGATGTCATTTTGCACGATTTCGCATGCTATTGACCTAATTTGCGCGCATTTTGTCCCGTTTGCTTTACAAAAACGCAGGCCCGAGCCGCAACAATTTGCGAAATCTCGGCGAATATTCGCGGACTTTTTTGCCGTCGCATTTTCCTCGATTTGGACCGTTTTTCGTGGCTTTTGCCATCGTTTTGACGTTTTTGCATCGATTTTTGCACCATTTTGCACGTTTTGCATCGAGAAAAATTCAGCGATTTTCGGTTCGTGTCTTGCATGTTTCGTAACATAATTTATAACACTAACAGCGTTTTTTTCTTGGATACAGTTCGGGATCGAAAAACATCTTTCCGCTGTCCCGGGCCATATCAACTTTAAAAATGTCTGGGTCTGGAAATTTGTGATGCTAAAAGTGAACGAGAGTTCCACTGCAATACGGAGCCAAGCATGACAAATTTTTTGGGCTCCTATGTGTTGCGTGTGCCGCATGGCAAACTGCGTGCTTGCATGACAGAAAAGAGGACCGCTTCGTGCCCATGCATCACAGATTCTTGAGTCATGTCAGACACGCATGACAAATGTAGGAATCTTCCAGACCCAGACAGTTTTACATTTGATAGGCCATCCGGCACAACCACTGGTCTTCCTCCGCGCAGGGTCATGGGGGCAACCACTACGGAGCCAATCCTGGCGAAATTGACTACAATGACGCCATCATTCGCAGCACGATTTGGTCCCGGGTCATGGGCACGTCGTCAAACAACCGAAGCTATGCATTGCAAAAGTATCGTACTCGTATAAATGCATCACAAATTATTTCCTCAGCGTGAGAAATAAAATTTGGAATGCGCATTTAGCTTAAGAACAAGATTTGTATAATGCATGACTGCAAGTACAACTAGTACGATCCTTGTGCACAGGATAGAAGCAACAGCAGGCGCGGTTCGAACGCTGGGACCACGTCGAATCAGCAGTCATCCCGGAGCAGGAGTCTGTCGCCGGCGCGGTTCATTTTCGGTCGAGGTGCTTCCTCCGCGAGCTCGTCGGTCCGGGCGACAACAAAAGGTGGGAAAAACAAGACGGCGATATTGTGAGGAAAAATCCCCCCTCCCCGTATTGAAAAACTACGTTTGCGAAAATTTGTGTTGCTGATTTGTGGCCACAAATCACAACTGTCTTGCAAGAAGCCAAATGCAGAAGCTTCCGCCCCATTCTGGAAGCGATTTGTCATGCTGGTGGGTCTAAAAGGCAGCCGCTTGCAATGCTGAACAACTAGACCCAGACGCCTCTGCCTAGGCTCGGCATCTGGCCGCAATGCCTCCCTGCAATACAAACCGGATTTGTGTACACAGATCCAGCATCAGTGCTGCTGCGCTAGCAGTTGCTCTTCGAGATGGAAGCTGCGCTGGACGAAGTCGAGGTGGAGCAGCATTGACGGAACTGGGCAGCGCGCGGCCTTCGCACCAGGAGCGGATGCCGATTACTCAGCTTTCTTCCCGGGGGCTCCGGGGCTGACCCATTTGTGTCGGTGCGCGGACCAACCCATCTGCGTTGATAGCGGCACCCCATCCGCGGCGTTCTGTGTCTCCCGTGCGCCGGGTCCTTTGCAGCGTGCGTTGCCTTCTTGCTCGGCTCGGCCTGTTTTTGGTGTCGCGTCGGTGGGTGCGCGTCAAGCTGAGGGGAGTGGAGCGAGATGCGCGTTTTGTGCTTGGGGCTTGTTCGACGGGATTCTTTTTGCGCCGAGGAGTTCTAGCTCGTGACATGCCGCGTGGTCCCGCGGACTCTGTTTTGTGCCTGCTCGTGCTCGGAGATGACGTTGCTGTAGCCGCTGGAGATCGCGGCTTTCCATGATTTCCTACGATGCCGCTGGTCCTACAAGAGCCCTTTCGCCTTCATCCCAGTGCTGTCGTTGACAGACCTTGGGCTGATAATCCCGTTGCAGGAGGTTCGGTCCTTGGCGCGTCTTCGCCACCGGCAGGAGTCAGGATGGGTAGGTGGGTCTCCTCGTTGTTGCTTGAGCTTGCTCAGGTCTTCGCTGCATTCGGTGGCTGGTGGCCGCTCTTGGGTCTCAGGTGTGGGTCGGAGTTCGTTTGCCTCTCGTCAGTCTGGACGGAGTGCTCTCGTTCAGCCACCCCCCGGCGGTCGACTGTCGGCGATCTGGCCCCCCCAGCTCATGATTGCAGTGTTGGCTGGTGATGACGAGGTTGCGGACAGTTGACTTGTCATCTGTCTGGTTCGCCCATTTTGCTGCCACGACTGTTTGGTCCCCGGTCCCCTGAGGCGGGGGGATACGGGTTACCTGGTCGGGATGTCGCGCGGAAGGTGTCTCTCACGTCCCTAGCTCTTCGTACTCGCCGCTGAGTACAGTCGAGCGCCTTGGTTGATCGCCACACTGTTTCATAGTGCTGAAACGACCCGGCTTTCACTAGGGGGAGCATTCGTACACTTTGTGCCCTCCGGGACTATGCCTCTGCTTCCGTCTAAACTGAGGGGTCCACTTATCCCTCTCGGTATTCGGTCGCAGGGAAGGGTTGCCGGGGTCTCCCTCGCATCGGTTCTCGATGTCGGGTGTGAGTTTGTGACTGCGGGGGCAGTGGTTGGCTTAGGTTTGCGGAGTACATCTGAAAAGAGGCTCCCATTCCTTCTTCCAGGTAGCGATCCTAGATCGCTGCCACGCGGAGCCACCCCCGTATTTCACCCCCAGGGGGTTGTGGACCTGGCAAAACCGATGAGTTCGGGCTGCTGACTGTTCCACCTCTTCCGAGTGCGATCATGTTACGCCTCACGCCTCACAAATCCAGCATCAGAAATTCCGTTTTGATATGGGGAGGGGGATTTTTCATTTTGATAGGCGACGCCTGCAGTCCTTTCCAGGGCGGGCGGTGGGGATGATGGTAGATTTGCGCAAATAAATGCTAGCGCAGCAGCATCTTCTTCTTCGCAGCAGCAACAGCAGACGACAGCACAGTATGCCGAAGTGGAGCAGCAGATTACCGCGCTGGCGTTGACGCCGGACTGTTTGTATTGCATCATCGTCTACTTGGATGGGTTCGTGGACGTCGTCCGAGTGCTGGAGGACTTCGGCGCAGCGACGAGTGCCACAAGTATCCTGTGCAAAAGTTTCGTACTCGTAGTAATCGCAGTCATGCATTACAGATCTCCCTCTTAACCTACAGGTACAGCCGCATTACAAATTCAATTTTTCATGCTGATGGAATTTGTCATGCGATTTATACTAGTACGTGTACGATGCTTTTGCATTGCATAACAAGCAGTGGGGGCCAAGTTACAAGGGATCAACATCAGCAGGAACAAGGAGCAGAACAGCACCTAAGCGAGCCGATCCTGCCGTTCTTCCTGAACGACGTGTTTCAATCGAGCTACTGCGACGACTTTGGCCCGCCCAGCTGCTGCTGCTGTTACGATGTGAATAGAAACAAAACTACCGGAAGAAGAACTTCTACGGCGCCGAACAACGGCGCTTTTCACAGTGCTGCCACCTCCAAGTGGAGGTCAAGCGGGCAACTACAGGTGGGAGGAAGTTCGTATCCTAATGGCTGCTCTGCAAACAGTAACAAGTCCGCGCCGGCTCTTTATTCCAACGGGTCGCAAACCTACACGACCGTTGCAGAAGGTGGAGGTCTCAGCGCCTCAGCGGCTAGTAGTACTCAAAAAATGGATTCTTCCGGCTCCTTCACCCACCCTGGGGAGAACAGCTGCAAGAAGGCCGAGCCACTGTATCGCGTTTTCATCGGGTCGCTGTCCGGAAATTTGGTGGCCATCGACCTGATACGCATTGCAAAAGCATCGCACTAGTAGAAATCGCATTACAAGTTCGGTGAGCATGACAAATGGAATTTGTCATGATGAAAAATGGAATTTGTCATGCTGTTTTACCTTGGGATGGAAATTTGTAATGCATGATTGCGATTTACACTACGAGTGCGATACTTTTGCACTGGATACCTGAAATCCAGTTCGGTTATGGAGAAATTTACGAATTTTCCCGGCCCCGTATCCTGAGTAAAAACGTCCCCGCCCCATAGTCAAGGTGCTTTAAATTTGGTCTTTTCCAGTACATAAACACCCCATAGTCAAGGTGGGAACTTTGCATCACGAATCCAGAAGCTTTGGGAGTTACGCATGACAATTTGTAGGCTCTAGCGTAGTTCTGTTTAGCAAGCGAAGCCGCATAGGAAATCCATCTCCTCATCCTGTTTACAGCATTATAAGTTCGTCCAGAACACAATTGGAAATGGCTCTCATGGGGATCCGGCGCATTACAAATGCTCATGTAGTTGCAAGGCTGCATGATTATATGGGAGGGGAACGTTTTTACAAAGTATATCCCGTACTGAACATGCAGCTCGTGGAGGAGAACTCCGCAAACCAGCAGATTACGGACCTGATGAACTTGCAGAAGATCTGGCTGTATCTTGTGCAAAAGTAACGTACTCGTATTGCAGTCATGCATTACAAATCTTTTCCTTAAAGTCAACTCGCATTACAAATTTTATTTCTCATGCTGAGAAAATTTGTAATGCATTTTTTTATACGAGTGCGATACTCTTGCAGTTAATTGGCTGTTCCTCAAAGTTGGCGAATCTCTGCTCCGTCTCGATGTGTTCGAGGAGTGCGAGGACGTGAGCGCGGCGGCGACCGCGGCGCCGCTGGGTTCCACTACAGGGTCCGAACAACTGGACATATGCATTGATGCAGCTATGTCTTGGTCTGGAAAGTTGTCATGCTATCTTGCCGAAGATAACAGAGGCTGAGGCACGTCAATGTGTAGCTAGGCATGTTGACAAGTTTTCTAACGGCCGTCTGTTGGAGACATAGCGCTTCTGCAACACACAGGAGCAGCGTTGCTGCGCGCCATGCATCACAGCTCGCCAACTCCGCGGGGGCGTTGCGGGTATCTCCCTAAAACACCAAAACCGGCACAAATTGGGCCGGCAGTCCGGGCAATTGCTCACCAGCCGGCTTGTATGGCGAATAAGGTGCTCGACGAAGGAAGAAGCAGGCATGCAGTTAGCACCTCCGGTTGGTAGAGCGATCGGCTACCGAGGCACGTCAGGGGGCGTCGCTACTTCAATTCAATTCAATTCAATTGCTAGCGATGTGATGTGATGTGATGGAGCGGCGGCGGTGGCCTCTTACCATCAAGCTCGAACGGCCGGGGCAGGGAACAACGCAATGCTTTGCACCACGGGCAGACGACTACTATCTGGCAGTGTGGACGCCTCCGGACAGCAGCAACTGCCCAACATGCAAACACTAAGTTATCAGCTTCTTACCCTACGGACCTGCTAGACTTCTCCTCTAACCCACTGGGGCGCTTATGTAGCTCGGCGGGCCTGGGTGCAGCGCATAAAAACTCCTGCTGCCTAAGCTACTTTTTTGCCCAAGTTCATATGGAACTTCATCTTTTTTCCGTGCTTTGAGCTTTTTCTTCAGAACTTCGCGCTTTTTGCTTTTAGTTTCTACTGTACTTTTTGAAAACAAAAAAAACAAGGGTCACTGAACTACGCACCTTTTTCCTTACTAGTATACTACACGAAACTACCTCCCCGCGAAGCGCTACTTGCCGAGCCTGGTTACTGCACCTGATCCGCACAGATGTCTCTACAAATGCAAAACCTAACCTATGGAAGGGCGATGCGCGGAATACTAACTACACGAACGGGCAATAACTAAGGAGGGCCACGGCACTACTATACACAGTTTTCTAGTGCACGACCGGCACACCCGCGAACCTCCGCCCGACGCCACGACCACCGGCACAACGGCAGCGTGAGGGATGGACTATTTTAAGCCTTTTTTTTGGCATAGAGAAAAACATCCCTTTTCCTTCTTCGCAGTGCGTTTACGGAGCTAACTACTCGCCCGGCGCAACGGGTGGCGCTACAAAAAACTACCTGCTAACACTGCGCGTTTATTCCTAAGACTACTTGTGCTGTGTGCTTTATTTGTCGCTTTTAATTCTACTTCTAGCGACTAGCTTTGCGTGGTGCTCCCTGCAGCTGCAGCAGCTTCTGCAACTAAAACCGCGACCGCTACTGTCCAGCACCACGGCAACGCTCGGAGGCCGGCAGTGCCCATCCGTCGCCGTTCCATCGCTTGCACCGTCCCAACACAGTCATGTAGTATACCTGATATTAATGATTGTGTAGCACGATGACAGGACAGTTGACCGACAGCGAATATATCTGCAAACTAGTCAAACACTGCAAAATATATGTAGTTCAAGATGGAGACGAAGAAGACATTTATGCACAACGCAAACAATGAATAGGTAAAGAAAGTTTATCCATACTCCACTTTAACCACACGCACATACAAACCCCCGACGACAAACAAGCTGTGCACGGCCACGGTCTGTGGAAGCTTTTCGAACAGAGACTCCTTGCCACGAGTGCCCGTTCCGCCGCTCGCTGAAAAAACACCACGGCGCGCTACAACTCCTTCTGCGGTCAGCTTGCTCCGGGCACGGTCCGTCGTCGAAGATCCTCCGGCGGTGCGCGGAGGTCTTGGCGAGGTCGGTATGCGCCACAGTGCCTCTGGCGGTGGAGGGAGAAACCCCCACCGGTCGTGTCGTGCTTGCCCTTGTTGCTGCACGGCCTCGCACTAGAAGTTGCCGGAGGTTGGGGCTTGGCGTAGGTGACGTTCTTCCTCGGGTCACAGAGCTGCACGGTGGTGCCGCGTGGAACCATCTTGGGTGGCGGCGGCGGTGACTGTCACTAGCAGCTTAAATGAATCTAGGGCGCAGCCGGCTGCACCCGGCTGCCTACAACTACTCTCCAGGGACCCCGTGCAGAGGGCCCCGCTCTCGACAGGTTTCTACTAAGTTAGGCTCCTTGAGCCAAAAATTAGCCGATCATAACATCCAAGTCTTGCATTCTACTTCCAGACCCAGACACATGCTTGCAGTGGATAGGACAACGCCGCAAACAACATTCAAGCGTTACTGACCGCGCCACTAAACGCCGCAGCCGGGGTATGAAAAGGAAAAATCCCCCCTTCCCATATCAAAACAGAAATCTGTGATGTGGGCTTTGTGTACACAAATCACACCTGTCTTGCAGGAAAGCACTGCACGCAGATCGCAAGCCTAGGGGGGGCCTTTTGGTGTAGGAACCTAGCATGGCAGACGTCTGCCCTGTAGGCCCTGCAGCATTACAAACCGCCTGAATAAAAAGTATCGCGGCGGACGCTCTAGATTTGTCTTCTGGCAAGACAGCGCAAATCTGCATCACAAATTTCCGGCAGGACATGTTTTCAATATGGGGAGGGGGGGACTTTTCCTTGCAATGCGGGGCGCTAAGCTCGGCGGCGGGTGGCAGTGCGGCGTCGAGGACCTCCTCCCAAAGCAGACCGAAGAGGATATCCCAAAGAAACAAAGATTGCGGGCAGGTCAGATTTGTAATGCAAAAATGAATAGACAAAACAATCTGTCTTGCGTGTCCTAAACAGCATGCTATGGCGTTGCCCATGACAGATTTTTCTGCGTATTTATTTTTGCATTACAAATCTGCCCTGCCGGCTTTTTTCTGTGTCATAGAGGAAGAAACTGCTTATCGACATTATCAAAACATGCTCAGCTGTTACAATCTCAAAAACGTTAGTACAATTGAGTCTGGAATTTGATTCGCATGATGAGCATAATAGATGACCCACAGGGCACTCAACTCTCTGAAATACAAATTTACTCAGAAGATTCTAGTGCGGAGTTTTGGGGCTCCAGAAGTTGTCATGCGCAATCCTGTGCAGCGAGTAGGCTAGATCATGCACTTTTTCTTGCGTCAGCACGAGTCTGCAGTTTTATGGTAACCAATTGGAGATTTTTGTAGTAGTTGAGCAGGGTATAGACGTCGCGGACGGACTGAAAAAGCACCGCAGACAGAAAATCAAGAACACGGAGGTGGTCAGCGGAATCCACGCGGGCAGGATGTTGGTCTGCAGCAGTCCTAGCTTCCCGCTGAAGCCGCTGATGCAAATTCCGCTTTGCAAAGTGCCGTCGGCAAGCTGTAGTACTAGTGCCTCTGGTACAACTAGTACAATGCCACTGCAGCTTGAGGGGTCGGCAAGTCTTCTACATCCTGTTGCGTCTCAGGCAGAAGTGCAAAAAGCCATAGTGGCGGAACCACCAGGACGAGAGGTTGTTACAGCCGCGAAAATAGTAGAGCCTCCCCCCGGAGTTGTGTCGGCGGCAGCAACGGAAGTTTTAAATGGCCCACCCGCTGCCGCTCCATTGGAGGAGAGTTCATCATCCTCTCAGCTGGGTCGTGACAAGGACAAGCCAACCATCTGCGAGCAAATGGATGGGGGTAGGGTCATCATGCGCCGAGATGATGAAGACCCTGTCGAAAGCACCTCAACTTTGGTTGCGCACGACCACAGGGAAGACCTAAAAGCACCTCCTGCTTCAGACGAGGAGGTTCTTCTTGCCATGCAAAACGAGAACAACAACGAGGAAGGATTGCACGACGTCGCCGCAGGGTCTGCTACTGGCAAGGAGAAAGCAGGGTCAGGCGCCTTCTCTGCAGAGCAGAAGAACGGAAGAACTGCCGCCACCTGCGCGACAGGAGGTGGAGCTTCTGCGCGCAGCGCCGACTTTGCTATTGGTAGCGAAGGAAATTATAACCGGGGTAGTAAAGGTGGTGACTGCGACTGGAAAGAAGAAAGACTAGTAGTACAACCCGAAGTAGCAGCATCAGACACAACGTCACAAGATTATCTTCACGTAGAGGACAGGATCATATCGAGCACCCCAGCCGCCTCTGACGTTATAACGTGCTCAGGTGTAGTTACAATTTCAAGCGTTACATGTCATGCAAAAGCTGCTTGATCTGACTTACGTATCCTCACAGGAACACGCATAACAAGGTCTGGACTTCCAAACCGCGCAGTATAATCTGCCGAAATTTGTATGGCAGAAAGTGAAGCGCTGTGCTAGTCTGTCATGCTCATCATGCAATACAAAATCCAGACTCTATTGTAACGTTTGAGATTGTAACGTTTGAGCGGGTCATAGACGTTGACACAGTTTTTTCGACAGATGGCAAGGAAACCAGTTATTCTCACCAGACCAGGAGCACAATAAACAACTCGAAGGAATCCTCTGTCACGGAAACCTACATTCTGAATCAGCATCAAATCAGCCCGCAGGAGGAAGACGTGAAAAGTTCAGCCCGACACGGGGAGGAGGACCAGCAATATTCCAGTACGCAAGCGTATGCATTGCAAAAGTATCGTCCTCGTATAAATGCGAGTCTAGTGAACCTGTACAAACGGGTACCCCTGACGGTACGGGCCCTCTTATACAAAAAATGTACATGAGTAAACACGAAAAGTGTACAAAGAAAGACTGAAATTGTAGAAAAGAGAAGACGGACGGTCCTGTGCAACCGGGCACCTCCGAACACGGATTTGTCTAGAAAATAGCGAAAAAAGAGATGAGGTCAGGGCTGGAAGATGTGAGTGGATAGCGCGCGCGCGCGCGACTTGATGTGAGTGGGAACGCGGGCGCTGCAGAGCAGGGCGGGGCAGTGAGGGCAAAATAGCTTCAAAGAGGGGCAAGGGTATTTATCTAGGCGAGCGACGTGCTTGGCTATGGCGGCGTCGTGCTCACAAAGGCCTGTAGATTTAGTGACGACGGGCGCAGTGGCAGTGCGCGGTGTTTAGATAGTCGCCATGCAGAGTTGGGTCCTGTACAAAAGGGACCGACCTGTTAATCGCGGGGCCTCCGGAGTTTCCCGCCGGGCCTGTGTATTTGGTAACCCTGTACGGTGCGAGCGGGTACCTTTGGCGGCCCATACGTTTGTATAAAAAATGCAGACTTCGGCTGTTTTCCAATAGCATAATTTGTTTGCAGGTGCCTGTTTGTACTGGGGGCCCCGTACAGTGCGGGGGCTCCGTCCCCACTGATACACTAGCATTACAGATCTGCTTTCTTAGCTGAACCTGCATGACAAATTTCGTTTTTCTTCTAGGAAAAATTTGCAATGCATCTATACGAGTGCGATACTTTTGCAGTGCATAAAGCGCGATTGATGACGCCCACCATTACCTTCGACTTACACGACTTTGCCCGTGAGGATCACTTTTTTGATGCAGAACTGGGCAGCTCCGCAGGAGGAGACACAGCAAAAATCCCGGAGGAAGGAAGACCGTCCGAAGGAGGTTCTTGTACTGCTTCTGCCACCACCTCAACTACAAGCGCAGACGAACGCACGAGCAGAAGAAACAGTGCGGACGAGATCACGCCGAAAACTTCAATCTACTCGTATCGAAAGGAAAATTCCCCCCTCCCCATTTCAAAATGAAACTTCTGATGCTGGATTTGTGTACGCAAATCCGCGCTGTCTTGCTGGAGAGCACTACAGGCCCATACTAAGTGTGAGTAGAGAGGTTTTAGCCTGGGCACTTAGCATGAAAAACATCCTCGCTGTAGGCCCAACAGCATGACAAACCGCCTGCCCAATGCGGCGGTTGTCTGTGGAGTTGCCTTCTTGCAAGACAGACGCGATTTGTGACCGCAAATCAGCATCACAAATTTCCAAAAGTGTACCTCTTCAGTATGGGGAGGGCGGATTTTTCGTATTGATAACTCGAGTACCGCGGAGAAGTTTCCGGTCCTGGTTCGGAAGAGAATCGTACGGAAGACGAACAAACCTCCGGGTGGTATATCAAATGTAAAAGTGTCTGGGTCTGGAAGATTGCGAGATTTGTCATGCTGATCTGGCATGGCTCTTAAATCTGTATTGCGTGGCCACAAACAGCCTCTGTCGCCTGTCATGCAAAAACTCAGTTTCTCATGCGAAATATGCAGCACAGAAGCACGAAGCAACTTGTCATGCTTGGCGGCGCATTACAGTGCATTTGCTATTGACTGACTTGCATCACAAGTTTCCAGACCCAGACATTTTTGCATTTCATACGGTACTACTAGCGGCAGCTACAAGGGCGGCGGTCCTCACCAGGTTGATCCTCACCAGGTTCATCTGGGAGCAGACAACAGAAGAAGTTCTTGCGGGGGCTCCGCTGGCTTGTTCGGAGATATAATGACGTCGTCAGCTGCGACATCGTCGCGAAGAAGCAGTGTGGTGGAGCGAAGCGACGGGCGGGGAACAAACTCGGAAGTGATTTCTTCTAAAAACAGTCGAGCGGGGCGGGCACTCAATCATTCCGCCGCTGCACAGCACACGCGACCCAAAAGTGCTGATGAAAAGACGGACCCCACTGATGAAGGTGCCGCACCATCTACTACCCGTGAAGAGCAGGGTGAAAAAACATTTCTCGAAAATGTAAATGCGCAGCTTAGTACCAGCGAGGAGAAGGTGAACGCCGCTGGAATTATTGTGTCTGAAGGCGAGAAGGGTCGAGATCGACTAGCAAGTAAAAGTAGCATTGAACAGCAAAGCCAGGAGGTCGATGGAGGAAATGTTGCAGATGAAATCAGAGAACCCAATCATGCGCCGTCGGCTTCGAAGAAGAACAAACAGGGAAAAGTAAGCACTGCAGACGAGGTCAATACAACCTCTCCACCTGCAACGCCAGCAGTCTTGGTGGCGCGCGAGGAAGTGGTTTCACCGGTGCTGGTAACCCCGCCCGCTTGTCCAGAGGGCTCTCTACTTCCGGTAAAGGCAACAGCAGTGCCGCACGAACCCCAAGTGCGGAAAGCAGGAGAGCCAGCCACTGCAATAGACCACCGGGAAGACCTACAGACGGCAGAATCTCCAGCACAGAAAGCTGTAAACCCGACGAAACAGGTAGAACAAAATCAAAACCAGCCACAGCCGATGATTCCAACGAGGGGTGGGGGCTCTGCTTGTTCTAGTACGAGCAGCAGCAGCAGCAGCAGTAGACCAAAATCCGCGTCCGCGACGAATAAGACCAGGGCCGTATCACACAGAAAAAAACTGGCAGGTCATATTTGTAATGCAAAAGTAAATAGACAAAAAAAATTGTATTGCATAGCCTAAATAGCATGCTATGAGGTCGCCCATGACAGATTTTGCTGTGTATTTATTTTTGCATTACAGACATGCCCTGCCAGCGTTTTTCTGTGGGATAGGCCGCGCAACTAGCAAGCCAGTCGAGCATCACGGACGTTTTGCTCTTGTCCGAGGGATATCAAAAGTAAAAATGTCTGGGTCTGGAAACTTGTGATGCTGGGTGGCGTCTCATGATGAGGCTACTAATGCTGGCTCAGCATGACAAATTTCTGAGCTCCTAGGTGTTGCCTATTCTGCATGACAAACTGTGCTTCTGCATCACAGAAAAACGGAGCTCTTAGGTAACGTGCATGACAGATTTAAGAGTCATGCCAGACAAGCATGACAAACATGAATTCTTCCAGACCCAGACATTTTTACAGTTGATAAGGGAAGTCTCGCACTGGTGATAGCCTCCGAACGGAAGAGCACGAAACTGTTTCTGCAAACCGCACAGGGAGTCCGGAATGTCGTGATACAAACCCTCTTATCAAAGTGAAAAAAGCCCCCACCCCATATTGAAATGACAATTTGTGTTGCTGGATTTGTGTACACAAATGAGCTTTCTATTGCAGCAAGAGCCTAAGAGCGTGGCGGCATATTCTAATCCCATTTAGGTACAACTACGCGTACGGATCCGGCTAGCAACTGAGCATGAGAAACAAGTCTGACATATGCGAAAACGCATGACAGACTCGCTGTACAATGCGCCACGACATGGGTGCCATTTGCCTGGTACGCAAGACAAAGCTGATTTGTGGTCACGAATCGGCATCACAAATTTCCTATTTGCTATGGGGAGGGGGGACTTTTCCTTACGATGCCTCTACATCGAGGAGGCGCTGCTCGGCGCCTGCCTCGGCCCGGGGAACCTGAACGATGTGTATCGCAGGAAAAAAGTGTTACAGTTACACATTGTCATGCAAGACTGCCAACAGAGACAACCTTTCTCATGCAGGAAATGCTTCGGAGCTTCGTTTCCTTCCTGTTTTCCCTTGTGATCTGTGCATTACTCTACCACACAGAGAAAATTTGTGATGCAGAAACTCCAACACGTGTGTAACTGTAACACTTTTTTGTCGGGATAATGTGGGGGCCGCGGGAAGTAGTGGTTCGTCATCTGAGATGAATGCAATGAATTCCTATGATTTTTCCGCAGGAACAAGTGATGGCCATCAACTGTCGCCGGGCGGGGGCGGAGCGGTTTTTGGGCACCAAGCACTCAACAAGCCGCGGAAGACCATGAGCTTTGGGATTGAAGCAGGGGAGGAAAGCACGTGGGTACTAAAGGGCTAAAGATCAACTTACATTTCGATCAACAGCATTGCGACCAGAAATACTTCGCTTCCGTTGCAGCTTTTCGTTTGTGGCTTTAGTTGATTCATCCCATTTAATAGAGGTTTTTTTTGTAGTACGATGTGGCACGACTCAACTACATGCAGTTTCAATGATACAACATACACACAGGTCACGTTGTGCATCCTCTACACGGTTTCGCGCGTTTTCGCTTTGAAGGCCAGCCGCGCGCACTTGCGTTTGACTCTGGAAGCGGTGTCGCTCGACTTGATTTCGCCCGCGCCGTTGGATCTGCTTCCCAGTGGAGCAGGAGGAGGTGCGCGACTGGTCAACTACCCCCTCGAGGACCACGGTGTTGCAAAAAACGCGTCGCAAAATAAGGTGGATCACCTCCTACAACTTCACAAGAAGAACATCAAGGAAACTTCTTCTACGAGCGACAATTACTATCTGTTGGACAAGTATTATGGAGAGAAAAAAGTTTGTCACAGTCACCAACTTCCAGGTTTTGCATTACAAATTTTCTCAGCATCACAAACTTTCCTTGTATTGCAGAAACACTAGGGAAATCCCTAATGGAGTTTGGCTGTGATGCATTTTTACGCATGACAAACAATTGTGTATTGCAAGAATGCGCATGAGTGATACGAACTTTTTTTCTTCGATAAGTATCTGCCCTACCTCTGTCAGGCCTTCCATTTCGACTTCGATCAGATTCTTCTGAATGCGGGCAAGCTGGCGGAGAATCTTGGCGTGTGCTTGCGGATTTGGTCGAAGCGCGAGGATATCGAATGCAAAAATGTATGGGTCTGGAAGGTTGGTACTTGTCATGCTAAATCTGAATCATGCAAAAATCTGTGTTGCGTGAATGATTCCCAAATGTTGTCCAATTTTGATTAAGTTGAGAGGCAGTTTCTCATGCAGAATAGGCATGATGGTGATCTCACGGAATCTGTCATACTAGGTCCTCCATTACAGATCATATGGGTCATGGATAACCTGCATGACAAGTCTAGCAAAGTTCCAGACCCAGACACTTTTGCATTTGATAGAGGACCGACACGTCCCCCTTGAGGTGTTACAGGAGGCGCTCGTATGGATTGCAAACATGTCAAGGTCGGGAAGGTTGCAGCTTGTAACGCTGTTATCTTTGGGTCCCAAAGAAATTTGTATTGCATGACCAGCAACAGCTGTCCAGTTTGTGTTACGCGGAGAAGGCATTTCTACTCATGCGGAATAGAAGGCATGATCAGGAAGCCGAAGCCCTCTAAAAAGCTGTGACGCTAGAGCATGCATTACAGGCATCATGGATCTTCATACAAAATGCGCATGACCAGACCCAGACATAGTTGCATTTGATAGCTCGGGTACGATGTTGATTTGGTCGCGAAAGAGCTGGTGAAGGAGTTGCTTCTTCTCAGCATCATCCCGTATCAAATGTAAAAATGTCTGGGTCTGGAAGATTGCTACATTTGTCATGCATGTCTGACATGGCCGCTCAAGAATCTGTGATGCATGGGCACGAAGCTGTCCTCTTACGTGTCATGCAAAAACGCAGTTTGCCATGCGGACCACGCAACACATAGGAGCCCAAAAATGTGTCATGCTTGGCTCCGTATTGCAGTGGAACTCTCATTCGCTTTTAGCATTACAAGTTTCCAGACCCAGACATTTTTACATTTGATATCCGGGATCGTACTACCAAAGCTACTTCACGCATTGATGGCATCATGTCTGCGGGCAACCACGCGTCGCAAGGGGAGGAAATCGCAGCTGCAGAAACGAGCTCTACTACTTCCGGTCGCGCCGCCGGTACAGATGACGTGGAGGCTGAAGAGACGGCGCAGGTCAAACTACCAGGTAAGGGCGATCAAATCGGCGAACAACAACTTGCAGGTCGTGGCGCCGCGCCACACAAAAATGATTCGGTTGGTATGATATCCTCTCAACATCTTGTAAATGCAACAGCTACGCCTGCTCACGACCACCACGAGCTAGGAGTGGGCCAGCACGATATTTCGATTCTCGATGACGTGTTAGAAATCCTGGAGGACCACTGGCAAGACCCCAACCTGTACGTGGTCCGGCTGACGCTCTACACTTGCGCCCTGAAGGTATTTTTCTCGCACTTTCCGACGCGGGAGTGGCGGGGCGAAGTGGAGGTCGCGGCAGAGAAGGCAAGAACTTCTGCCTGTAGTCGTGCACCAAATTTTGATATTGAGGGTACTGGAACAAGTAGTGCAACAGCCGCTGGGAACAATTGCAAGAAAGCTACTGCAGCTGCTGTTACTGCTGCGGGGGCAATAAAGCCAGATTCAGCGAGGGAAGATGATTACAATACGGTGGGCGTCGAAACAGGGAATGAAAATGATGACCGTGGACAAGAACAAGGCGTGAGAGCAAATAGGTGCACTACCATCGTGATTGGCATTTTTGTCCTAGATAAGACTGAAAGTAGAAAAACAACCACCAACGACCTAAGGCTGAAAGTAGCAAAGCACGAAAGTAGAAAACGGACCATCACCCACCGCCACCCACCGCCGCCCACCGCCACCTACCGCCACCCACCGCCACCCACCACAACGCTTCCCCCCCCGCTGCTATGCTATCGCGCTTCCCTACTCCCCGCCGCTTATATGTGATTTGCTGGGCATATTGCGGCCCTTCTTTTTTTTTATTTTTTAAAGAAGTAATATAGCAGCATCTGTGTGCGTGGGTCTGTATTTGGGTAGATCCAGAAACCAGCGCAACCCCCCGCAACCCCCCGCAACGCTTCTCCCCCCGTTGCTATAGTGCTTCCTCACTCCCTCAAGCTTATATAGCGTCAAGGTTTTCTTTTTTTTTTTTTTAAAGTGATAAAGTAGCGTAAGCATGTACGGGTAGGAGGCTATCTGGGTAGATCCAGAAACCAGCGCAACCTCCCGCAACCCTCCGCGGCCCTTCCATCTCCACCCGTTGGTATGGTGTTGCCTTACTCTCCCCCCGCGCTCCGGGGCGATCTAAATGCAGTCAGCTCAGCCATTATATGCATAGGCACATAGACACCTGGACAAACACCCTCGGCACCGTGCTAAGCCGCTTGCCTTATCGTGCAACGCCCCCCCGACGCAGTTCGGACGCTCTCGGTCGCAGTTAGAAACTCGGCAGCCATGTGATTTGAAAGGAAAAGAAAAACAAAGAAAAGAAAAAAGAAAGAGGGGCGAAACACTCTGGCAGCGTGCTAGTTCGCTTGCTGTATCGTGCAAAGCCCGACGCAGCTCGGGCGCTCTCGCACTTAGAACCCCGGCAGCCTCGTGGGCTGAAAGGGTGAGAAAGGGAAAAAAAAGAAAGAAGAAAGAGAGAGCGGCGCAACTACTTTCTCGGCATCGTGCCCGGCGTTGTTCGGATGCTCACGCACTTAGAACCCCGGGGGCCTGCCTCATGATTTGAAAGAAAGAAAAAAGGCAAGAAAAGAAAGAAGATGGAGGAAAACAGCTTGGGAAAAGAATCCGTGCTCTTTTCTGCCCGGCGCTGTGTACGAAGAGCAAAAACCTTCCCCCGGTAAGGATCTCGACAAGTTTCCTTGGCGTTTGTGCAGCCTGTTTGCCCACACTAACATCGAAAGAAGAAAGAAACAAAAGGGACAAACCCTGCAGCTTCTTGGGAGCAGCGTGCGCGCTTTGTCTTTTCGATCCTTTTCTCTTTCTCTTTCTTCCAAATCGCACGGCCGCCGAGGTTCTAAGTGCCTGCGGGAACATCCGAAGGACATCGGGCTTTGCGCGATAAAGCAAACGGCTTAGCATGGTGCCGAGAATGCCTGCCCCTTCCTACCTAATAGGGGCGGGAAATGCATATAGCTCCGCTCGTAGCCATCTACTGGCACTGGGTAGATCCAGACAACACAGCAGCCCTGTGCTTAGAACCCCGGGGGCCTCATGATTTGGGCGAAAGAGAAAAGGCAACAAAAGAGAGAAGAAAGAAGAAGGAGAAAAGCCCACTGGGAGCAGCATCCGTCTTCTTTTCTATCAGGCACTGTCTACGAAGAGCAAAAACCTTCACCCGGTAGGTGCAGTCTGTTTGTTCGCACTAACATAGAAAGAAGAAAGAACAGGCGAACCTTGGAACTTTTTGGGAGCAGCGTGCTTTTTCTGTTCTATCCTTTTCGCTTTCTTTCAAATCGCGAGGCTGCCGAGGTTCTAAGTGTGGGAGGGCGTCGGGCTTTGCGCGATAAAGCAAACGACTTAGCACGATGCCGCGAATGCTTGCCCCTACCTAATAGGTGCGACCAATGCGTAGAGTTTGTAGCCATCTGGATAGACCCAGACAACATAGCAACCCTGCGCAACCCACCGCAGCCCTGCGCAAGCCTGCGCGACCCTCCGGCCCCCGCCCCCCCGCTGCTGTGGTGTCGCCTTGCGTATGCCCGTCCCTCCGCTATGTATTTTATGCATTTGCCGCTACAGCGTCCTGAGTATATAGACACAGGCACACACACACACAAGCAGACCAGGGGGGGGAGAAGGGTGGCGGTGGGTGGCGTTGGGTGGCGGTGGGTGGCGGTTGGTGGTGCAGGTATGCGGCCGGCTGTCTACCTCTGGGTGGTGTGGATATATATCTATATGTATATCGTGTATCTACCGTAGATACACGATATACATATAGATATGTGTCTATGTTTACGTAGACTACGTAAACATAGACACACACGCACACGCAGGCACACAAGCAGACCAGCGGGGGGGGGAAGGGTGGTGGTGGGTGGTGGTGGGTGGTGGTGGGTGGCGGTGGATTCGTGTGCTATGTGTATGTCTATATCATATAGATATATATACATGTACATGTAAGCACAGACTTTTCTAATATGCATATCTGCATATGCGGGGGGGGAGGCTCGCGCGCACGTTTTCGGCCCTCGGTTCTTTTTCTTTTTTCAAAATTGAGAAACACGCCGGAGACCCATTTCGCTGCAGTTCTTGCACAAGTAGCAAAAAAATGCCAATCACGATGGTGCTGCACCTATTTACTCTCATACCAACAACAAGAAACCACGGCGCCAACGAAGAACCCTGCTTCTCTTTCCCTGCCTCCCCTCACCTTCACGAGGGAATGGGTGGCTGAGCAATTGGAGGAGTTTCTGGAGGCGGAGGTATCTTTCGTAAAAGCGTTCTTCCCGACGCCGCAGGGTCATCAAGATGGAAACTCTGCAACACAAATACGTTCAATCTTGGGAGTCACGCATGTCAAAGCTTTGATCTGTACGACTAGTCATCAAGTGCCGAGTACTAGCTGCTAGGAGGGCCGCATCAAAAAGACGCGCACTTATCCTGTGTGCCGCATTTTTACAATCTTTTACAAATTCCGAAACACAAGTAGAAGTGGCTCTCTTGGGGATGCGCATTACAAGTCGATTCTTGTATATGCAAATCTGCATGACAACTCTGGTTTGGGGACGTTTTTATTCAGGATACGAGGAGCAGACGAGAGACCAGTTGTTTGAGGAGTTCTATTGTGAGGAAAAATCCCCCCTCACCATACTGAAGCGGTATGCAGCTTCTAAAAATTTGTCATGCTGATTTGTGACCACAACTCCGGTCTCTCTTGCAAGAGGGCAAATCCAAAGAATCCGTGGTATTTTTATGCAGGGTTGTTTGTAATTATGCTGTTGCGGCTACAACTACATGGCAGGCCTCTGCTTTGCTAAGTGTCTACAGTTGTAAAACACCCCAGCGCGGCAACAAAATGAGGCTCTAGCACCTGCAGCGTCTCATTGCAAGACAGAGCGGATTTGATGTGTACACAAATCCAGCACCAGAAGTTTCCGCTTCTATTATATTGGGAGGGGGGGCTTTTCATTTTGATGAGTTCTGTATCGACGTTATCACCAAGGCAAAGCGGTCGCTGGGATTCGACCTACCCGTCCGCGAACGGTTGCTGCGGGCGTATTTGGGAAGCAGCGGGGGAGCAACAAGTACAAGTAGTGGGCCGAACAAGGGCGGTGCTTACCTGGTTCCACACGGAAGGAAGCCACTACTGCAACAACCAGAAACTACTGCTGGTGCAGGCGGAGTAGTTGGTCCAGTGCTGACGCTGAGCAATTCGCTCTCAACGTTTCTGCAGGCACTGATCATTGGATGTTTCATCGAAAGTCTCGAGTGCGGTTTGGAAACTGGTGCGGAAGTGGTCAGAAGTGTGGTGACGAGGTTTATTTCATCTTTTTCTGCAGCTGGTATCGGGCTGAACTGCGGTCAAGGAATGATCACATCAGAAGTAGAAGATGACGGAATTTTGAAAAACGGTTCAATTTCTCCACTCCGCGAGGACGGTAGTGGAACGAAACATCAACAAGAAGTAGAGAGAGAAACTTGCCTTGCAGGCGGAGGAACTCCGGCTCGTCGGAACAAGCACGGGACGAACACCAACGGCGCGGCGGCCGAACCTCCGCAGGAGGTGCGCTATGACCAGGAGCAAGCTTACGCGGTGTTCTGCTTCACCCTGTACATGTTCTTGAAACGCATACAGCAGGCGACTTCGGCTAATGGAAGTGGGAGCGGCGGCGGAGATGCCAGCACGGGGAATAGTACAACCAATGATCATCGAGGAACGGACAAACAGATCTTTCACCTCCTTGTCAAAATACAGGAAATTGTGTTAATCGGCCTTGAAGATTTATTTTCCAGCACAAACAACCTGCCCGCAGCCACATCAACTACGCAACAAGCGGATTTGAAGATTTTCCCTCATTCCACCGTGCTTGCGTTTTCGCACGACAAAGAGCTGTTTTTACCTCGCGAAGGTAATGGCACGGGGTCACCGGCGTCGCATATCGAAAGGAAAAATCCCTCCTCCCCATATCAAAACGAAGTTTGTGATGCTGGATCTGCGTACTTGCTGGAGAGGACTGCAAGCCTACAGCAAGCCTGAGTAGGGAGGTTTTGGCCTAGGCGCTTAGCATGGAAAACGTCTGTGCTGTAGGTCCAACAGCAGCATCGTTACAAACCGCCCGCATAATGCGGCGAAGCCTGTGCTGGGCAACCTTAGTGCAAGACAGACGCGATTTCTCTGGCCACAAATCAGCAAAGCGCAAAGCTCCTTCGGGGACGTACCTTGTCAATATGGGCGGAGGGGGGTTGTTTCCTCGCGATATCGCACGACAGTAGTGGTTATGAACTGCAAAAGTATCGTACTCGTATAAAGGCATTACAAATCTCCTCAGCATGAGAGAGAAAATTTGTAATGCGGATGTACCTTAAGCAAAGGATTTGTAATGCAAGATGACTTGCATTTATACGAGTGCGATACTTTTGCACATGATAGCGGTCTGACCTCGTACTTATCCGAGGAGGATATCAGGGATGTGCTGGATTTATCAAGTGCAAAAATGTCTGGGTCTGGAAGGTTCTGAGACTTGTCATGCAAATTTCGCATGAGCCATGATGTCTGTGATGCATGCCCTAGCATCAGAGTTTTTTTGAGGGCTTCTTGATGCCTATTCCGCATGACAAATGCCCTCTTCCCGTAGCAAAAATCGCACTCCCTTCGCTGGTCATGGCAATGATCATTGGGAGCAGCAGAGCGCAGCAGGACCCCGATGCATTTCCCCTGTTTTAGCTTAGAAATACGCAGTGCGCCGAGTATGCCACTACCTCGACCCCTCAAGAAAAGAAGTAGCCCCCCCAACTACAAACTCGCCGTCCGCGATCAGGATGCGATGCGTACTAACCAACATTGTGCGAACCGAGATCCCGCGGGGCACAGGGTCTGGGCGGCTCGAAGCAGAACGCGCAGCACAAGCGGGAGACAACACATCCAAAGGTGGGGATGGTCTCAGGTCGTTCTTTCAGGTTCGCCAGGGGTTGCGTCTCGCTATCAGGGTTTCGCCAACTCCGCGGGGGCGTTGCGGGTATCTCCCTAAAACACCAAAACCGGCACAAATTGGGCCGGCAGTCCGGGTAATTGCTCACCAGCCGGCTTGTATGGCGAATAAGGTGCTCGACGAAGGAAGAAGTAAGCATGTAATTAGCACCTCCGGTTGGTAGAGCGATCGGCTACCGAGGCATGTCAGGGGGCGTCGCTACTTCAATTCAATTCCAAAGACAGCACTACAAGTTCCAACCTTCCAGACCCAGACACTTTTGCATTTGATAGGACTCGATCGTTGAAGAGACCTCCGAAACGTCGCATGTACAACATGTGCGATTATCAAATGCAAAAATGTCTGGGTCTGGAAGGATCCGAACTTGTCTTGCAGATTTTACATGGCCCGTGACGTCTGTGATGTATTCCCTGGCATCACAGATTTTCCGAGTGCTGCTCGATGCCTATTTCGCATGACAAATGGCGTCCCCGCGTAGCAGCAACTGGACTCCTCTTGCTGGTCATGCAATACAGATTTTTCTAGAGTCCAAAGTTAGCATCACAAGTTCCAACTTTCCAGACCCAGACATTTTTACATTTGATAGCGATCTGCTGTGAACAATGATCTTCACACGACGAGCAAAGACCATATGAATTGCAAATATCCCTGGATGTCTGGAAGAGTGCAACTTGTGATGCGGCATTTGAATGCTAGAAAATAATCTGTATTGCATGAGCAGCAAGAGAAGTCAAATTTGGCTACGCGAAGAGGGCATCTGTCATGCGGGATGCGCATCGATGATCCCTCAAAAAACCTGTGATGCTAGGGCATGCATCACAGACATCGTGGGTCATGCAAAATGTGCATGACAAAACAAGCGCACTCTTCCAGACCCAGACATGTTTGCAGTGCAAAGAGCACACAAGTGCTCCGGCGAGAACTGTCCGCGATGTGTGGCAGATTTGCCTGTCGATCGCGAAGCACGGCGTTTCTTTTGATTCTACTGCCGCTGACGCTCTCCACGACGAACGAATTTGTCGGGTGAATTTGCGCGTTTTCTGCCTCGCAAAACTCGCGAAACATTTTCCCTGGATCTGGAGTGACTTGCCCTGGAAAAAGTCGTTTCGGCTGAAGTGGTGTCAGGTTCTGTTGCAGGCGAGCGCAGAAGACGAGAACAGTGTTGTTGGAACCGGAGCGAGTCAAATGGTAGTGATGAACTAGTGACGCGTGGTGCGAGGTGGACGATGATGAATTTGATTGAGCATTCTTTACTGGTGTTGAAAAAATATTTGGCCGCAAGTAGAGGAAAATTTTGAGCTGGTGGTCGGTCCACCCCCACCCCGCAGAACCTGAAGAAGCTTTATTTAGGAAAAAACTGTGAATACTAATACAATTACAAAACAGCATTTTATCTACCGTTACGATTTTTTTTAGCAAAACCAAAAAGACGTGGTCGTCTGCAGCAAAGTGAAGAAATTTGATAAAAGTCAAGACACGATACTGGATAAAGAATTTGTCGTGAAGAAGAAACAAGTTTGATGAAAACTATTAACCCGAAGAATTTTGCTAGATACGGAAATTATTATGAATGGTAACTCATGGACTGAGGTTTTTGCTTGTCGCATTCGGCTGCCGAAGGGCTGGGTCGCTGGCGTGATATAAAAGTCGTCTTTTGTTCTACTGATCGTCAAGAGGAGCCACAGGCTGTTAGTTTTGGCAACTTTATTTTAAACGTCGTTTTACCTTCTGGACGAGAGACGGAGTGAGATTTTGACAAGCGGATGAAATCTACGTGTACCCCTTCATCAGCGGGGTTGCAAGTTTTTTTTCTGCTCGACGGCAAACTCCGCGAACATACAACATCAAAACTAGGGAGGAGGCCAAATAAGCAGAGCACCACCGTGATTCACCTAATTTCCTAGAAGGGATTGCAGATCTGTCCAGTTAAGTATAGAGAAGGCGGAAGCGCTTCCGAAATGCGAAACACGAAAAGCGAAAAACCAAGGGAGGGCAGTAGAGAGCCAGGAGAGTAAGAAAAGAGAGAGCGGAGGCGCCTCCGAAATGCGAAACGCGAAAAACCAAAGGGGGGCCGTGGAGAGTTAATAGAGTAGGAAGAAGAGAGAGAGAGAGAGAGAGAGNGTGGGTGGCGGTGGGTGGCGGTGGGTGGCGGTGGGTGGCGGTGGGTGGCGGTGGGTGGCGGTGGGTGGTGGTGGGTGGCGGTGGATTCGTGTGCTATGTGTATGTCTATATCATATAGATATATATACATGTACATGTAAGCACAGACTTTTCTAATATGCATATCTGCATATGCGGGGGGGAGGCTCGCGCGCACGTTTTCGGCCCTCGGTTCTTTTTCTTTTTTCAAAATTGAGAAACACGCCGGAGACCCATTTCGCTGCAGTTCTTGCACAAGTAGCAAAAAAATGCCAATCACGATGGTGCTGCACCTATTTACTCTCATACCAACAACAAGAAACCACGGCGCCAACGAAGAACCCTGCTTCTCTTTCCCTGCCTCCCCTCACCTTCACGAGGGAATGGGTGGCTGAGCAATTGGAGGAGTTTCTGGAGGCGGAGGTATCTTTCGTAAAAGCGTTCTTCCCGACGCCGCAGGGTCATCAAGATGGAAACTCTGCAACACAAATACGTTCAATCTTGGGAGTCACGCATGTCAAAGCTTTGATCTGTACGACTAGTCATCAAGTGCCGAGTACTAGCTGCTAGGAGGGCCGCATCAAAAAGACGCGCACTTATCCTGTGTGCCGCATTTTTACAATCTTTTACAAATTCCGAAACACAAGTAGAAGTGGCTCTCTTGGGGATGCGCATTACAAGTCGATTCTTGTATATGCAAATCTGCATGACAACTCTGGTTTGGGGACGTTTTTATTCAGGATACGAGGAGCAGACGAGAGACCAGTTGTTTGAGGAGTTCTATTGTGAGGAAAAATCCCCCCTCACCATACTGAAGCGGTATGCAGCTTCTAAAAATTTGTCATGCTGATTTGTGACCACAACTCCGGTCTCTCTTGCAAGAGGGCAAATCCAAAGAATCCGTGGTATTTTTATGCAGGGTTGTTTGTAATTATGCTGTTGCGGCTACAACTACATGGCAGGCCTCTGCTTTGCTAAGTGTCTACAGTTGTAAAACACCCCAGCGCGGCAACAAAATGAGGCTCTAGCACCTGCAGCGTCTCATTGCAAGACAGAGCGGATTTGATGTGTACACAAATCCAGCACCAGAAGTTTCCGCTTCTATTATATTGGGAGGGGGGGCTTTTCATTTTGATGAGTTCTGTATCGACGTTATCACCAAGGCAAAGCGGTCGCTGGGATTCGACCTACCCGTCCGCGAACGGTTGCTGCGGGCGTATTTGGGAAGCAGCGGGGGAGCAACAAGTACAAGTAGTGGGCCGAACAAGGGCGGTGCTTACCTGGTTCCACACGGAAGGAAGCCACTACTGCAACAACCAGAAACTACTGCTGGTGCAGGCGGAGTAGTTGGTCCAGTGCTGACGCTGAGCAATTCGCTCTCAACGTTTCTGCAGGCACTGATCATTGGATGTTTCATCGAAAGTCTCGAGTGCGGTTTGGAAACTGGTGCGGAAGTGGTCAGAAGTGTGGTGACGAGGTTTATTTCATCTTTTTCTGCAGCTGGTATCGGGCTGAACTGCGGTCAAGGAATGATCACATCAGAAGTAGAAGATGACGGAATTTTGAAAAACGGTTCAATTTCTCCACTCCGCGAGGACGGTAGTGGAACGAAACATCAACAAGAAGTAGAGAGAGAAACTTGCCTTGCAGGCGGAGGAACTCCGGCTCGTCGGAACAAGCACGGGACGAACACCAACGGCGCGGCGGCCGAACCTCCGCAGGAGGTGCGCTATGACCAGGAGCAAGCTTACGCGGTGTTCTGCTTCACCCTGTACATGTTCTTGAAACGCATACAGCAGGCGACTTCGGCTAATGGAAGTGGGAGCGGCGGCGGAGATGCCAGCACGGGGAATAGTACAACCAATGATCATCGAGGAACGGACAAACAGATCTTTCACCTCCTTGTCAAAATACAGGAAATTGTGTTAATCGGCCTTGAAGATTTATTTTCCAGCACAAACAACCTGCCCGCAGCCACATCAACTACGCAACAAGCGGATTTGAAGATTTTCCCTCATTCCACCGTGCTTGCGTTTTCGCACGACAAAGAGCTGTTTTTACCTCGCGAAGGTAATGGCACGGGGTCACCGGCGTCGCATATCGAAAGGAAAAATCCCTCCTCCCCATATCAAAACGAAGTTTGTGATGCTGGATCTGCGTACTTGCTGGAGAGGACTGCAAGCCTACAGCAAGCCTGAGTAGGGAGGTTTTGGCCTAGGCGCTTAGCATGGAAAACGTCTGTGCTGTAGGTCCAACAGCAGCATCGTTACAAACCGCCCGCATAATGCGGCGAAGCCTGTGCTGGGCAACCTTAGTGCAAGACAGACGCGATTTCTCTGGCCACAAATCAGCAAAGCGCAAAGCTCCTTCGGGGACGTACCTTGTCAATATGGGCGGAGGGGGGTTGTTTCCTCGCGATATCGCACGACAGTAGTGGTTATGAACTGCAAAAGTATCGTACTCGTATAAAGGCATTACAAATCTCCTCAGCATGAGAGAGAAAATTTGTAATGCGGATGTACCTTAAGCAAAGGATTTGTAATGCAAGATGACTTGCATTTATACGAGTGCGATACTTTTGCACATGATAGCGGTCTGACCTCGTACTTATCCGAGGAGGATATCAGGGATGTGCTGGATTTATCAAGTGCAAAAATGTCTGGGTCTGGAAGGTTCTGAGACTTGTCATGCAAATTTCGCATGAGCCATGATGTCTGTGATGCATGCCCTAGCATCAGAGTTTTTTTGAGGGCTTCTTGATGCCTATTCCGCATGACAAATGCCCTCTTCCCGTAGCAAAAATCGCACTCCCTTCGCTGGTCATGGCAATGATCATTGGGAGCAGCAGAGCGCAGCAGGACCCCGATGCATTTCCCCTGTTTTAGCTTAGAAATACGCAGTGCGCCGAGTATGCCACTACCTCGACCCCTCAAGAAAAGAAGTAGCCCCCCCAACTACAAACTCGCCGTCCGCGATCAGGATGCGATGCGTACTAACCAACATTGTGCGAACCGAGATCCCGCGGGGCACAGGGTCTGGGCGGCTCGAAGCAGAACGCGCAGCACAAGCGGGAGACAACACATCCAAAGGTGGGGATGGTCTCAGGTCGTTCTTTCAGGTTCGCCAGGGGTTGCGTCTCGCTATCAGGGTTTCGCCAACTCCGCGGGGGCGTTGCGGGTATCTCCCTAAAACACCAAAACCGGCACAAATTGGGCCGGCAGTCCGGGTAATTGCTCACCAGCCGGCTTGTATGGCGAATAAGGTGCTCGACGAAGGAAGAAGTAAGCATGTAATTAGCACCTCCGGTTGGTAGAGCGATCGGCTACCGAGGCATGTCAGGGGGCGTCGCTACTTCAATTCAATTCCAAAGACAGCACTACAAGTTCCAACCTTCCAGACCCAGACACTTTTGCATTTGATAGGACTCGATCGTTGAAGAGACCTCCGAAACGTCGCATGTACAACATGTGCGATTATCAAATGCAAAAATGTCTGGGTCTGGAAGGATCCGAACTTGTCTTGCAGATTTTACATGGCCCGTGACGTCTGTGATGTATTCCCTGGCATCACAGATTTTCCGAGTGCTGCTCGATGCCTATTTCGCATGACAAATGGCGTCCCCGCGTAGCAGCAACTGGACTCCTCTTGCTGGTCATGCAATACAGATTTTTCTAGAGTCCAAAGTTAGCATCACAAGTTCCAACTTTCCAGACCCAGACATTTTTACATTTGATAGCGATCTGCTGTGAACAATGATCTTCACACGACGAGCAAAGACCATATGAATTGCAAATATCCCTGGATGTCTGGAAGAGTGCAACTTGTGATGCGGCATTTGAATGCTAGAAAATAATCTGTATTGCATGAGCAGCAAGAGAAGTCAAATTTGGCTACGCGAAGAGGGCATCTGTCATGCGGGATGCGCATCGATGATCCCTCAAAAAACCTGTGATGCTAGGGCATGCATCACAGACATCGTGGGTCATGCAAAATGTGCATGACAAAACAAGCGCACTCTTCCAGACCCAGACATGTTTGCAGTGCAAAGAGCACACAAGTGCTCCGGCGAGAACTGTCCGCGATGTGTGGCAGATTTGCCTGTCGATCGCGAAGCACGGCGTTTCTTTTGATTCTACTGCCGCTGACGCTCTCCACGACGAACGAATTTGTCGGGTGAATTTGCGCGTTTTCTGCCTCGCAAAACTCGCGAAACATTTTCCCTGGATCTGGAGTGACTTGCCCTGGAAAAAGTCGTTTCGGCTGAAGTGGTGTCAGGTTCTGTTGCAGGCGAGCGCAGAAGACGAGAACAGTGTTGTTGGAACCGGAGCGAGTCAAATGGTAGTGATGAACTAGTGACGCGTGGTGCGAGGTGGACGATGATGAATTTGATTGAGCATTCTTTACTGGTGTTGAAAAAATATTTGGCCGCAAGTAGAGGAAAATTTTGAGCTGGTGGTCGGTCCACCCCCACCCCGCAGAACCTGAAGAAGCTTTATTTAGGAAAAAACTGTGAATACTAATACAATTACAAAACAGCATTTTATCTACCGTTACGATTTTTTTTAGCAAAACCAAAAAGACGTGGTCGTCTGCAGCAAAGTGAAGAAATTTGATAAAAGTCAAGACACGATACTGGATAAAGAATTTGTCGTGAAGAAGAAACAAGTTTGATGAAAACTATTAACCCGAAGAATTTTGCTAGATACGGAAATTATTATGAATGGTAACTCATGGACTGAGGTTTTTGCTTGTCGCATTCGGCTGCCGAAGGGCTGGGTCGCTGGCGTGATATAAAAGTCGTCTTTTGTTCTACTGATCGTCAAGAGGAGCCACAGGCTGTTAGTTTTGGCAACTTTATTTTAAACGTCGTTTTACCTTCTGGACGAGAGACGGAGTGAGATTTTGACAAGCGGATGAAATCTACGTGTACCCCTTCATCAGCGGGGTTGCAAGTTTTTTTTCTGCTCGACGGCAAACTCCGCGAACATACAACATCAAAACTAGGGAGGAGGCCAAATAAGCAGAGCACCACCGTGATTCACCTAATTTCCTAGAAGGGATTGCAGATCTGTCCAGTTAAGTATAGAGAAGGCGGAAGCGCTTCCGAAATGCGAAACACGAAAAGCGAAAAACCAAGGGAGGGCAGTAGAGAGCCAGGAGAGTAAGAAAAGAGAGAGCGGAGGCGCCTCCGAAATGCGAAACGCGAAAAACCAAAGGGGGGCCGTGGAGAGTTAATAGAGTAGGAAGAAGAGAGAGAGAGAGAGAGAGAGAGAGTGGAAGCGCCTCCGAAATGCGAAACGCGAAAAGCGCCAAGCCAATGCCAAAGCGGCGCCGTGGCTAATCAGTAGCGTAGAAAGAGGGACAGCGGAAGTGCCTCCGAGGCGCGAAACGCGAAAAACAACAAAGCGGCCGGGGCGGGTTCCATGATGGTGAGTAGAGTAAGAAGAGAGAAAACAAAGCGGAAGCGCCTCCGAATGCCAAGCGCGAAAAGCGGCGAGAAAAGAAGGCAGGCCCCTCGTCCCTTACTAAGTAGAGACATTGGCGCCGCTCCGCTTTGAGCGTTGGTTCCGCTGGCCCCCCCTCCCCCCCGCACTACCTAGCAACATACGCGAGCTTTCGCATTTATGCGCATGGAGCCGCGTGCGTCCAGTTCTAAGAGGCCGGGGGCCGGGGGGGTTGGCTCTTGGTTTTGATATTGTCGCCCGGCACGCGGCTCGCACGTACGCCCACGCACAGCAGACCGACGCTGACCACCCTCCCGCCCGTCGGTCTTACTTTTGGCCGGGCGAGAGGCCGGGAGAGCGCGCGGAAAGCGGAGGCATGGATCCCAGTCGCAGCGTTTGGCCCGTGCCGCGCCTGCAAAATGGCGCGGCGGGCCCTTGGCCGGTCGCACCAGCCGCAGCCCCAGAGGGGGCTGGCACCCTGCAGCGTAGGCCGGAGGCGAAAAAGTTGGGCACTCATGCGAGGGCGCTTCTGTTTGTGTGCGTGTGTGTGTGTGTCACGCCATGAATATCGCGAGAAGCTTCCCGGCTGGCGCACCACTGTAGCAGGGCGCAGCGATGGGCGCCTCGGAGAGCCGTCGGACGGCGCCAGGCCCCCCACCGTGTTCGAGGCGCGAGCGGCAGCACAAAACCGCGCGGGCAGCTTCGCGGGAAGATCCGGGCCATAGCAACAAAGAAACTAACCCCGCCCACCAGCGCCAACGAAGTGCATCAGGCTGGCGCTGGTGGCTCGCTCGTGGCTCGAGAATGAAAGCGCGCGCGTTCTTCTCCACCAATGGAAGCAAATCCGCGCGAATTAGCGCGCAAGAAAAATGACGAGAAGGGGGCGACCTTGTCCACCGCAACAAGCAGCCCCATCTATAAGCGCAAGCGAATTAGATGAGTAGAGAGCCTGCTCGTGGTTCGAAGAAAAGAGCGCAGGCCCCTCGTCAATAGATGAGGGGCCTGCCCTTGGCGCCATCGTGCTCGAAAGCGGTGGCGCCGCAAAGTTAGCGCTGCCTTGCCCATGGCAACAGGCCTAGCCCTTCTTTGAGCGAGATCGAAGGAGATCGACGAACGAAAGCGCGCGCGTTCTTCTCCACCAATGGAAGCAAATCCATGCGAGTCAGCGCGCTGGGAAAATGACGAGAAGCCGGCGACCTTGTCCACCGCAGCAAGCAACCCCATCTAAAAGCGCAAACGAATTAGATGAGAAGAGAGCCTGCTCGTGGTTCAAAGAAAAGAGCGCAGGCCCCTCGTCAATAGATGAGGGGCCTGCCCTGGGCGCCATCGTGCTCGAAGCGAAGCGGTGGCGTCGCAAAGTTAGCGCTACCGTGGCCAGGGCAACAGCGCTAGCCCTTCTCTGAGCGAGATCGAAGGAGGTCGAGAAGGCCGCGCGTGGCTCGAGAAAGTAAACGCGCGCAGCCTTCTCACCATCCAACAGAAGGAAACACGCAAGCCCCTGCGCTTCGTTGTGCTTGGAAATGATGAAAGGGGAGGGCCATGAGCGGAGGCCCTTGCGCTGCTAACCCAAACCATCTGCGCCCCGGGGGGCCAAGGTCGGCGCATGGCTTCGGTCAGCAGCGGTAGAAGCTTTCAACCCGCTTCGTCTTCTCCGTGCTGTAGGTGTGTCGACATCGCGATGCATTTGCGCTATATACCCCACTCAATATCTTTCCGACAGGTATAGATCCGCCCCGCACATTGGTCCGGGTCCTAGTCGCGCTCGCATTCTTTGCGTAGAGGTAGCTAGGCCCTATCCTCTCATCCTAGATTTTGAGCCATTGCCGCGCTAGATGTTCCAGCACGCGCGCCCACGCAGGAAGCCAAGTCTGAAGACAAGCGGGCGCATACGCGAGGAGGCTTCCCATAGGAGTGATATTTTTGCCCAAGTTAGTAAGCAGGGGGCGGTCTTGCCCGCATGCGTTTCAGACGCCCTCCGCGAGGCGCCCGCGGAGCAAAATCCGGCCCCTGAAAACGTTCGCGCACGCGCCCGCGGTCCGCACTGGCCTGGGTTTGCGTGTGGATGGAACAAAGCCAGCCGGCTGCTCCCGTTTTTCGCGTTTCGCATTTCGGGGGCGGCTTTCGTTTCTCTCTATCTCCCTCGCTAATGATTTCCCCGGTCGCTTTCTTCGCTTTTCGCGCTTCGCTTTTCGTGGGTCGCTTCCGCTTTTTCTCTGCTTACTCTGTTCATTGTCTTGGGGCCCTTTTCTTTTTCGCTTTTCGCGTTTCGCATTTCGGGAGCCGCCTCCCCCTTCTCTTTGCTTAGTATATTAATTATGTTAGGGATAGGCTTTGCATTTTTTTCGCTTTTCGTGTTTCGCAATTCAAGCAAGGGGGCCAGCTTCCTTCACAATTTACACAACACACATACCCCAAAAACGCCTCTCATGCTATCGCTTTCTTCTATTTTCTGTGTTCCGAAGGGATCCGCCTACTCACCAAATCACGATGGGAATCCAAGTCGTTGCACTTGTTGCAGGTGAAAAAATGGTAGGTGTTTCGCTTGGAGTTCTGCTTATTTGGCCGCGTGCCAACATCAATATCCATTCGTCCTCTACCGCGTTAATTAAAAGCGTACAACCGTCTCAGCCCCCTCATCTCGTGCACGCTTTTGAAGAGTGTTGCAAAATAATAAAGCGATATGACAAAAGCGCGTTTCTTACCTGAGAACAAATTGCAGAGCAGGGCGGGAAAAGCGACGAACATTTAAGTGAATCAAGATTCTGTTTGCACAACAGAGACTTTTTGAAGCGCAGGTTGTCGTTGTAACCGCATTTAATTACTTACGCACATAAGCGCAAAGACAATGCCCTCCGCCGTGTCGAAAGGTGCCGAGGTCAGCGGCGCGGATTGGTGGAACGATTCCTGCAGTTCCGCGGAATTGAACGAAGCTGTCTCCAAAGGCGCGGTTGGATCCACGTCCAACCCGGTGATCTTGGTGCAAGTTTTGAATGCGGAGAAGGAGAAATGGGTGCCGAAAATCGACGAACTGATTATAACGTGCTCAGGTGTTACAATCTGAAGCGTCACAATAGAATACGGAAATCTGTGATGCGAGAGGTGTATTATCTAGCCAGCTCTCATAGGATTGCGCATGACATCAAGTTCAGGAGTCCCAAACCCCACTACAATCTGGCGAAATTTGTATATGCATAAAGTGGAACGCTCTGCGAGTCTGTCATGCTCATCATGCAAGACAGATCTCAGACTCTATTGCAACGTTTAAGATTGTAACACCTGAGCGGGTTATACTGATCTCCAAGTTCCCCTCGGACACGGAGGCGGAGATCGCGGACCGGGTATATCACAGTGAAAAATGCCCCCCACCCCTGAAATTGCAACAATTTGTGATGCGAAGTTTCCAAATGAAAGCTTTTTGTCATGCATGAAAGGAGTAAGAATCTTTCTGATGCAGATTCTAGTCGTGTTTCGCATCGCTTGCATGACAAGCACCGCTCTTGCTGGGATCTTTTGCAATACAAATTTTTGCTATTCACGATCGGAAATCTGCGATGCTGATACACGCAAGAGGGCGAATGTTTCATTTGGAAAGATTTGCAATACAAATGCTTTCAAGTTCGGGGGTGGGGGCATTTTTCATTGTAATAGGGTAAATGAGATGGTGGTGGCCGAGGCGTGCGAAATCCTGAAGCCGGTGCACAAAAGGGAGAATGGTACGGTGACTGTATGCGATGAAACAAAAATGAGCGGTTTTTTATTGTGTAACTTTGTGATGGACATCTACTGATACTCGCAAGAAGGACGATAAGCGTCTGTCATGCTGGTCATGCGCAATCACCTGTTGTAGTGCTGCTCGTTCAAGCTCGTTTCCACATACTATCTGCGACTATCAGGCAAGAAGGGCTACCTGTCAGCGCAGGTGAATCCACAGCTTTACCGCAGCACGGAAAAGATGGTGGAACAGGGCGTCTTTCTCGCGAACGCGGGGGGAGCAGATACCAACGTGATGATAAAGGCGCCCGCTTTGCCGGCAGGTATAATTTGTAGGTCTGGCTGGATAAAAATAGAGTTTGTGACTGTGACATTCGTATTTCTTGTCTTGGGAAGTAGCGAAGCAGTTGCTGGCAGACGGCACATCTGTTTTGCATCACGGCGAGGTCGTCGTGGGAGATGATGGTCTATTCGGAAGAGAAAAATATCCTTATTTGTCTCAAAAAGGTCTTGCCGCAATGGAGGAGCTGACGTACAAGGGCATTTCCATCAATGCATATCGCACTGAAAAATCCACACTCCTCCCCGTACTCAAAGTGGAATTTGTGTTGCATGATTTGTGATCACAAATCGCGTCGTCATGCTAGAAGGGAAGGGATGCGGACTGTAGTGCTGGCTGGCGCGGGTAAGCCTTGCATCGTCAGCATGACAGGAACCAACTGCATTGTCCAGAACAGCATGACAAAGTGCCTAAAGTAGATAGGCCGCGGGAGGTGTGTCTCTTCACCTTCCAGAAAAAATACAGGTAGATTCGTGTACACAAATCGCGCATCAGAAATCTCCTTTTGATATCATGGGGAGGGGTTATTTCGATTTTTCCTCACGATAATGCAACGGTGTCTTTCACGGTGTCGCAATATCCAAGAAAAAAACATTGTAGGTGTAACTTTTTTGGAGGAACAGCATTACAAATTTGTCTGGCATGACAGCAGACACCTGTCATGCGCAGATAGTACGTGAAAACGCCCTTCAACGGACCCGACGATGCATGCCAAGCATGACAGACGCAATCACTTTGCATGTTGCGCGTCACAAATTTACACTAACAGCGTTTTTTTCTTGGATACGCAAGCAGTGAAGGCTGCCGAAGCTGTGGAGCGGGGCCTCAAGAGGCGAGAGGTATACATAGATGAATAGATACGACTGTACTTCTTTACGTGATAATGGCGTACTTAACATTTGAGTTTGACCCGTTCATTTCGTTGTTGTCATGCACAAAGTATTGACTAGGAGGTGTCCGTGTCATGCAGAAGGAGCAACTTTTCAAGTTCAAACCAACGATCAGGCGGAAGGCCTCCCAGTCGACAAAATGGGTCCAGTGATCACGGTATGCATTGCAAATATGTCTGGGTCTGGAAGATCTTGAGGTTTGTCATGCTTGTCTGGCATGACCAAAAAGTTTGTCATGCGTGTCCAAGAAGAGACCCTTTTGCCTGTCATGCAAAAACGCAGTTTGTCATGCGAAAAACGCAACACAAAGAAGCGCAGATATTTCTCACGCTTGCCTGTTCATTACAGAGCATTCACTATTCCCAACGCAGCATTACAAGTTTCCAGACCCAGACATTTTTGCAGTTGATACACGGTCATGGTTGGCAGGGTATCACACAGAAAAAAGCAGGCAGGTCATATTTGTAATGCCAAGATAAATACACAAACATACCCTAAGCGCCATGATATGGGGTCGCCCTTGACAATTTGTTCTGTGTATGTATTTTTGCATTACAAATGTGCCTTGCTTCTAGTAGCTTTTTCCTCTGGGATACAGGGTCGACGACGCGCTGCGAAAATTTGTCGACTATCCTGAGCAAAAACGTTTCTACACCAGAGTTGGTGTGATGCGGATTTCCAATTTATAGGAACGTGTGTAATAAATTCGCATGTTGCCCATGAAGATGTTTTGGATTTGTAATGCTGTCAACAGGATGTTACTTAGATACGTGGATTTGGTTTCCTTATGCGGTTGTTCGTTTGGTAAACTATGATAATACAGAGAGGAAGTTATCATGTGTGGCTTCCAAAGCTTCTGGATTTGTGTTGCTACTTAAGATTATTCCACCTTGGACGTCGACCTTTTTGCTGAGGATATCAACTCGAAGAAAGTCACCTGCGACCCGGGGCACCTGAACTGGGGCGGCTATTGAGAGGAAAAATCCCCCCTCCCCATATTGAAAAGGTATGTTTCCAAAAATTTGTGTTGCGGATTTGAGGTCACAAAGCACATCTGTCTTGCAAAAAGACAAGGGCAGAAGCTTCCGCCTCATTATGGAAGCGATTTGTCATGCTGTTGAGCCTCAAGGGGAGCCGTTTGCCATGCTGAGCAACTAGACCCATAAGCCCCTACCTAGCCTGGGGATCTGGCCGCCGTGCCTCTCCGCAGTACAAAGCTGATCTGTGGCCACAAATCAGCATCACAAATTTCCGTTTTGAGATGGGGAGGGGGGATTTTTCATTTTGATAGCGGCGCGGCGGTGTTCAAGAAGGTGTGGAAGCTGTTCAAGGAGAAGAATTTACGTGCGACACCATTGGTAAGGGAGTGTCAGGATTGAAATCGTCAAAGTTGAAATAGTTTGTCATGCATAAAATCGATACCGGTTGGAAGCCCAATTTCCAAGCGGTGCATGACAAATCTCGGCACCGTCTGAATCCAGTTGGTCATGCTGTTTGGGGCCCCCAGAAGGCGTCTTTTGTCATGCTACTTTAGCAGCTCTATCGCAGTAGACCCCAAACAGGCTGACAGCCGGCCTCACTTGCCATCCCTGCAAGAGAGGCACTTCGTGCCTTGCAATTTATGCATGAGAAATTATTTCAACTTTGTCGATTTCAGTCCTGACGCTTGCATAACTGGCCGCAGCCTACCGCTGCGTGTTCCACTGGTCCGAAATTTTGGGCGAGAACGTGGTAAGTTGCAAAAAATCTTCGTAGAGGGAGGATTCTGACGAGGCTGATCTTCTTCCTAATGAACTATCGTGTACTAATATTTAGCACACAAGATTTAGACTTTGATTACAGTCAGCAGGCACGACGTCGAGCGACGATTGGTTGAAATAAAGGTGGACGTTTTTTGGCTTGCTGTGCTATAATGCCAGTGGAAAGTTCAGTGTGCATCATGATTTAAAGTTTGAAATTAGAAGTACACGTAAAACTTCTACGCCAGGTATCACAGGAAAAAAGTCGTTTTACAGTTACACATTTGTAGGGAATTCAGCTCCAGCATCACAAAGTCGCTCGACATGGCAAGGAAAACCTGTGATGCGCAGACTATAAGGGAAAACGCGAATGAAAAGAGGCTGGCAAGCATTTCCAGCATCACAGAGGTTGTCTGTCTTGCTCGTCTTCCATCAGAGTGTGTAACTGTAACACTTTTTTCACAGGATACCAGGTTACCTCCATGCCCTACCGTTGGTGGAAGCAGTTTGACGAGTCCGATGTCGATTATGGAATAAAGGCCGCAAAATTGGTTTCTTCCGCCACGACCTAAAGAAGGGAGCACATCACATGTCGGTTTCATTTTCCGCCGCAGAAGAAGAAGAAGAAGAAGTGGCTTTTCTTGCAGAAGACAAGACAGAGTTCTGCTTCTGTCCTCTACTGCTGTGTTTATTGTTCGCAATAGTGCATGATGTAGTGGCTGCAAAAAGGAACAACCAAGTTGCTTTATCTGTTCCATAGCCCGCCTCGCCGCTCTATCGAGGAGGACGTGCCTTCGGAGGTGATGCAGACGCTCACTAAACTCCCCCTGTTCGGCCAGTTCTACGACGAGAATTTACCGGAGTCGGAGTTCTACGCATTGCAAATATGTCTGGGCGGTCTACTGGAAGGATGCAAACTTGTAATGCAGATTCTGGGACGGACAAAAATCTGCGTTGCGTGGTCTGCAAATAAACATGTCGGATTTTCGTCTCCGGGAGTAGAGGGCATTTCTCATGCAGACTAGGCATGCGTTTGCGTATGCCTTGGAAGAGTTATTTGTCATGCTCTGTGTGCAGCATAATTCCAGAACAGCACCTTGCATATGCAAAAGCTGCATGGCAAATGTGTGATTTCTTCCAGCAGACACAGACATATTTGCGATGCATAAGTTCATGAAGCTGCAGCCGACAAAGGACACGCTGACCCAGTTTCTCACCGCGCGCGACGATTTGTTGAAGATTGTGCGGGTACGATTTTTGGCATAAGGAGATCTGGTGACGGAAAAATCTTCCCGGTGAAGAAAGGGAAACATAATGAAGGAACAGATAAAAGTACTAGCTGCTGATAGGGACGAGAACGAAGTAGGAACAAGGAATAAAGCGATTATCTGGTAACCAAATGCGTGCGCGCGCGCGCGCAGAGCGCGCGCCGGCCCACGAAGCCGGCGCGCGCGCTCTGCGCGCTTGCGATATTGCTTAGCAAACGCAGCGCGAAGGCAGTTGCCGTTACCATATAGGGCAACCGCCGGGAGGCGTGAAGGTCAGGGAAATGGCCAGAAATGAAG